GTATAAACAAACACTACGTATCCGTGACGAAAAATTATGGAGACAACTGAAATGTTTGAAAACTTACAAGACCCTTAACTTCACATGTCTATTTAGATTTCGCACTCATCTTCAATCTCTGAGCTCGTAATATAACGAAACAGTGTGATACGAAATGTTTATTCCTGCAGATATTTATATATATATATATATATATATATGTATTGTACGAAACTACTAGTTTTAAATGGTCAATAGTTGTGTCAAATAAGATTGGTCTGTAAAATACTTGAGCAGATGATTTACATCTGAATCAAGTTGTAGTATTCATATGATGAGATGGAACTCTTACATCGAATTGCGAGACTTCCGAGTATTTTGGATGGGACCATATTACCATAACACGACGTGGATTTTGATATACTACTGTTTGTTTGTACTGTTCCAGTGATAATGTTAACCAAGTGAAAATATCTCAAAACAAATCTCGTAATTATGGATACAGTAGAAACTCTATAAATTAATACTCGATAAATTCATAATCACGATAAATTAATAAAATCTCTCGGTCCCGAGTCGGGCCAATGTAAAATATGACACAATTCGATAAGATAATAAGATAATAACATTTTTAAAACTCCTATGTAAAATATGGTCCCAATAATATCATAAATTAATAATTATCATATAAAAATATAAATATATAGAAATAAGTTAACCTACTAGAATATAAATGTAATGTAATGTTGTTTGCTTTTTTTTTTAAAGTTGAATGCCTTTTGTAGTTAGTCTCTAAAATTTCTTACAACATCAAAAAAATTTAGTGTTGTATTTTTGAATTGCATCCAAAAACTATGAAGAGTTCTAGACACGATAATTGTCTTTTTATGCTTAACCGCATCTAAAGGTATTATAACAAAATGACAAGTACCAAAAAATGTAAAGTAAATACAGAAATATAAAAGAAAAAAGTTAAACAAATTTACCTTCAGAGAGAAATTTCTTATTTGATATAAATGAAAATTGAGAAATTTCTTGTCATTATTTTTAATTTTTGTTTAGTCAAAATCGTTAAATTAATAACTCTATAAATTAATAAAATATCAAAGTCCCAACATTATTAATTTATAGAGTTTCTAATAGTTTAATTAAATCCGAACAATCATCGCTAGATTTCGATAAACAAAAAAGGAAATCTAATTTAGCAGCAAATAAAAAAACGACGGACCGTCCCTTTCCACTCATGTAGTTTAATTGGGAGATAAAATTTCGCTGTTCCTCTCTCTCTTCCCGTTTTCATTTTTCGGTTTCTCTGGCGGCCGATCCCGTCGCTACCTCTTAAGATTTTTTTTTTTTCTACATGACCTCTAAATTGAAATCAAGATTATATTTTCGGATTTGCTGCTGAATTATAGATCGGAGAAACGAAGCGGACAATTCGTTTTCGTTTGATTCCTGCCCCAATCCGACGGTTTGTTCCACCTTGATCTATAATCTTTCATATATGTTTATGTTCTATAGTCCTGTTACTAGCGTTTTTGTTCTGAATCATTCTCGTATGCCTAAATTTTGATGGTGTGATTGCTAGGGTTTGTGTTTGCGCATCTACTGGGTAATTTAATTGTTTCAGATTTGATCCCGATTTGTGTTTCTCCCATTTTCCATTTCCGTCGGCTTTGCTCTCCAGTTTAGCTTTCCGGTGTCACCGAATTGTTAATCTCAAGTGTTTCGGAACTGGATTACGAGTTTGTCTTCATGTATCTCGTGGAATTGGATTAGCATTAGCCCAGTAATTGCATGTTTTATGCTGTGTTTGTTGGATTTTAAGTTTTTTTCCCATTTTATATAAACTCTTACACTGTTTATTTATTATGTATGCAGGTGCTTTTGTTTGTCTGCTAAAAAAATGTCGAATTATCAAGGAGATGAAGCGTACATCGAAGACGTAGATGATGAGATGGAGGATGTGGAAGATGATATGGATGAGGAATTCCGTGGCGATGACCTAGGTGCATCAGATTCTGATGTTGAGGAATTTGACTACTCGGTACTTATCTATAATGTTTTTTTTGGCTATTCTACTTTGTAATCTCGTTTTTTTCAGCCTTCTTTTCGTAATCATATACATATTTGTGTGTGTTCTATGGTTTCAGAATAATAAAATAGCTGATACCTCGGCGGAACAAGCCCGGAAAGGGAAAGATATCCAGGGGATTCCTTGGGACAGACTTAGTATTTCTAGAGAGAAATACAGACAAACTAGATTAGAACAGTATAAGAATTATGAAAACGTCCCTAACTCTGGGGAAGCATCGGAAAAAGTAAAGACTTTACACTCTCTGATTTTCTATTTTTTTGTTAGTGTTTAGGTTTCTACAGCAATTTAATGCATTCATCGTTTTTTTTGGTATGAACTCAGGTCTGCAAGGTCACTCAGAAAGGGGGGCGTTTTTATGACTTTTGGCGGAATTCAAGATCTATTAAATCTACTATCCTTCATTTCCAGGTCTTTATTTATACTGAGAGAGTTTGCTAATTTGGACTAGTTGATACTTTATACTTCTTTTATTTGTGAGTCGATTTATTAACTGTGTTTGACATGGTTAGTTGGTTACTTTAAGGACATAGCATTATTATCTGATCAAGGATCTTTATTGGTTCCATAGTTGAGGAATTTGGTGTGGGCAACTTCCAAGCATGACGTGTATCTTATGTCAAATTTTCTGGTGACTCATTATTCATCTCTGACGTCTGGTAAGAATGAGGTTCTCAATGTTCACGGTCATGTTGCACCATCTGAGGTTAGTTTTTATTTTCCAGAATGTAAAGTTCTACTCTAATGCAACTATATTGTTATGTGATTCTGAACTGTTTCGTTTGTGTGGATCATTTAGAAACATCCTGGAAGTTTGCTGGAAGGGTTTACGCAGACTCAAGTGAGTACACTTGCAGTAAAAGACGACTTTTTGGTTGCTGGTGGATTTCAAGGAGAACTTATTTGCAAGGTGAGCCTAGATCTATTGATAACGGTTTAAGGATCAATCACACTAGCTTCTTGCATTCTCAACTGATGAGCTTCATTTGTTTATGCTTTCAACATTGGTTCAGCATCTTGATCGACCAGGCGTCAGCTTCTGCTCTCGTACAACTTATGATGATAATGCTATTACCAATGCTATTGAGATCTACAACAAACCCAGGTTTTTGCTCGTCTGTTACTGATGGTTCAACATAAATTGTTGAGAGTCACTTACGCACTGCTTCTAACTTAGTTTTTGTCTTCTCTTGACAGTGGTGCACTTCATTTTACTGCCTCCAACAATGACTGTGGAGTTAGAGATTTTGACATGGAGAGATACCAGCTTGTCAAGCATTTTCGTTTTCCTTGGCCAGTGAATGTAAAGTCCTTGATTCTTTCTCGGTTTCGCTTTTTGATCATCACTTGCATCAAATAGTCTGACTTTCAGTTAGGCTTTTGTCACCCATTTTTTTTTTTCAGTTTACCAATAAATGTGCTTGTGCTTTAATCCATATAACGAAAATGGTATATTTTTGTTCTTTTCAATTTGTTGGTACAGCACGCATCTTTGAGTCCTGATGGTAAATTACTGGCTATTGTTGGGGACAACCCCGAGGGCCTTATAGTAGACCCCAACACCGGAAAGGTATATATTCATTGTCCTTTACATAAGTGTGTAAATTAGTCAAATGTTTTATTTCCATGCCAAATATTTTGAAAATTCCTTTGCAGACGTTGGAAACACTATCAGGACATTTGGACTATTCCTTTGCCTCGGCGTGGCATCCAGACGGAGTCACTTTCTCAACGGGAAACCAGGACAAGACCTGCCGTGTATGGGATATGCGCAACCTATCTCAGTCCGTTGCTGTCTTGAAGGGTAGCCTAGGAGCAATCCGGTCGATCCGGTACACATCCGATGGGAAGTACATGGCCATGGCTGAACCGGCCGACTTTGTCCATGTCTTTGACGTCTCAAACGGGTATGAAACAGAGCAGGAAATCGACTTCTTTGGGGAGATCTCTGGGATATCTTTCAGCCCTGACACAGAGGCGCTCTTCATTGGTGTATGGGACCGCACTTACGGCAGCCTCCTTGAGTATAGTCGGCGCAGGAACTATTCCTATCTTGATTCGTTTCTTTAAAGCAAGAAAGAGAAGTATACACAACACAAGCCATCCGCGAAATGAAGGACAGAAAAGCAAAACATAGATATAATGGATCTCTTTTAAAGGTGTACAATGTACATGATGTGTTGTTGTGCGATTGCTAGTAGTTAGCGTCTTTTGTTTCGGTTACCGGCTCTGGTGTGTTGTTTTACTTATGTCCTTGTCTTCTAAAGGCTCAAGCTCCGTGGAAGATTTGTACAGAAAAGGCTGGTTCAATGGTGGCACAGACTGGACCAGGGATTTGGTGGTGGTGCTGCAGCTGGAGCCCATTATTGTTCGGTTTGGTGGCTTGCGAGTCTTCTTTCCTTTCTTCTTTTATTTGTGGTTGTTGTAGGAACTCCAGTGTTAAGATCCTGTTGAGTTGGTTAGAACGTGGAGATGTTAGCTAAACTAAAATATCCCTTGTCCGTTATAATTCGGTTACAAACCTTAATAACAAGCAATTTCTCTCTAAATAGCAATATGTTAGTAGCATATATATTTTTACTTTGTTATATATGCTTGTTCTCTTCTGAAGTCCTAACACTAAATATGAAAATCGATTTCAGAAAAAACAGGGTAACGAGAGTATTGGTAACTACTGAGTGTAAATTACAGAAATGGGAACAGTGAGAGTGAGAATAAAGAAGGATCTTACTGCAAAATTCTACCTGAAAATCTTATAATCCAGAAGGAACCAATGAGATACAGCCACGTCACTTTTTCAGATATATCGTTGATCCTACAAACAAAATCTTCTTCTTCTCGTCTTCCGCAAAAAGTCAAAATTACAATCACTTTTGCCTACACTTAAAGCCACTCATCTCCTCCCACCACAATCTCACAGAAGAAAATGGCGACTAGCTCATCGGCACTACTCTCTCCTACAACCTTCTCCGCCGCGATTCCCCAGAGAAACCCCAATTCCATCTCCTTCCACGGCCTCCGACCTCTCCGCAACCTCGGCGGAAACTCCTCCGCTCTGCCCAATCTCTCCATCGCCACCGGTACAAGAAGATCTTCCTCGGCCGTCGTGAAATCCGCGCTGAATCCCTCCGTCGTGATCAGCCTCAGCACGGGCCTCTCACTGTTCCTAGGCCGATTCGTCTTCTTCAACTTCCAGAGAGAGAACGTGGCGAAACAGGTGCCGGAGCAGAACGGGAAAACGCACTTCGAAGCCGGCGATGATCGGGCCAAGGAGTACGTGAGTCTGCTGAAATCGAACGATCCCGTTGGATTCAACATCGTCGATGTTCTCTCTTGGGGATCAATCGGACACATCGTTGCTTACTACATCTTAGCTACTTCGAGCAACGGTTACGATCCCAACTTCTTTGGCTGATTGTATATTACTATGAATTAGCTCCACAAGTACAAATCTCAGATAGATTCTCAAGACTTTGTACTGATAAGATTAAAAATGTGAAATGAATTATTTATTACGGAACTGACCAGTTTTGAGTTGATGATGTTCTGTCATAATCTTAGCCAAATCTAAACTTTTGGTCTGGACGGACATAATTAATTTGGCTATGCCAGTAAAAAGACACAACAAAATGGCAGTTGCTAAAAGAAGAAGAAGCAAGAAAGGCGCTAATCCGCAGTTAGTAACTGCTTCACTAACCCTAAAACCATAAACATGACAAAGTTCAACAACAGATCAAACACATAAACATTCAAAGGAATACTTCTCTACACTCTAGAGAAACAAAGGCAAATGTTACAACAAAAGGGCAAAAAACCCTACTGAGGCACTGTGGCTGCTGCAGAAGCAGAAGCAGCAGCAGCTCCAGACTCATGAGAAGATTTATATTCCAACATCTCAGTTCTGTATCTCTCCACATCCTTAACTCCTCTGTCCTGATAAACCTGTTTAAAAGGATAACCAAATTTTAATCAAAGTATCAAACACTGGTTTTAACAAAAATAAGGATTTTATTTGATTTTATTTGATGGTGATGATGATTCGCTTACCTGTTTCTCAGGTTCAGTGAGAGTGCTCCACATGTGTCCTATCTTCTTGGTGATAGAACGCTCCTGTCCATGGTACTGAGGTTTCAGCCTAGCGTACTGCTCAGCGAAGAAGAAGTTGTAGCCACTCCTGTGGCATTTGGGTTTCTGAGAATCAACTATAGCCAATCTTGATTTCTTCTTATGCCGGCGTTGTGATGATGGTCCTGTGGCTGAAGGAGGTGGTGCTTCCACGGTTGGCTGGGGCTGGCTTGGTGGTTTAGCCAGGTGGTAAAGCACACCTTTCAGCTCTTGAGAGCCTATCTTCATCGTCACCAGATACCCACTCTCAAATTTCCCATCAATGTATCCATGAACCGAACACCCAATTTGTGGTTCATCAATGCCTGCAAATTCCATAAGAGTTACAATTTAGGTTACACACAAGTGGTGAATCTATGCCGTAATCTTAAACAGTTATGAGGAACAACCAGTAGCAATGTTACTCTTTTAGTTGTCAAAAAGGATAAACAATACAACACCTAAAAAGGAATGAAGCAGAGAGAGCTACTAATGAACCTAAATGTTAATTTGAAGCAGCACTAGACATGACTTATTTATAAAGAAGCTCTTATAAACTCTACCCAACGGACTACTAAATACAACATTTTACAAGCTATGCATGAAGAAAGAAAGATATGGAGGAAAGAAAGACAAGCCAAAGAGTTGGAGAAACTTTTCTAATACCTTCCTCAGGGTTTGGGGATGCACTGGCAAGGTTCTTCATTGCTTCATCTGGAAAATCATGAGAATGTTGGCTTGTAACTCAGCAGCATGTAAGGAGAGAAAAAAGACATAAAAAGAGATGGGAGTTTTGGTGTTGAAAAAGACCTGTTGACTGGATGGAAGAAGCTGGCTTTTGAAAGTAGTACACATGCTCCAGCTGGTAAAGGAACTTGAGGTAATACTTCCTCAAGACAAATGATGCACTCGTTATCGTATTCGGAAAGTTGAATGCACCAATCACTTCTCTCCATTTCCTATCCTTGATAACCTAGAACAACCACACACAAACAAGGTTATGTCAATACTCAATGGAACCAAAACTCTCCCAACAATATGATCTTTCTTTGGGGGCTAATAGAAGACTAGACTAAACTCATACCTTTTCAATGCCACCTCGAGACGTAACCTCGACGAAAAGCCGATGCAGATCGAGACTGGTTCCTCCCACAGTAGGAACCCTATACAGAGCGTCAGAAAAATGTTTTCAATCCAACTTGTTAGAGAAAACAAACATGAAAATTTTTATCTGTAAGAAATGGATCAATGGAAAATAAAAGACAAGACAACACCCAAAAGAATAAAATCATAATTACATTATCAAGATCTAGGCTTAATTTATAATCCTTATGAACTAGACAGTTTACAAAATACAGATAAACAGGGTGAAGAAGACGGCAAATAAACCCAATTAAACAGTCAATACGCATGACATAACGAATTTCTGCATTCACCAATCACAGTAAATCTTCATAAAGGGATGTATATCTATGCAATTGCAACAATCCGGATTAGCTATTAAACCCTAATCAAAATGTTCAACATTTCACTGAGCAAAAGATCTAAATGCTTCTGCTTCCATCTTACGAAATAAAATATCAACTATTAAATCCACAACCCTAAACAAATCTTAGAGCAAATTACGAACTCCAAACAATAATTATAATTGCATGTGTCTCATCATTAATTCTACAATCACTGAACTGGAAAACACCATTAAATTTCAATTTCATCGGCACAAAGATAAAATAACAATCCAGAAACGAAACAGACTAGGGTTTTCTTTCATCTACAATCCTAAACCCAACGAAGCGGTCTCATAAAAGCTAGAAAAACAAACACGAGAAAAGGAAAAGAAGAACTCACTTCAAAGTGTTGATGGAACATCCGAGCAGAGCTTTGAGCGTCTCCCAGAAGAGGGCAGAGCTTCGGACAAGATCTTCGTATTTGGCCGTACCAGAGGAATCGCCGCAGCTCTTCTTGTCTGAAGGATAACCATTAACGGGGTCCACGTGAATTTGCGAGTAGGGTGAAATATCGGTCGACATCTTTGCTTTTGGCCGTCTTGGTAAAGGTAAGAGAGAGGACCGTATTTAAGATTTTATCTTTGGTTTTAAGATTAATCTTTTGCTTTCAATTGAAGACCAAAACATAAAGGATACACGATATATCACACAAATATGGAATTAGTTTTCTATTCTTACCTAAATCTTTATTTTTCTTGGGAAATAACTCCAAACCAGGTGCATATCTATATAACAAGCGACAAATCCAATGACTCCCTTTTTTGCTAATTACTTTAATTAGATTTTGAATGACATCAGATAGCCCATAACAACAGCCTTTTTCTTGGTTAATGGGCCTATCTAATCCAACGGCCTCTTAGATTAATTAATCCATACAATAACACAAAAACCAGAACAGAAAAAGCCAAACCAAACCGAAAATGCTACAAAACTCAAACGGTTATTAAATTTATAAACCCAAAAAACCGGATCTGAACCCGAACTGAAAACCGAATGAATAACCAAAAATACACATTATAATTCAAAAATAACTAGTTATTTTTATTTTTATAATAACTAAACTATCAAAAATTATAATTCTATACTGAATATATTAGCTATATTTAGAATCAAATAACCAAAATATTTGAAATATCCTAAATCTTGTAATAATATTTATTTAAATTCATTTTTTTTGCAAAATTTAATTTAATTTCATTTAAACTATTTTTTTTATTTTTTTATCCGATGTTCCGGAATCCGAAACCGAACTGAACCCGAACATATAATGAAAAAAATCGAATGGTTTATTTATCTCTAGAACCGAATAAACCGAAAACACAAAAATCTGAACCGAACCGAACTGAAAAACCGAACGCCCAAGGATTAGCTTATTGTATTTCGGCTAAAAATCTTATGTAAATAAATATAACACCTTATATTTTAATAAATCTATATTATAATAATTAGATAATTCTCTCCATCTTGATGACTCAACAACTTTTTTTTGTTGATTATGGAGATGCCATGTGGCATCTTGATGATTTTCAGTTTCTAAAAAATTTAAATTAAAAAAACTCTTCACATTCTCGGGTTGTACGATCTAAAAAACCAATAGTTCTTCTTTGTAGCTTTCAATTGATAACTTGCTCCTCCCCTCTGCTCTTAACTATTTAAATTCACTATATTAACAAAATCTGACAAGATACATGACCCTAAGTTAGAGTCTCTGACAAAACATAGGAGTTGCGAATTTCGAATTTCACAATCTAAAACTTTACAATTCTATAAAATCGAACAAAACCCAGAATTTGAGTGATGAGCACATTGATCGAAGAAGAGTCCATGAAAGCAAGTGTGAAAAGTAATTTGTTGTTGAGCTTTAAATCTCACTTGAGAATTACCATTTGTGAATAAGATTGGAGAAGCTTTTCGAATAATATCATAAAAAGCAGCAGCATTGTGAAGGAGAGACATCAATGAGTCCCGGTAAAACACTATTTTGGCACACCAAAGACGCGGATTGAGAGGGTGTGAGGGCGAAGGTAGAATCTTGAAAGAGAACGGGAAGGCGGCAGACAGGAGCGAGGCTGACAAATGAAGATAAAATTTGGGATTGAAATGGAGATGAGGTTGCGGTTTTGGTGTGATAATGAATTGATTCGTCTTTCCTATGATTAAATGCCACGTGGCATCTATTTATTAGAAAAAAAAATTTAAAAACAATTTAAATGGTTGATGATTTTTCAGTTTCTACATTCAAGTTAACTATTCACATTCTCAGGTTTAAATAACAATTATGAGTAAATAAATAAATAAATGAAAGTTAGCATTGAAGGTTTAAAGGAAAATAATGATAATAACTAAGTATTTATGTAATATATTTACAATTTTTTGTATAAAATTTTGTTCGTTTGCTTATATACAGAAATATGCGAAAATGTTAAGTATAAACAATATAATATTATCGGGTAATCATCGATTAAAGATAATTCATGTATCGTTAAATAGTATTCAAAATATACTTATAAAATTTAGGATCACAATAGTGCAATAGTTCAAAACATTACATTTAAGAAATTCAAATTAAAATCATGACACAAACAAATAACTAAGTCATTAGTATGATAATATGAATTTAAAAATTAATTATAAATATTTATAGTTTAATTAATTAATAAAATTTAAAATTTGATATAGTTGTAGTTTCAATTATAATCTTATATAAAGTGAATTTAACAGAGAACTGTCGGGACAAGAATCCTTAAAAGAGTTTGCTTGAGCATTAGTATATCTGAAAGAGATTTTATTATTACAACAATAAATGGTATGCTGAAAGAAAACAAAAATGTATGGTAACACAACAAGAACAAGCGAAATCTATGGATTTTTTTATCAAGTTGGTATAACTAATCGTGAAGCAGGAGAGACTTGGAGGAGCATAAACCGAAGTACGGAGACGAGCAAGATCAGTTGTGTCAAGAGATAAAGACTGAACTTGCATGTTTTTCCTAACATGTTTCCACGGTTTGGTTCAGGATCTTCTGTCAGCGAATGTACCTTCTTCTTCGGTTCTTTGAGTACTTGTAGTGGTGAATCCAGAGAACTTGTGAGCACCAAATGCAAGATTTCAGTTTCGATCCTTCTCTGGAAGATGCCTTCAAGTTCAGATTCAATCTTTAAGTTTTCAAGTTCTTGGATTCTATCTTCCTTTGCCTCGAGAATACTCCTTGCTTCCTCTAGTTTGTGTTCGAGATGTTTCACCTTCTGCTTTAAGACCAGTGCCTGTGATCCTGACGATGTTGAGTTCTCTTCTCTACAACTCTCTACTATGTCCGAATGTAGCGGTATAGATTCTTTACCAAGCTCCTGAAAACTCTGAACCTCTGCACATGTTTCAACCACATAGTAGTTAGCTTAAAAAACATCAAATAACAATGAGAGGTTTATGAGTTTGTGTGACAAACCTTTCCAAAGAGCTTCTTGCAGAGCTGAAAGATTCCTAATAGAATCTGCAATCTGATCCTTGTCTCCCCAATAACGGTTGTTTTTCTTACTCTTGCTTCCTCCATCTTCATCGTTTTCGCCATTTTCGCTATATGTTTGAACTTCCTCCTCCTTAACCTGACCTCCATTGTTAGCAACAGAAACAGCACCACTGGAAAACACAAAATCACTACTTCTCAAGTCGGAATCCAAACTGGAACAAGGCTTTTCGTTCTCTGTTTTCTTCCGATCTTCACTGCTCTTCTTGATGGTATCATTCCCTGAAACAATCTTCCCTCCGGTATGTTCTTCACCTTTCTCAAAAGCTTGGCCTACGGTAAACGACATAAAACCGGGATCGGGACTAAACCCGTTGGCTAAACCGGGATGGTGATGGTGATGATGATGATGCACCATGTTCACAGATCCAACAGAGCCTTCTTCACTACTCTGCCTTGCTTCAACTGAAGACAAGTCCACATGTTTAGAAGGAGGATTCACTGAGCCAGTCAATCCACGCTTCAGCAACTTACCACCATCATCAACAGGTGCAGAAGCTGCAGCCTCATCCTTCACCGGACCATCTCTTTTGATTCTTCTCCATTTCTTCAAACCGAAACCTTTTCTTCTCAATTGCTGCACTGATCCACCCGGAGATTCATCTCTAAAACCATCAGATTGTTGAGGTGATCCAATACTCTCCTCATGATCATCATCAGGCAATACTAATAATCCGTTTTCTATAGATTCTGCATCTGCGGATGATCTGTGATTCATAACCCCAGGATTATCAGCAGGAACTGAGTCACCATTTTTTTCCACAGATTCAGGGACTTCGTGATTCATGCCTGAAACAATATCAAGGTATCAAATTATCAGAGACAAATCTGAAAATTCCTAGATTGCTTAGAACACTCAAGTACTAGATTCAGCTCACTACTTTATGAAAAAAGGAACTGATTTACAGTGAGAAGAGAACTCAAACGAACTACGATGAACAAAACTCAATTCCCGATTCAACAATCATCTGGGGGAAAAGAAAAAAAGAAAAACAGAGAAGCGAATCGAATCCAATTGGAAACATCGAAAAGCGTACCTAAGACCAGAGTCCATTCAACGAGGGCTGTTACAGAGAAGCGAATAGCGATGGATTTTGAGGTGAAAAGAGGTAAATAATTTTGAGCATTAATGGTCAAGCGACGGAGAAATGCGCCGACATTATTGAGGATGAGAGTAAATTATTACCGGAGCTACATCAACGATCCTTTTCTTCGAACTGTTCGGAGAATAATTAAAAGTAACGAAGATGGTGCGAAACACATTGGGTCCCACATGACATAAACCCACTGCGCACAGCTGGCCGTCCGATCTGGTCTGGGATTACAATATGAGCCCGATATGTTGGGCCCTTAAGGCCCGCTAAAACTAACTTTTCAAAGTTCAAACTCGGGTTATATGCACCATCCTTACATGCAAGCCCAGGCCTATAATGTATGTATTTATTTTTTGGATACAATCAAATAACTCGAAAATGTAAGGCAAATTTTTAATTTCTAAAGAAACAATCAATACTATAAATTCAAACATTTAACGCAAAATGTCGTCGAACATGAACATCTCTACAAATTCTCTCCCGCTAAAATTTGATAGGTAAGAGATCCAACTATGGGATATTGAGACAAAGATCGAAGAAGAGATCCGTGCAGGAGAGAGGCTTTAATACGTTAACATGGGTCGACGATTGACTTCTCAATACATAGGATGTCACGTTCCCTTAGTAATAGTGCCTCGATCAGTGATATATTCAATTTATCATACCTTTTTGTGGACGATGCGTGTGTTTATTTATATATTCACAGTTTCCTACAAATTCAACGTTATATGTACAGCGAGGAACAATATTTCAACCTAAATCTACCTAAATATCGGCTTTGCTCATAAGTTGATTCCTCCACGAAACTACGACGTACTTACTTCTATTGGAAATCCGGTAAAGGGAAATTTTTTTTGTAAATATAATTTATTAAAGATGTGTATCTTTTTTATGGATCAATCATAATATTCAAATCAAGTGTAAATTTCTCATTTACCAATAAATCATATATCAATGCGCTATACTGTGGTTCGTTGTTCGGTTAACACCTAACGTATTAAAAAACACTAATACATCCATGACAAACAAAAAGAAATTGAACAATATTAAATGTACGTAATAGTTGTACCATAAATTAGGCAGATTTTAATGCGATGATTCCGCTATTCTAAGAAAAAAAGCTTATTATTAAGAAGAAAAATATCATTTTCATTATTAATGCATGAAAGTGATAGGTAAGATTTTCATATCAAATCAAATTTTCGTCTTATCTTAGAGACTTCGGCCCATTTTTATGTTATTTCTACTAAATATTTTAACAAAAAAAGTTGTTTATTGTTTCCTTTTTATTACATTTTTGGACCAAAGTTTTCTTAAGAAGATTTTATTTTCTTTCTTTCCATTGCAACAAGTATTTTCTCTCTATATTGCTCTAAATTAAAAGAAAAACTACATAAATTATTTGAAAGCTAAAACAAAACAAAAATGGAGGAGAGAATCTTTGGAGGTCACACAAGATGTGCTCGTGCGGCCGGAAATACTGACAAAACTGCAAGTATGCAACCATCCGGCCCCGCTCCGAGCCCACTCTAGTTTTCCATTAAACCCCTCGCTTTTTCTTCTTTAGTATTATTAACCCAGTCACTAAATAATCTATCTTCTTGTGCCCTTAACATTTCTTTGGGAAACTATTAACATCTACCAAATTTACAAAAGATATCCTACAGTAACGCTCGTTTTTTTGTTGTTAAAGAAAAGACATTCTACACACTAACACACGAATTAAAAATCTCTTCATACTCCGTTCATAAGTATATAGAATAAGCAATACGTGAAATGAGGACTTCGAGAACATTTTGACATCCTACACACTAACACACGAATTAACATTTTCTACATACTCTTATATATATAAGTATATAGAATAAGCAAAAAGTATAGAGAATAAGCAATACGTGAAAGGAGGACTTCGAGAACATTTTTGTCCCTTCTCCATAAGTTATGTCACGGATTTTTCGACCTAGTGTGGTTTTTTATATCTTTTGTTGGTTTTTTTTTTTTTTTTTGGTTAAGGCTTTTATAGAGTTCTGCGATCTACATATGAAATATAAATGAACGAATGTAGTAGACTCGGTTATAATTAATTTACCGCACACTATAACGTACGGATTTCGCGATCTTGTGCTATAATTTTATACATCCACCTAGGTCTCTCGTATTTTCTCATTAGTTAATACGTTTAGACGACTAACGAACCTGTGTTTGTTGACTCTATTTACATACACGTGCAGCGCAAGCATGCATAGTTGTATATATAAACAAATGATAACGACATCCCATTAAAATTTTGTGTAATTTAATCAAAGACCTCAACTAATAAATCTTCAAATTGATAGAGGATTTACACGTACAAACATTAGATAACCTTTTGGAAAAGGTTGAACAAGGATAATTTTAAGTTTATAACAGGTCCGGCTCATTATTTTAACTCGTACCTAACCTACCAAAAAGAAGTTGCTGTCACGTCTTTGCATTCATAATTTGTCAGCATCTGAGGAAATATCTATGATAATTGTTTAGAATCACTTCGGTTTCTTATTTGTTTGATATAAAATGGATACCTATAGGCTATAAAAGAATTGGGTGAAGTTTGCCGTTTGATAGAAATTGAAACAATAAAATGTATGGAACAGATCGTCTATTTCCAACCAATTAATTGAGTTTGAAAGTTGTTTAAAACTTCACGGGTAAATCCATAAATACAAAGAGTATTTGGGGCGTAAATCTGATAAAGAAGTTACGAAGGCTATAGACAAGAACCATATTTGTTTTTATATATCACGAGCTCGAGCTTCGTGCATGTAGGATTGTAGGGTGAGTATCTATTGTAAGATATTCTTAAGATTAAGTTAATTGCAGGAAAACCATTTGGTGGGATTAATAATTAGGAGAAGACTAGTCTTTAACATATGATTATGCATCCTCTTTTCACGTAGGATTAGTCGTCTTAATTTTGTCTTCTTTAGCTTTTTTTTTTTTTTTTTTTTTCTGTCTTTTTAACAATTTTTTATTTTTATTGTATTTTTTTTTTTTTTTAAATTTCCATTTTATTCATCTTATCCCAAAGAAGGGAAACAGTTACAAATAAAAAATGAATAAGGGGAAATTACACAAAGGATAAGAGAGAGCTAGAATAAGGATCGCACGGATCAAGTTAATTGGATAAACTCAAACCAAGTATGAAGGAGACTTTCCAAAGAAGATGACTGACGGGACTGGGAATTAGCGGTTTGTAGAGCTGCTCTATCAAGCCCCGAAAGTTTGGCTCGCAATGTAAGTTTTATCTCCTTCACCAAAGTGTGGAAAGTCTTTAATGAGGGAGAATGAATTCTTGCATTACGCTCTGCCCATAAGTAATAAACCACTGCTTGGAAAAGAAGTTTGCAGATAGTCCTCAAGTTGGAAGAATTAAGACAAGTAGATATCCAAGAGATAATACCGTCGAAGTCCGTCGGCGGAGATAAAGTCCCGTGAGTGAAGAAAGAGTTCCATACCGTCTGTGAATAACTACAAGAGAAGAATAAGTGGTTTCTCGATTCAACTGAGGATCCACAAAGTAAATACTCCTCTGGGACAACCAATCCCCAAGACCTCATCCTGTCTCTAGTTACAAGACGATTCAATACCGCCAACCACGAAATAAAAGCATGCTTTGGAACATGCTCCTTGAACCAGACTGCATCGTACCAAGGCACTCTTCGTGGAGAAGGATGTATCGATTTCCAGGTCTTCGCCATTGAGAATTTTCCTGGCGGCGAGTTTTGGTCATTCTTCCATAAGTAAATATCCACAGAGCTCTGAGTATTGAACACCGGAGGCGGAGGAAGACAGTTTCTTAATAAGACGGTGATCGGATGTCTTCCCCGAGGCAAGGACCAAGATCCATCAACTAGGGCCTGAGAGACAGTGGCCATTCTCGGGATACCTGAAATTCGCGGACCATTAGCTCCAATAATATCTATTAATGGACCAAGAGCCGTCCAATTGTCTAGCCAAAATAAAGCTGATCTTCCGGAAACCACTTGGCAAACAAGGAAAGGGCGAGCTAAATCTCTCAATTTCATTAATCGTCTCCAAATCCAACTTCCGGACGCCCTGAAACCAAATGTCAGAAGTCCCTTTGCTGGATGATTTTTGCTCTGGTCCAAGCTACCCACAGAGAACCCTGTTCTGCAAAAAGCATCCAAATAAGTTTAAGCCCAAAGATTTGATTGACATGGTTCAGTCTTTTCGAACCCAACCTTCCTGCTTTTTTTGGAGTACAAGCTGTTTCCCACGACACCTTGACTCCTTTTGTTGAATCCGGAGATCCAGACCATAAAAATGCATTAAGCATCCTTTCAACAACTTCCATACACCTCTTTGGAAGAGGGAAGATTGATGCCCAAAAATTGATAATCCCATTTAGAACTGATTTAATCAATTGCAGTCTACCAGCAAAAGAGAGAGGTCTCACGGTCCAAGAGCCAATTCTAGATCTCACCCTATCCAGAAGTGGCTGGCAATCTTGTAAAGATAATTTTTTTGGTAATAAGGGTAAACCCAAATACCTAACCGGGAGGGAACCGTGACGAATACCGAATCTAGCTGCCATATCATGAGTGACTTGGTAATTGTCCCCATCCAAGAAAAGAGAAGTTTTCGTCAGACTCAGTGCTAAACCCGAGATTTTCTGAAAATCCTTCAAAATATCGAAGATGCCTTGCAAAGACTCTGCTCTACCGTCGAAGAAAACAAGAAGGTCATCTGCGAAGCTCAAATGAGTAATAAGAGGATTAGAACAGAGAGGATGAGGTCTGAACCGGTTGAGAAGAGTCCCTTCATCGAGAGATTTAGAGAGAACGTCCATGGCTAAGACAAATAAAGAGGATGAGATTGGGTCCCCTTGTCTCAAGCCTTTTTTTCCTGCGAAAAAACCCACAAGTTCTCCATTAAAAGCAACAGAGTAGTGTGGAGAAGTGATACATAGCTTTATCCAATTTATAAACGTCTGAGGCAAATGGAGAGCTTCCAGAATGTTAGGCACAAACACCCAATTCCCGTTGTCATAAGCCTTGGTAATATCAATTTGTTGGCACCCTCTTGATATCTGCCCTGGCTTATGAAAATCATTTACAAGCTCCGAAGCAAGCAACACATTCTCACACAACAGTCTCCCATTAACAAAGCCCACTTGATTCCTCTGAACTGCACTCACAGTTACAAGTTTAAGTCGAGCAGCTAGATTTTTTGATATAACCTTGTAGACTGTATTGCAGAGGGAGATAGGTCGGAAATCCGTTAGCACCGACGCTCCTGGAGTTTTTGGTATGAGCGAGATCACCGTAGAGTTAACTTGTCTCCTAAGAGATCCATTAATAAAAAAGGATTTGACCGCTTCAGTTAAGTCTTGACCAACCAAATCCCACGACATTGTAAAGAACTCCACAGTAAATCCATCCGGTCCCGGGGCTTTGTTCTTGGGCAGAGAGAAAATCGTATCTCTGATCTCTTCATCCGTTGGAATCTTTACTATTATCTCTGCCAAGGAGCTGGGGCATCGATATAATAGCTTAGATTGTAACTCATTCACCGAAAGAGGTGAAACCTCATCATTAGATGACCCGAGGAGATTCTTGTAATAATTGAGCACCGTTGCCTTCATGGCATTAGTCTCAGAAATTCTATTTCTCAGAGGATCTGAGAGAAAATGAATCACATTCGTAGAGAGATTGGACTTTACTGATTTGTGAAAGAATCCTGTATTCGCATCTCCTTCTTTCAGCCATCTTATTCGAGACTTCTGCCTGAAAAAAGACTCTTCTGCAGACGCAAACATCAACCAAGAGTCCCTGGCTAGCCTTTCCTCCTCGAACAACTCCTGAGAAGGAGTAGATAAGGCTTGCCTTTGAACGTCCTCCAAACGTTGAAACGCTTCCCTGGATCTAGCTTGAATATTACTGAAGCTGCCATGATTGAGGGCTTTGCAACAGAGCTTAGCAGATCTCAGCTTCTGGTAAAGAGAGAACATTGGATCTGATGGATGAATAATAGAATTCCAAGCTTCTGTGATGAGACGTGTGTAATCCGGATGTAGAGTGAAGAAAGTGAAAAAGTTAAAGCACGAGGCTCTTCTCTGTTCACTATTCGACACTGTGACCAAACATGGAGAGTGGTCTGAACACCCCGGAACATCGAAAAGAGCGTTTGAGTCGGGAAACGAATCCTGCCATGATTCATTAATAAGTGCCCGGTCCAACTTTCTTGTCTTCGGGTTTGACGGACTCTTGTTAGTCCAGGTATGAAAACAACCTCAATAAGAGAGATCGAATAAGTCTGAATCCATCAGACAATTTCTGAACTCCTCCATACTTTGCACAGGCGGAGGAGAGGGACTGAAGGAGAATGCTTCACTGAAAGTCAAAATTTGATTAAAATCTCCCATCACAAGCCACGAAGATTCACGAAGAAGATGGCCAGAGGCAAGCTGTCTTAGAACGTTCCAAAGGGGAATTCAGTCCGCTGGAAGGTTATGCGCATAGACAAAACCAACCGTAATAGAAGCTCTAGATATAGGGTTATAGACTCCACAGAGAAGTAACTGATCCGTTTTCAAATAGGTAATCACTGAGAGGATGGGATTCCAAACAATGACTATTCTGCCATTCTCCGCTTCCTCAGAATGGTTAGAATCAAATCTCCAGCCATGAAAGCAACGGTTCATCATAGAGGGAAGATTATAGAACTTCACCCTAGTTTCCAAAAGACCGCCAAAGAGAGGACGGTTGAAGGTGATCCACCTCTTTACTGCAAGCTGCTTAGTATCGCCGTTAAGGCCCCTGACGTTCCAAAAAAAGTACTTCATATATACACCAAAAAAGGGGGCAGCGCTTGAGCGCTTATTCGGAGGGAGGAGAAACAGGGCCTTGCAGGACCTGCTTCAAAGAACCAAAAACCAATTGAGGGTGGGATAAATGCTCCTGAGCTTTAGAACTTTCCTGGGAGCATGCCTCAGAATGTGATAACAGCGCCTGGCGCTTAAGTTTTCTAGCAGTCTTCTTTGACACCACTTCTTGAATAGGAGGATCGTCCGGCTCTGGATGAGGCAAGCGAGCTCTCAGCACTGCCTTCCCTGCCTTAATCATTTCTTCCTCTTCCACAAACTGCGAAGAAGTGACAGGGATAATCGGTTGATGTCTAGAGATACCGTGGGTGAAAGTGAACGGATTTGCCCTCTATGTACAACATGATCAGAGCAGGGAGAATTTGAGGCCCTCTTAGAGTGGACTGGAGATGAAGGCAGGCTTGAGGACTTACGCTGAGGGTCAAGTCGACTGTTACTTTCCGGCACGTGAATTGGGGAGGGAACCGGAGGAGATGCCAAAGGCTGCCTCTCTGGAAGATTGGGGCGAAGCCCAAAGGAGTCAACACTGGACCGTTTAGCCTTCGACTCCGGACAACGAAACTTCAAATGGCCAAACTCATTACACAAGTTACACTTCGGTGGCAGCTTGGGGTAAAAAGCCTCAATCAAGGCTGAATTTCCCAATCTATCCTTAACTCTAACCAAAGGCGGGTGTTGCTTGTAGAGATCAATGACCACCTTCAGTTTAGTAATTCCATTAGAATATGGAGTTAACTTAGGAAACTCCGACTGAACAGGAAAACCAACACCGGAAGCTATAGTACTGAACCCCACTATCGACCACAACTCTGGGGGGATGTTCTTGAATAGGACCCAAGTTGGAGCGTGAACTAGTTTTATCGGCTTAAGCACTGAAGATGCAGTCCAAGGTGCCAGAGTGAACGAACAGTTCCCTGAGTGCCAAAACCCAATGTCCAAAGCCCATTTCCGGGTTTCCTCACAGGGAATAAGAATAAGACAGATTCTATCTGAATGCTTCTTCACCGTAATTCGACCCTTACCTCCCCAAATTGGGTTTAAATATGAGAAGATCTTAGGTGGGGAAGGCGGAGTTCCATGAAAGTATGCTATCAAGTAATTCTTCCACATTCGAGATGTACCAAAAGTAATAGATTCTGGGGCTTCTACTGTCGGAGTACCGTCCTCATCGAAAGAGGGCGAGGCCATCTTATAGAGGTTATGTGAAGCCGGCTTAAAAAGAGAATTCCATGGGGCTGATGTATCACAAGGTTGAGGAGAGACGGGATTTGAAGAGACTTGGACTGGATTTGTCTGAATTGTAGGAGAATTTGAATTCTGTAAAGCAGGCGAGCAATTCTGAGGAATCAGATCTAAGGAGCCGAAAAGGAAAAGGAGATCAGGTGGAACCGGAGGAGGTTCCGAAGAGGATTCCGCCATTAATTAAGAGAGAAAAGGGGAGGGAGAAGATTCTCGTCGGTGTGCGTGAGGCTACACCGCCGATGACGACAGAAAGAAACCCTAATCGTCTTGCAGATCGCCTTTTACTGTTCCTTTTGGTACAAAATAATTGTTAAAACTCCTTTTTTTAACAACATTTCTCCCCAATTTTCTCTCTTTGTCAAATTTCTTCTCTTTCTCGTTTGCAATTTTCCAGCAAAGAGGAGGAAAAAAGGGGGCAGGGTTTCATTCTTTTCTTCTTCTTCCTCTTCCTTTAATTATCCGAGAGTGTCTCAGCTTCTCATTTTGTCAAACAGATAAAAAAAGCACTCTCTTTTTATTTATTTTATTCTTCTGTGAAATTTTGATTTCCCTAACTGTGTAGTGGTCGTACTAAACACGCATCTTCCTTTTGTATGCAAAAGCCAAAAGCTGTGTAGCTTAAAGCAGCTCCTTTTTTGGGTTGAATTCAACAGTCGTTTTTTACGGGTCCGACCATCTCTGACTGCAACATCGTACTTGAGGAGAGACAACACTGTCGAAGACCATCTCCGTAGTCTTCTTCACAATAGAAACATCTCTCTGTCTCTCTGTACTTCTTCTCTCCCTTTTTCCGTCCCTGTCAGCCTTTGATTTCGCTTTTTGTTTCTTCACAGTCTCTTTCTCTCCGGCACACATATACATGTATGTATCTACTTCTTTGATTTTGCCAAATAACCATTGTTTCTCTACTGTCAATTCAGAAATTTGATTTCACTTTTGATTTCAGTGTTCTTCAGTGGGATATGTCCATGAATGAATCCAAAGTCGACGAAAAGAAGATCCTTGAGCTCGAATTGAAATCTCAGTCTCTCTTCAAATGATTCTTCTGGGAATTTGATCGAACACTTGGTGGGCCCAACAATATGAAGCAACAATGGCAGCTCGTGAACCTCTGCTTGATTGTCTTGTTATTAGCGGTGGACGCTCGTGGCAGACAGCTACTCAGCGACGACAATAACGAACCTGCTCTGTTATTGGCGTTCAAGCAAACCTCCGTCAAGTCGGATCCGAACAATTTTCTGGGTAATTGGAAATACGGGTCGGGTCATGACCCATGTTCTTGGAGAGGCGTCTCTTGCTCTAGCGATGGTCGAGTCGTGGGTCTCGATTTACGAAACCGTGGCCTTACCGGAACCCTAAATCTTCATAATCTCACGGCGCTGCCGAATCTCCGGAATCTCTACCTGCAAGGAAACTCATTTTCGTCGGGTGGAGAATCCTCTGTTTCTTCTTCCGGGTGTTCTCTCGAGGCTCTGGACTTATCTTCAAACTCGCTATCGGACTCTTCAACGGTGGATTACGTTTTCTCTAGCTGTTTGAATTTGGTTTCTCTCAATTTTTCGAGCAACAAGCTCGCCGGAAAACTGAAGCCCGCTCCGTCGACGAGTAACAAACGAATCACCACCGTCGATCTCTCGTTCAATCTCTTTTCCGAGGAGATTCCCGAGACTTTCGTATCGAGTTTCCCGGCGTCTCTGAAACACCTCGATCTATCTCACAACAATTTCTCCGGCGACTTCTCCCGTCTCAGTTTCGGACTGTGCGGAAACCTCACCGTATTTAGTCTATCTCAAAACAACATCTCCGGCGACAGTTTTCCAATTAGTCTATCAAACTGTAACCTCCTCGAGACGCTAAACCTCTCTCGGAACAGTCTCTCTGGGAAGATACCCGGAGATAGATACTGGGGAAATCTCCCGAATCTCAAACAGCTCTCCCTCGCACACAACAGTTTCTCCGGCGAGGTTCCACCGGAGCTCTCTCTGCTCTGTCGAATCATTGAGGTTCTCGATCTCTCCGGCAACAGTCTCACCGGTCAGCTCCCGCAATCATTCACATCCTGTGGCTCGTTACAAAACCTAAACCTGGGAAACAACAAACTCTCCGGCGATTTTCTAAGCACCGTCGTGAGCAAACTCCCTAAAATCACTTATCTCTACTTGCCATTCAACAACATTTCAGGCTCTGTTCCGATTTCGCTCACCAACTGTACTAATCTCAAAGTTCTTGATCTGAGCTCAAACGACTTCACCGGAAAACTACCATCAGGCTTCTGCTCTCTCCAAACTCCGTCCGTTCTCGAAAAGCTGCTTATCGCCAACAATTACATTTCAGGAACTGTTCCTGTGGAGCTCGGTGAATGCAAGAGCTTGAAGACGATAGATCTCAGCTTCAACGCTCTCACAGGTCCGATTCCAAAGGAGATATGGACGTTGCCGAATCTCTCCGACTTAGTTATGTGGGCGAACAATCTCACCGGTGGAATCCCTGACGGCATTTGTGTCGACGGAGGAAACTTGGAAACTCTCATCCTCAACAACAATCTCTTAACCGGTTCTGTACCGGAATCAATCTCTAAATGCACCAACATGCTCTGGATCTCCCTCTCCAGCAACTTGCTAACCGGTGAAATCCCGGTTGGAATCGGAAAGCTTGAGAGCTTGGCGATTCTGCAACTCGGGAACAATTCTTTAACCGGGAACGTCCCACGCGAGCTTGGGAGCTGCAAGAGCCTTATCTGGCTTGATCTGAACAGCAACAAACTAACCGGAGACCTCCCGGTTGAACTTGCAAACCAGACCGGGCTAGTAACGCCCGGAAGCGTCTCCGGTAAACAGTTTGCGTTTGTGAGGAACGAAGGTGGGACTGATTGCAGAGGAGCAGGCGGTTTGGTTGAGTTTGAAGGCATTCGTGGAGAGCGGTTAGAGCACTTCCCGAGGTTTCATTCTTGTCCGGCGACTCGGATATACTCCGGCATGACCATGTACACTTTCTCCGGGAACGGGAGCATGATTTACTTGGACCTCTCGTACAATGAGGTTTCAGGTTCTATTCCTCTGAGTTACGGTGGCATGAGATACCTTCAGGTCTTGAATTTGGGACATAACTTGTTAACCGGAACCATACCGGAGAGCTTTGGGGGATTGAAAGCGATTGGAGTTCTTGATCTGTCTCACAATGATTTCCAAGGATACTTACCTGGATCACTTGGAGGACTCTCTTTCCTTAGTGACTTAGACGTCTCTAACAACAACCTAACCGGAGCTATACCGTTTGGTGGCCAACTTACGACGTTTCCGGTTACAAGATACGCAAACAACTCCGGTCTTTGTGGGGTTCCTCTCCCTCCTTGCAGCTCCGGTTCTCGGTCCGTGAGCTCTCATGCTCACCCTAAGAAGCAGAGCGTTGCGGCTGGGATGATCACTGGGATTGTGTTTTCTTTCATGTGTGTTTTGATGCTTACGTTGGCGTTTTATCGAGTGAAGAAGGTTCAGAAGAAGGAGAAGCAGAGAGAGAAATACTTTGAGGGACTTACAACCTCAGGTGGTAGCAGCAGCTGGAAGCTCTCTAGCGTTCCTGAGCCGTTAAGCATCAACGTTGCAACGTTTGAGAAGCCGCTTAGGAAACTCACTTTTGCACACCTTTTGGAAGCCACGAACGGGTTTAGTGCCGATAGTATGATTGGCTCAGGCGGGTTTGGAGATGTTTACAAGGCTCAGCTCGCGGACGGGTCTGTTGTAGCAATCAAGAAGCTGATTCAAGTGACGGGACAAGGGGACAGAGAGTTCATGGCAGAGATGGAGACGATTGGCAAAATCAAACATAGGAACCTTGTTCCTCTTTTGGGTTACTGCAAGATTGGTGAAGAGAGACTTCTTGTTTATGAGTACATGAGATACGGAAGCTTAGAGACCGTTCTACACGAGAGGACCAAGAAAGGTGGAGTCTTTCTCGATTGGACCGCGAGGAAGAAGATTGCGGTAGGAGCTGCGCGTGGGCTAGCTTTCCTGCACCATAGCTGCATTCCTCACATTATCCATAGAGACATGAAGTCGAGCAACGTTCTTATAGACAAGGATTTTGTGGCACGTGTCTCGGATTTTGGTATGGCGAGGCTGGTGAGCGCTATGGACACGCACTTGAGCGTGAGCACGCTCGCGGGTACGCCTGGATATGTTCCACCAGAGTATTACCAGAGTTTCTGGTGTACTACCAAAGGAGATGTCTACAGCTACGGGGTTATACTTTTGGAGCTTCTCTCAGGCAAGAAACCGATCGATCCTGAGGAGTTTGGTGAAGACAATAACCTTGTGGGATGGGCTAAACAGCTCTATAGGGAGAAGAGAGAAGCTGAGATTCTTGACCCGGAGTTGCTAACAGAGAAGTGTGGCGATGTTGAGCTGTTTCATTACTTGAAGATCGCGTCTCAGTGTCTGGACGATCGACCGTTCAAAAGGCCAACTATGATTCAAGTCATGGCCATGTTCAAAGAGCTTGTTCAGGTCGATACAGAGAATGATAGTCTGGATGAGTTTTCTGTCAAGGAAACGCCATTGGTCGAAGAATCACAAGATAAAGAGCCTTGATGAGAGATTGTGGAATCCAGGGAGATCAAGAAGATTTACAATTTGATGTCTTCTTGGGACTTTTGTTGTCAGTGATCTCGGTGTATATGATAAAAGTATAGCAAATCCAGTCTGTAGAAGAAGAACAACAACGATACAACTTACGTTTTTCTATCTTTGTTCCTCTCAGTGACTCAGTCTGATATTGGACTCTCTAAGATAGATTAAAGATATTGAAGCTGTTATAAGTATTAGCTATCCAGAGGAAAATAGTAAACTTAGAGATTGGAGATTAGGGAAGAACACGTTTATGTGAGACAAATTAGATTCTCTGCTTATTTCATTGAAGAATATAGATACATTACATATGCGATACAAAAAGTGAGGAACAAAAAGAAGAAGGAGATGCGTCTTTTTAAATGAAGAAAAAAAATTACTTGAGGGGATAGACATACATACATTTCAAGTTCATGTATATACGAATAAACCATATGCTTTTAAAAATCAATTCGATAAAATTAAAATAAATAAAAAGACCCAAAAAAAAAACAGTAAATAAAATACTATAAGTCATGCAAATGCCTCTCATCGATCAAATCAACAGAAGAGCCAAACTCTTTTGTTGCATTTAAAAGCATTGTGTTGTGAAAGTCAACTTAGGCTCCAGCGTAAGGGGTAGGAATAGGTTTGCCCTTGACGAGACCACATTGGAGGCTTGTCGGAGGCATGTTGTATTCATCTCTCAGTGACTTGGTCGGCGACAAGACACTCACGTAGAGCTGCTGTCCTAAGTAACGTCTCTCGGTGTTCTCAGACCTAATGTTCCACATTCCACAGTTGTCGAATGTGAGCAAGATTGCTGCCCAGCATTTTGGGTAGACTTGGACTGTGTGTCTGCTCACTGCGTCCAGAAGGTTGTAGTTCTTTCTCTTCTCTGGGGTCCAAGTACCTGGCTCGACACTTTGAAACAGAGTAAAATTGAAAACTAGGTTAAACGAATGGTTACTTGTAACGCAAGAATCTGGTTGTTATGACAGAAATGAATAGATTTGAGTGTTTGCTTATTGCACTTACGCGACGGCGAAGAAGGAGTAACCGTTTAAGTGCCAAGACTGAACACTCTTCTCGTGGTTCTCAAACACAACTTCGATGAAGGTGCGGTGAGTGATGTTAAGAACGTTTGGCTCGATCTTGATGCTCTTGATTTGTTCCGGGGTTGGGTTGTCGGTGATGGTATCGTACTTGAAGACCTTGTCAGCAACACCGAAGTACTCAGCAAGCTTAAGTGGGGTTTCAGGGTCGGTGTGCGAGACTCCGTTCAATGCGTACCTAAGCTTTCCATCGACCTTGCCCTGAGTGTTGACGAGCTTGATGGTACGTGTGATGTTGATCTTTCCGTAGTGGTAAGATCCCTGAGGGTTGGGCCTAGCGGCACTAGCGGTCAAGTTCCACCTGAAAGATCGGAACTGGTTCAAAGACCAAGCCCAGCCGACTGGACCAGCAGGGAGCTGCGAAGAGGCGGGTCCTTTGCCTCCCTCGTAACGGAGAAGTCCGGTTGTTGTAATAACCGACTTCAAGAACCTAGAGGATGCAACCATGAAGTAATCTTTAGCTTCTTGGTTAGCGGTAACGATGGTTCCGTAGCACTGACCAACGTGAACGTCGAGAGAGTCGTAGTCGTTCTGAAGAACATGCGATCCTTCCATCTCAACGAGCTTCATCTTGTGATTCTGAATCCTAAAGTTGAGAGATGTCTTCAGACCCACGTTACAAACCCTAACCCTGTAAGTCTTTCCAGGTTTCCAGGTAAAGAGAGGCGCGTCCTTGCCGTCGGCTTTCCCGGACTTTCCGTTGATGAGAATACCGTCTGGACGACCAAGAGTACGACCACCGTCGAGGAATTTCTTCAACTGGGTGTGGCTCTTGGTGTACCAGTCACCGATGAGGACGGTGTAGTCATCTTCCGGATCAGCGTAAGGGACCGGGATGAGGAGACGGCTGTTCACACGGATTCCACCGAAACCACCAGCGGAACGGTGCATCCCGGTGGTTGGGTAGTAGAAGTAGCTTCCGATCTGATCCTTAGGCTGGAAATGGTAAGTGAAGTTGGTTCCCGGCGCGATTGGACACATTGTTCCGGGAGTACCATCTTGCCAGCAGTTCTTCCTGTGCTGGATTCCATTCCTAAACCGCGATAAACATGTATTATAAATAAACACGTTTTCTCTGTGAAATTAATATTTATTTTTGGTGAAAATTTAATATAATTACCAAGTGAAGAGTAAGGGTTCGTCGAGGTTGTTGAAGACGTTGATGATGATGTTGTTGTTGGAGGTTGAGTTAATGTTGGGACCAGGGAATTTGCCGTTGATGAGAATCACTTGTTGTGGGACACCGAGAGGAGACGCGGTTCCGTACGACACGTTCCACACGTGGTGGAAGTAAGGGTCTTCGGCTCTGACCACCACGATTGCGGCTGCGGCCAGGTAGAGGCACGCGGCCAAAAAATTAGCCCCTCGCATAACAATAAACAATTATTGGTTCCGACTACAGTTTTGGGTTTTTATTGTGTTTTGGTGGGGTATGAATTGTTTATTGTTTTTTGGTTATGTTTTGGGGTATGAATTTCGAGTTGTGGAAATGTTTCAAGACATTTTTATAGGTTTTTTTGGGAAGAATGTTTTTTCCTGGTTTTTCTCATCTTCTTTGGGGTCTCCTCTCTTTTCGCTTTTCCTTTCGTCCATATTTGGGAATATTCAAGTTTAACCTCTCCCTATTTTTGGTATTTGTAACTTCTTTTAGTTTTTTTCCACCTATTTTTTTGGTTTTGGTTTCTTTGTCTTTGATAATTTTCTATTTTGGAATTGGTTTCCATGTGATAAAGTGCTATGATCTTATTGGACAAGGGGTAAAAGTTAAAATTAAAATTTGATTAATTACATATATTGTAAAAAAGAAATAATTATATTAGATTTCCCAAAGATTCTTATATAAATAGTTAAGTTATTACTTATTAGGTAAAACATGTTTAACTTAGTGTGGCACTACAAGAAATATGCTCATTGATAGCAGACGATTAACGCTATAATATATGTTTGATAGCGTTTTTATAAACGCTGTGTTAGCCGGAGCTATGATAGGTCACCACCCTATAATAGCACTTTTTTCATGAGCTATTACAAGTTTCTCTATTATAGCGTTATCATAGTGCTTTTATATACTTTGTTATAGCGCATTTATGTGTTGTTATATATGTTATCATAACTCATTTTGAATGCTATTAGATTAGTTATCGTAGCATGCTTGTGGTGCTGTATTAATATTAAACTAGACCAATGCCCGCGTATACGCGCGGGTTTTTATGTTGTTATAGTTTAAAAAGAATATTATAAAACAATTCTAGATTTGTGACTCATATTTGATATGTAATATTATCGATTCGAATTCAAATAAAACCCGCAATTTAATTTATAATTACTTGTTTAGCAATTGACTTTCAAATATATATTTTTGCATCATACCACACGTTTTGATGCCCTCAACTCTCTGTGTTTACTCATCGCTACATAGAATAGTAATTCTCCGTCATCGCTCTTCGCTGGATCGGTTTCTCAATATATTAGATAATTTATAGGTTCAATAATAACTTAAAGTGAAAGCGGAAGGGTAACAGTGTTGGAGTAATTAAGTAGTTTCCGTTACAACAAAAGGAATTTGTAAGAGTGACTTATTAGCTTCACATGTAATGATTTTGTAATTTGTAACTTATTACCTTTTGGGTTGGAGAAGAAAATGAAAAGTTATATTTTTTTTTTAAACTAAAAATTATTATTGCCACATGTCATATTTTCCTCTATCCACATGTCCAAAATATGGAGAGTGATGGCCTATTCATATATATGATTATTAATTATAGCGAATTGATTAAGCTATGATCTAGGCCCGCGACTTTTACCCGGGCCCGATAACCGAACTCCCTTCCGACCCGAAAAACCTGACCCGAGTCGGGTTCGGGTTTGCCATATTAACCGATCGGTTCTGATTTTGATTTGAGATCGGGTTCGGTTCGGTTCGGTTTATAACCAATAACCGAATGAATAACCGATAACCGATAACCCAAACCCAAAACCTAAAAAACATGCAGCTCCTCCTAAAAAAACAGCGCCTCCTCCACATTTTCTCAAATCCACAAAGATTTTCCTTTTGCATCTCTTTGCAATCTCTATCATATTCTTTCTCTTTACACAATCTTCAATTCCAACAAGAACTAAAATCCTTTTCTTTGTATCTTAATTTTTTCTTCATCAAGCTTGTGACGGGATTTGAAGGATTTCTTTAAGAGGCTAGCGGTTTTGTGAGAGCAGAAGATAATTCCTCTGCACCATGAAAAGGAGAGGTCGGAATAGTGATCAGAGTGGAAGTATGAGAGAAAGAAATGATGCAGATGAGAGGAGGGGGTAATTGACAAAAAGAGATCTATGAAATTATTCATTGAGATTTAGGGTTTCAGAGTTTTTGGCATTGGGGATGTTGCTGGTGACGGCGGAATCAGGTTAAAAAACCCGAAAACCCGACAATTACCGAAACCGAAAAAAAATCGGTTTAATCTCGGGTTTTGGATGCAACCCGAATACCGACCCGAAACCGAAATTTCAAACCCGAACCCGACCCGAACCCGACCAAATACCCGAACGGTTACTAGATTTCCAAACCCGAATACCCGAAACCCGATTTAACCGACCCGAACCCGACCGGTTAACCGAATTCCCAGGCCTACTCTATTGTTTTGTATCACCTTGTTACAGCAATAATAGTTAATACTCCATACTAGATTTGTAGTGCATAATAGTAATAGACCATTTTTTGCATAAATTGAAAATTTTATATATTTCATATAAGTTTCGATCCTCAACATATATTACAAGTCTCAAGTCATGTGTAAATTAACTAACTGTAGAACCCAAATTCCATTTCCTCGCTCAACTCTTGCGTGATGAACTCGCTTCTGGCTCCGCTGTTCCATTACCACTCTCTTCAGCCTCATCTGGTTCCATGCAAAGTACATTGTCAATCATTCAATCCTTGCAAAAATCAAAACAGCCAACCAAATGATTTTCCTCAGAAACATAACTTTTCCAAATTAAACTTTGTAGTCATAGTAAAATAACAAGCACCTGTTTACGTAGCAACAGATTGGTTGCTCTTGCTCTTTCTGAAATTTTTGTATGGACACTCTTGAACCTGAAAACCAACATAAGAAAGTTATGTAAAGCACAAAGCTTTGGTATACAATGCAATGTAAACAGCAATACCAGCTTTCAGAAAATACTAAAAGCCGGATGCTTAAATTGCTAAGAACAACAAGACTTGAACTAATTTTTATATGAAAAAGAGAACTATGCAATAAATACAAATCCTAAAAACGACTTACATCATTAGCCACCTTTCTCTTGTTTAAGAGTGATCCTTGCTAAGACCTGTATAATATGAAAGAAGAAGAACTATTAGATCATGACGTTTCCCAAAACAGTTAGTCCATACGAGACTTTATACTGTATACAAATCTGCACAAGTAATTAGTGCGTTTTAATAATATAACACAGCAATACCAATGAGTGCAAGATATTATCATCGTACTCATAAATATATAGCTAAAACATGGTAAGAATATCAAACAAACAAGAGAGAATAGTCTAAACTCACTTGCATCAAAGTCTGGTTGCTGTGTAAAGATGTCGACATAATATAGAAGCGATGGAAACACTTCTTCTTCATCAACTACTGACGGATTTGCATACTCCGGTGTACCTTCAGCACCACCTGTTTCAATTTAAACAGAAATTTAGAACCAAAGACTAGAATTCTAATCCCATAAGTGTAAAACAAAAAAGAGTAAGAAAGATACATTCTTAAAATGCTATGGTAGAGTATCATAGTTTAAGATTACCTCTTTAATAGCACTTACGTAAATCGTGCTATCTTAATGTGCTATCAATGAGCATATTTCTTGTAGTATGGATTCCAAACTAATTTAAGCTCAGTAATACTCGATTTTTTTAGCTAGATGCATAATCTCAACGAATTGAAAAGCGTTCAGCTAGCCTAACGCTAAGCGTCTAGATGGCATTCAAGCACAATTAATATAACTTCACATACTCACAATTAGGACATGATGGTGATATAAGATTATTATATATGTCAAACTAAATATTAACCAATTTTAGTGCGATCAACAACATTAGACAATTAACCAATTTTAGTGATGATTGATTGGGTTAATTAGGCGATTCCAATGAATGTATGGCTTGATGAATCAGGAAAGAGATTGATGCAATGCAATGGCCGGTAACTGAAATAGAGAGGTTACGTACAGCGCAAGTCAAGTTGGGAAACAAAGTTTTGGAGGGAGGAGAATCTGTAATCGACGTTCATGGGGTTCACAGCTTCAGAAGCAGATGTGAATGGATTTAGACTTTGGAGAAAACAGAGGTGATTGAACCGTTTATGTCCATTCGGCTTGGAAGAGTATATCTTCAAAGCTCGTCAGTAGAGCCGTGGCCCGTGTGGCTAGGTATTTCAATGCCATAGGCGAAACAAAAAAATAAAATTATAAAACCATTTAAAATAATTAACTAAATAAGTTGTTGATAATTTCATTATACTAGGATTTATAATCAAAATTGTAAAAAAACCATTTAAAATAGTTAACTAAATAAGTTGTTTATGTGTTTCTAAAACAATCAAATCAACATAAATGAAAATAATAGGCAAAGGAGATATTGGGAAAAAAAATGGAAAAGAGAAGAATATATTTAGTAAAACGAAAGGAAAAAATAAGCATAAATGAAAATATGAATCGAATTTTTCTACAAAACAATTTTTTCGCATGATTAGTTTTGGAATATTAGGGGGATGTGAGTTCAATAAGATAAACTTAACAAAAACAACAAACTTTTGTATACCAAAAAACCCATAAAAAGTAAAAAAAATGTGTATGTAATTATGGCTAACAGCTAATTAATAATTTGATCTACTTATTTATTTCAATCCGCTGATTAATGAGAGATTGACGAGATCGACAATATCAGAAATAAGGAAATGAATATGTTAGTTTAGGAATTAAGTTGGTTTGATCTCTATATAAATCTATGAATTTTGTACTATTATTTTTATGAGAGTCTATTATTCCTAAACACTCTTATGTTCTTTACTTTAGTCAATTTGTCATATATATCTCAATCAGCTTTTCCATGCAGTTTATCTCATCGTTATCATCCGTGTCATCAAAGTGTCGAAAGATAAAGAATTACATATTTATATATATGGCTACTACTTATACTACCAGTCCTTTTTTTTGACGGCTTGCCACCAGTCCTTTTGATTGCATTTAAGTTACCCTCTCTCTGAGAAAGGCAAAGATATACTACATCTCTCTGCAGTGATCTTGTCACCTCGTACTTTATTTCATATAATAATAATAATATAAGATATACATCCATTTTTTTTAACTTTTGATTTGCATCGGTTTAAGCACACATATCCAGCAATCTCGGGATGGACCTGGTTAAGGTTTCTAAACCAAATGAAAGAAAAAAACATACACAAAACCTGGATGGTAAGAATACGTGAAATCCTTTAGTAAAACAAAAGGAAAAATTAAGCAGAAATGAAAATATGAATTGAGTTTTTCTACAATTTTTTTTAATTAGTTTTGGAATATTAGGGGGGGATGTGAGTTCAAGAAGATAAACTTACCAAAAACAAAAACATTTTGTATACCAAAAACCATAAGATTAAAATATGTATGTGTAATTACGGATAACAGCTGATTTAAAATTTGCTCTACATATTTATCTCAATCAGCTTTTCCATGCAGTTGATCTCATCATTATCACCCGTGTCATCATAATCGTCTTCATCAACAAGAGCCTCTCCAGTAAACCATGTGAAACTGCATGAGGGATCAGTTTGTCTCGGATTGTCACACTGTAAAACCAAAAATGCAAAAACTCAAGGATTACTTAAATTCTGAATTTGTCAAAGTCAGAACACGGTAACACTTAAAGCTTATACCATAGTCTTGGTCCGTTGGGTTTTATGCAAATGAACACACATATTCCAAAATGCAATTGAATCTTGAACCTCGTTTGCGAGCAATTAGTTGGTTTTCATTGCAATCAACCTGAAATTGGACACTCCTTCTTTCTCTCCCTCAGTTTCAACCTTACCATGAAAGATTAAACGTTGCTGTTGTGAGGCATGAGATGGTGTTGAGTTGATGATGAAACTGAAAGATGGTGCATTAGCACACGTCGAATCCACTAAGAGCAGATAGAATTGTGCTGAGACTTGTAGTGCTTGTTAAGCACAAAGTTACTTTAGACTTGGATCTTTTCATTTCAAGTGAGGTGAATTGGAATAACCCAACACAAATTAGCGAATAAAAAGATAGATTAAAGATATCACTTTCTATTTTTTTATCACATTAGATGGAATCTGGATACATAAAACTTATGAAAGTTTTTACGAGACCATAATTTGGTTGTCCGTCTGTAATAATCAACCGTTGTTAAAACAAACAAAATCACTTAATGACACTTATGCCTAGTTAATTTGGCACCGTTAAAAACATTTCCAATATTAGAACACGATCCGAGTTGTATGCGCGTTGAAATGTTGAAACCCTAAGAATCACAAAGAAAGGGATTCAAAAATAGAACTAACACATATAGACAACAAAAAAACAAGAGAATTAGAGATGAAGCGTGAAAAAAGGCGAGGATTTCGTGCAAACCAAGGTATCTTCACCTGCATAAATAGTTTATCACCGCATTATCAAAAGACTCGTCAAGAGCAAGAGAACATAGTTTCTTCTTGCTTTTGAGAAAAAAATAATAAATATTTTTATATAGGAAAGGGTTAATATATTTATAAAAAAATAAAAAGAAGTAGAAAACTTATAATGCAGGGTGGTAGACTTTTGACGGTGTTGGTGTGCCTCGCCTCCACGGTGGCGTTGGTGAACGCCGGTGATCCTTACTTCTTCTACACGTGGAACGTGACTTACGGCACCGCCTCGCCTCTCGGAATTCCTCAACAGGTGATTCTTATCAACGGACAGTTCCCTGGTCCTAACCTAAACTCGACCTCCAACAACAATGTCGTCATCAATGTCTTCAACAACCTCGACGAGCCTTTCCTCTTGACCTGGTTCGTTACCTTCCCTTCTCGCTTCTTCATTATAATCAGACATTGGGTTTTTCTGTTTATATCTCTCTATTGTTTCATTTCAAACGCAATTTGTGCATGTTTAAATGATAAAAAATTGTTTTTGAAAATAAAAACAATTTTCAACTTAAAAAAAAAGGATTTTGCAAAATTCAAACGCCAAAAGCATAATGTTTGTTTGATGGTTTCATTTAGAATTAAGAAAATAAATTTTCATCCTTAATTATAAAACCAACAAAATGATTAAAACACATTTTGGTTCGTTTTTATTAGTTTTAAAATGTCTTGCATTAGCTTCGACCTATTAATTATAACTAGTCTTCATTGTAACTTTGAATGTTGAGTCCTGACCATATGTTTGCGTGACGTGGCAGGAGTGGACTCCAGCACAGGAAGAACAGCTGGCAAGATGGTGTGGCTGGTACCTCATGCCCAATCCCGGCAGGCACCAACTTCACTTACCATTTCCAGCCTAAGGACCAGATCGGTAGTTACTTCTACTACCCATCAACCGCTCTCCACCGTTTCTCCGGTGGTTTCGGTGGTCTCCGTGTCAACAGCCGTCTCCTCATCCCAGTCCCGTACGCAGATCCCGAAGATGACCACACCATCCTCATCAACGACTGGTTCACCAAGAGCCACACCGCTCTCAAGAACTTCCTTGACAGTGGCCGCACTCTTGGATTACCCGACGGTGTTCTCATCAACGGTAAATCCGGTAAGGTTGGAGGAAACAACAAGCCACTCTTCACCATGAAGCCAGGGAAGACTTACAAGTACAGAATCTGCAACGTCGGATTCAAGTCAACTCTTAACTTCAGGATCCAAGGACACAAGATGAAGCTTGTTGAGATGGAAGGCTCCCACGTTCTCCAGAACGACTACGACTCACTCGACGTCCACGTCGGACAGTGCTTCGCCGTTCTTGTGACCGCTGACCAAGTGGCAAAGAACTACTACATGGTTGCATCCACTAGGTTCCTCAAGAAGGAAGTGAGCACCGTTGGTGTGATGAGCTACGCAGGAAGCAAAGTTCAGGCTTCAGCCGAGCTCCCCAAGGCTCCGGTCGGATGGGCTTGGTCTCTCAACCAGTTCAGATCCTTCAGATGGAACTTAACCGCCAGCGCGGCTAGACCTAACCCACAGGGATCTTACCATTACGGAAGGATCAACATCACACGTACCATCAAGCTTGCCAACACCAAGAATGTTGTCAACGGAAAGGTCAGGTTTGGTCTCAACGGTGTGTCCCACGTTGACACCGAGACTCCCTTGAAGCTCGCTGAGTACTTCGGTTTTGCCGAGAAGGTCTTCAAATACAACATCATCAAGGACGAGCCAGCAGCCAAGATCACAGACCTAGTCGTCGCGCCAAATGTCCTCAACATCACTTTCCGTACCTTCGTCGAAATCGTCTTCGAGAACCACGAGAAGAGCATGCAATCATTCAATTTGGATGGTTACTCCTTCTTCGCAGTCGGTTCCGAGCCAGGGACATGGACACCAGAGAAGAGACAGAACTACAACTTGCTCGATGCTGTTAGCAGACACACCGTGCAAGTGTACCCCAAGTCGTGGTCAGCAATCCTCTTGACATTCGACAACGCTGGTATGTGGAACATCAGGTCAGAGAACTGGGAGAGAAGATACTTGGGACAACAGATGTACGTCAGTGTTCTCTCACCTGAAAAATCACTAAGAGACGAGTACAACATCCCACTCAACACCAACCTCTGCGGCATTGTCAAGGGCTTGCCTTTACCTACCCCCTACACTATTTAAACTCACTTCGACAAAGTTTTTTTATTTCTTTGATATGTGAATTTCTACTTTCCACAAGTGAGTTGTATTATCTGACTAATTAACCCTTTCCTAATTTCATTAACATATACTATTATTAATTGTTGCTTCTCTCATGGTAAACAAAAATGAGCTTATACGTACCATATAACCCTCATTAATTCAGTTTTGCAAAAACAAAAATATAACCCTCATTCTATACAAGTTCTCAAAAAAAAAAAAAAAAAACCCTCATTCTATACACAATATAATAGATTAGTGTTCAATTGCATAATCTCAAGAGTTGTAAGTACGTAGAAATATAATCTGTTAAGGTTGTTATTACCTCGCATATCCTGGCAAATTGTCTGTGAAGTGTGAATCATTTGAGTGATAAAATCGATGAGTAAATCTGAACAGAAAATACTTAGCTAATATATACCCTGAATAGTACACTAAGGAATAAGAGATTCAAATTTTGGAATTATGGCCAACATATTTTACAGCTTTATTTTGTTGGAAAGCACATAAATCTAAGTTTTAACTGTTACATCATCCTCTTTTCACAATCAGAATCGCAAAACCCTAAAAGGGAAAACTAATTCAAGACCAAAGATAAAACTCAAAAGAGAAGAAAAAGAAACATAGATAGAAATAAACCCTAATCCACCTGAAAAGTTAAAACTTCACCGGAAGCAAGTGTGCGTGACAAATTTAAAACTCTCATCGCCATCGCCATCGCCATCGCCCAACGGAGTCGGAGAGCAAGATCGGTGACGCCTGAGTTAAAAGTCAAACATACAAAAAGAAGAAAAGAGGAAAGTTCACGCGCGCGTGTGTTGTGACGATGCGATTCGAAAAAGAGTATTTGTACTTTTTTCCCTTAAGTGAGTACTTGTACTCAACCTTAAATAGTTACTTGATTTTGTTTTACTATCATTTAATTGAATTTTTTTCTCTAATACTATTTTTTACCTTGTTGATTTGGCGTGAGTAAAGTTTGTTACCTCTTCGGGCACACTTTTTTTACTCATACGTACTAGTGAAATCTAAAACACAAAACAACATATACAAGCACGTGTTGTGTAAACAACATTCATCAACTTCGCAAACTAAACAAATGCAAGTCCGAATTAACCAACGAGACAAACAATAAATATGTACTTGAGTATATACCTGTGTTTTTACGACGTTTTCAGTTTTAATTGTTCTTATGACCTTAAATTATAAAATTTTATATTCTTCCATCTATAATATATAGACTTATATTAGAGATTAGTCTTGACTTTACAACACAAGATCGTTAATTTATTAGGAAAAAAGTAGAACATTTGTGGACCGACCTCGTTTAATTTGTTCGCATTTCAATTATTAATTCTATAAACCTTTTGTAATTTGTTCCGTATTTGGGAGATGTAAGTTTTTCCCAATAAACGGATATTTTTCAAGGAAAACTTTTGTGGGCCGTACTTACCTCGTTGATCAGCTTTGTTCCATAGCTTGAGTTCTTCTGATCTTACCACAATCACCTATGCGCGACACGAAGGAATATGTAGCCAAGGACAACTTGCCGACCATTTTTGTTTCTTTGTAATCTATTTTTATTTAAATACGAAATAATCATCTACTTTCTTCCAAATTTCTTCAAGAACCAAATCATTTGAAAATCAGTAAGAGAAAAATGAAGAGAAAATAAAAATGTCGGCAAGTCATCCTTGGCTGCACATTACTCTGGTCACATACCCGTTTCACTATCACATACCAGCAAAAATGTATATGTGAAAACCATATATATGTAATATTTTTCTTCTTGAACATAACAATGGAGATGAAAGGGGAGGTATCTAGATATTTTTTGTTTGGGTTGGTGATGAGTACTAGAGGACTCACTCGCTCTTGATTTATATAGAAGATGGTGAAGAGAGATAGGGAATATAATAGTTAATTAAAAAAGGGAGAAGAGTTGGGATGTATCATATTCATTTATGCCCCCAAGAGGGCAGATATGCAACAAAACTCTAAAATTTAAAAGAAATAAAAAAATGAACTAGTTGTAATAAAATAGAATCGAAGAAAGAAAGATATTTAAAAAAGTTTTAAGAGATAAGGTTCCTCCATGCTTCTCCATCCTCATAATAATATTTTCTTAAGCTGCAAAAGCTTTACAGCTTTAACAGATGCCATTAAGAGTTATGGGTCCCCATACACATACACTGATACACATTCACATACACATGCACATACACACATTCATATATATACGAACACATACACATACACACACATACATATACGAACCACATATACACATATATATATTCATATAGATTGTCAGTGTATTATATATATCGAATATACATATTTTTGTTCTTTTGAACTGTGTTTAATTTCCTTTCGTTGACAAAAACTAAATGCAGTCCCTTTCCATCTTTGAAATTAAAACCCTTAGCAAAAACAAATCTTTAAACTTTTAATATTAGATGCTCTCTACATTATAAATCATCATGATATCTTTCATAATGAATCCTTTTATTTATATATATAATATAGAGCTAAAGGTTTTGGTTAACCTAGGTCAATAGATTCTCTGTGAACAAATACAAGCCTACATGCAATTCAATTAGAAAAGGAGGGACGTGGTTTGAGGAACAAGACCCACTTGCACAAAATCGACCTGGTTTTGGTATGTTGATAGGAACCATAAGTTTCTAAATTTAGTACTTACTAAGGAAATAATTCACGAGAAAAAATGTAGAGAGAGAGAAGAGATACAAATCCTCGTAAACATTTTTTAAAAGAAGAAAGGAATCTTAACATTTACGTGTATCCCTAGTTATCCCGACAGGTACTCGAAAGGGCACGAAGAAATAAACATTTATATTAGTTCATTTGTAAAATAAGTAATCGGTAAATAGAGACCGTAAGATATAAGTATTTATCTTTTTCTTTTCTTTTCACAATATGTGTATTTATATACACACTGTCACACACACAATGACAGAAATCAGAACGTGGAATCTCAAAAGTTATCGAAAATATCAATAAAAAGGACCTGCTCGAGTAGGTCACTTGCGTGGCCGTTCATTTTTACAATTTCTTTACTTTATAAGTTGATTTTTTATATTAAAATCGATAGTTGAATAGAAAGAAAAAAAGAACAGGAATGAAAACGCTCTATGTGATTTACTTGTGAAAAACTAAAATAAATAAGAGATGATATCATGAGACATTTGTTATTTCCTTTTACCAGTTATTTTCTTCATTAAATTTTTACCTCACGTAATAGTGTTTTTTGGGGAAAAAAGAGGAAGAAAATGTGTACAAGAAAATGGATACTTTGGGGAAAAAAGAGGGAGAAAATGGGTACAATGTGATGTCAGTTGGTGGAGTAGCAGAGCGATGGGATTTTCACTGCTCTTTAGGCTCAAACCCCTATGATTCATGTGCTTCCCTCTACTATTTTCATGCTGAAACTATAGTTTTAATCAAAAACATTTCCTGGAAAACCAAATGAGTTTTTGTTTTTTTTTTTGGTGTGTGCATGCCTTCAAACTTGAAATTATTTTGCGGCAAAGGGTAAAAAATTTTGTCGAAGGTAAGTATTGACAATCGTAGATGATGCTTCTGAAACTATTTATGTATTACACAAATAGACTATCTAGTTTTATCAGTATACAGTTTAATACTATAAGAAACGGGATAAGAATAGGAAAATGTAAAGTAAAACATCATATATTATATAAAATAAATGGAAAACTATATAGTGTCAAAAAGATGAAAAGAACCCTCATTTTCGTTTTATTCCCTACTAATGCTCTTCTTTATGGAGAGAAAAGGGTCAACCAGAGAATCTGAAAGATTGATCTTACGACTTTGTCAATAGGTCCATATATGCAGGGACCATAAGGACCCGAACATATGATGTATTTGCAAAATATCATATCGCAAGAGTCCAAGAAAATAGACAGTAAGCTTATACGAAAATAGAAATATTTGTAGTAACTTAGATGTCCACATGAAACAAATCATGTTACAAAATGCATTTCTCAAATGTTTAATACGACGTAAATAAAAACATTTTAATATGTGACTAAAAAAAAATGTAAAAACTCGTCCGTCGAATTATTTTATTAGTATAGCAGAATATACTCTTGTTATATACTGTATTAGTTGTTCAGAAAACTATCATTAATGCAGTGTCTCTTGAATCATCTCTTCTTATTTACTTTCCCTTAACCCCCAAGAAAACTCTACACAAATGCTAGTAAACATGTCCTACCACTCTTGACACTACCGACATAGGGTGTCCCGAGTTTTTTTGTTTCCAGGAAATCTGTTGTCCAAATCCCCAAATTGATATTGAGTACAATACGGCCAAGAGAACTCTGGAATCATATATAAAGACAGCAAGAGAAACAACAAATCTCTGAAAAAGAATGTAGTCCGTCCAATGACTCTCTCGTGTTTTTTAGTCGTTCTCCATTATTGATTTATAACGTCTAGGAAAAGACTCACAAACAAGATTGAATAAATGTTACAAGGGGATTTTTTTCATCGCATATGCAAATTTTTGGTTTTGTTTAAAAGTAATGTAACAAATCGACATTGAAGTACCTTTCTCCCATACGCACTATGAAGAAGAAAAGACCCGTCACAAGCAAAGCAAAGCAAAAGGTGGGGATGGCTCTCAAGGGGTCAAACACCTCAGGAATCTTGTGGAGTCTCGAATCTAGTAGGTGTGTCGATACCGGCCATACAACAAAGTCCACTTATCAAGATCAGAAGGAAAACGATTCCCTGCAAAAAAGCAAATCACAACGAGGGAAAAGGCATAATCAGAGACTTTTGTGACAACCAAGATGCTCATATTATCTTAATCACGCGTATTTCAATCGAGCTACAGTCAGTTTCAGGATTAGAACGATGAAAACTAAAGCCAGAAGCGAAACAGAGAGATAAAAGAGTAACTTCTTACCACTAGTATGCCCTCCAAAAGTGATGACTTAAACTTGCAGAGTTCATCACAGCCTGTAGTAACATCACCAGTGCTGTTTCCGGCAGCACTTTCAGCTAGAAACCTTTGGAGAGTTTTGTACGATGTGTACCAGTAAGGATCGGAAACATAAAGAGCTGTATATTTACTGCCGGATTGTTCTACAGAAGCAACAAGTTCGGAGATGCTTTCACCTGCAGATTTAGGTCAATGAATTGCTTAAGTTCTTTGTTCTCAAAGCAATTCTTTTGCAATTAATATACTTTCCACTTACGCTCTGAATGCGACTGGCCAGATTTACTATTTGATTCAGAACCCTCAGAGCAGAGCACAACCAAATCAGTTTCTCCATCTTTCCTTGTTTCGGTTCTAGCAAGCAAATGATCCTGTCAATTATTTAAGAGTAAATAGGAGTCAATAAAAGGGAGAGACTAAGTATGGGATTAGGATATACGAAAACATAAGAGGAATGAATATTTACTTTGATAGACTGCAAGTCTGATAGTTTCTGAATTGTTCCATCCTCGACAAAGCATGAGTCTGAGAACACAATATTGCTCACTCCTTGATTGTGAGGGCAAGCTTTCTTAAGCCCTGAAAGCAACAAATTCTCCATCCTTTCTTCCTCTGGAGCAGCAATGTATGGGAATGCCAATGAGAAGTTGGAGGCTGTGAATAGGTTCTGTTGAAACAAAGATTTGGATGTTAGAGCATTGTCGAGGGGGTTCAAACAAACAACTAGGCCATACATCTATGTTATGGATGGAAGCAATACTAGAATTCCACAACTGAAGAAAATAAAACTTGAACTTACATTCAATGTGTTAACAAGGGCAGGGTCCGAGTTCCTTTTTGAAGAAACATCAGAAGAGAGTAACTGCAGGCGGAAGAAAATGTGAAATATTAGAATTTCCAGCAACGCACATATGACGCAGAACGAAGAAACCAAATGGTATCCAAGTGTCAGTGTATGGCACAAAAGACGCATCATTTCTTGCAATATTAAAGACATAAGTTTCTTCGCAAATATCACAAACAAGAAACCAAAGCTCCATATGGTCGTTTATGCTAGTGTTAAAACGAAGCTCCTACACTAATCACTCATATAGACTTGACATGATAGCTCGTTCATAGATAACAAAAAAAATAAAGATTCTTACGTCTCTGCCGATGAACACAAGCGCAACATCAACAGCTTGCTCAAGTTTCTTCTCTGAACACTAGACAAAGGAGAAATCAAAAACGAAAAATAAGAAAACCAAATGCATCCGATGAGTTAAGAGAATCGAAATCTTGTGCTCATGGAAGAGATATGAACATAAAGAAGAAGCGTACCAGAAAGTTTGACCAGCGTCCTTGAGTGAAAACAGAATCAACTAGATCCTTTGCAGACATGACCTGATAATTTACAGCCTCGTCCAATTCACCATTCGCAGACCTGATTATCGAGAATCACATAAACCGATTAAACCAATAACTTTGAGCAGTTCGATCACACATCAGACAACACTTCACAATTCACAATTCTCAATTCTCAGGCTTTCTATACATTATATCTATCAAATTGAGACCAGAAGATCGAGAACCTCCATACACATTCGAAATTTAATTTAATTCCTTCGCGATGATAAAAATGACAATGAGAAGTATAGAAAGAGAGATGCATACTGGAGATGCGGAGACCAGAGGAAGGCAGGGACGGTATCGGGAGAAGCCAATCCGAATTCAACAAGAGATGATACGGAGAGAGCAACCAAAAATGCCAGCACACCAATTTGCATCTTCATCATCTTCGTCGTTTGAACAATCCTACCGGAGAGAGAGAAAGAAATCAAACCAATCTGTGTTTCGATCGAAAAATTCCTCACGACTAACGAACGAAACAATCAACAAATTCAAAGATAAAAGTATGAACCTTTGGAATCGAGATCGCTCAGATCAACAAATTTTTATCAAGTTTCAAATCCAACGAAAGGACAGATTCAATTCATCATCTCCGATCCTCAAATCTGGGTGACACATATGAGTAGGAGAGGTCGACATGTTGGGTGCTAACGACGTCGTTTTAGAAAACAGAAAAAAAAAATCAGTAACCGAGATTTGTTTGGTTTAGTTAAGATAACCGGTCAGGTGTTTTGGGTGAGATTGGGCTTTTATAGATTTCCTTCACGGCCCAAATTTAATCATTACTGTTCCTCACTCCTTTTTAGCCGTCGTCGTCACTGAACAAAAACCGAAACCTCCTAAAAACTTTTTAACTTCATCACGATTTTTAATTTTCTCCAGCTCAAGAATATTTCCTTTCCCCTTCTGCAACGCGATCCCGCCAAAGAAACTCATCACACTTTCTCCCTCACGAAATTCTTAAATCGTCATTGCTTCGTCGTCAATCTCCCCCTTCCTCTGATTCGTTCGTCGGAAATTGGAATTCAACATCAGAATCTTCGACACATTGTGTATTTTTTTTTCGATGAAGAGACATTGGAGTAACAAGTAAGGAGATTTTTAAGATGCTTTGTGGTTCGTTGCGAAATCGAATACGCACTTGGCTTCGCGACTATGTTAGGCTCCAGTCTCTTGTGGTGATCCTTATTTACGCTCAGGTGATCCGTAATTTCTTCGCAATCGCTTCATTTCTCTGATTTTCGCTTTTCCTCGTCGATGATGCGTATCTATTAGGGCCTAGGGTTCCCCAATAGGAAATATTTGTCATGATTAGAAACTCAGCTTAATCAATTAATTTTCCGATGGTTTCAGATAGGGTGCGCGTTGATTGGTTCACTAGGGGCATTGTACAATGGAGTCTTGCTGGTGAATTTGGCGATTGCGTTATTTGCGCTAGTGGCGATCGAGAACAATAGCCAGAGTCTTGGCCGAGCCTATGCGGTTCTTCTCTTCTGCGCCATTCTTCTTGACATCTCATGGTTCATACTCTTCTCCAAAGAGATTTGGTATGGTTCACTATCATTGAATGCTTGTGATCATGAACAAATTTTGGTTTAAGATTTTCTTGACACATATAGTAAAATGTCCAGAAAATTATTATCTTTTTGAAATGATTGATCATTAAATCTCATTTGTTCGAAGTAGTGGCTATGTCCTGTTCAGGTTTTATAGAGCCAATATTCATCTGCTGCCTTGTATTGAAAAAAATATTTAATTGTCTTTGCAGGAACATTTCATCTGAGATGTATCAAGCGCTTTACATTTTCTCTGTGAAACTCACTATGGCTATGGAGATTGCTGGGTTCGTTGTGAGGCTGTCGTCGTCTCTGCTATGGTTCCAGATTTATAGGCTGGGAGCTTCTGTTGTAGACACTTCTCTTCCCCGTTTATCGGATTCATATATGCGAAATAGTTTCTCAGATCCTCCTGTTTTAGGTAGTGACTCTGATTTGCGAAATGGCTTGTTAGAGCCTTTTGCTATGGCTAAGCAACGTTCGCGTTCTGATGAAATCCTGGGAGACTCTATCGAGGAATTAGCCTACCACAATCCTCCATTTGAAGATTGTCAAAACAATATCACTTCACCCAAGGTAACAGGTTTTTGCCATTTTCTAACTCTTCTTCTCAAGACTTGTTTATATGTACTGTTGATAGTTTAACTTCTCACTCAAAGAACCATTTTGGTGGATTTGAAATCCCTTAGCAAAGAGTTTTCTGAATCTCTTTTAACAAAGTGGCAGCTGTAGTGAATGCAATATACTGAGAATTAGATGAACTATCTAGATAGCGATTATGCCTTTTAGCTCTATGGCACTCTAGGTTATGCCTTGGTAGTACATAACGTGTTTCTCTTGTCTTAAGCACTCTAAAAGTTACAGTCGTAGCAATGTTTTGTATCCTTTTGTAGGTGATTAAACATCATTCAACTGGGAACATTAACAAAGGATCCCAATCATCTGCTGAAGAAGACTCTCGAAATAAGTCTCCGCTATCCAGATCCTTGGAGTCCCTTGATTCTAGTCTCCATTGATTCAACATTTAATAACCATGACCGGTATGGTAACTCTGCCTTGTTTCTGATAGATATTCTTTGCACACACCACATTTATATTAGACATAGAAAGAAGTAAGAAGCCTTAGTGACCTTACTAGTGAAATCCTTGCACTCAGTAAATCGCATGTGTTTGTAAATTTGCATTACTACTTGACATCATTTCTCTTATTTGTCTGGCAGTTTCCAACTCCTTCTGTCACTTTTGTAGGCTTTGGGAGCAAGACAACTTTTGACTTAGAGCAAATTCACTTCAGCAAGCTAAGGCCATTCTTGTTTCCAGTTTGAAGAATCCGTAGAGGAGATTTACATGTTAGCTGACAAATTAAGAACCGTCTTTAAGTTGCCTTTTCATCATTCATCTTTACTAGAAACTGTACAGATTTGGGGTCTGGCATATTTGGACCGTATAAAATCAGCATTCTTTTCTGTACATGAGAATACATTCGTTTGAGGGTGCATTGGAGGATTAGTACAAGGGTCTCTTTTTCTCCATCCAAACATTTGCTGCTATTCATCGTAATAACGGAGTTGAGCAAAAAGTTGAAACTTTAAATCATACTAGATTAGTGTCACCTGCTCTACGCTGCAGGATTATCTTCAAATTTACAAAAGAATGAATCCCTAACTTTAATAAATTAGGGACAAATCAAATTACTCTTTTTGTTTGAAAACATTTCATGATTAACCGAACATGAAACGTTAAATTTATGATTGCCATAGAAAAGAACTACCATAGAAATAGGAAATTGAGAGTGACGCTGAATCGCATTTGAGGAAAAAGAAGAGAGAACTAAATATGTGGTGGACAAATCAACAGTTATACATTATTACAGAAATTCCACATCTTTAATCTCCTCGTCTTCTAAAAATGTTCTTATTTCTTAATTACTGTTTCCATTACGATTTAGTAGTTCTGATTGAGGAACATATAAAGGATGACACGCATCGAGTTTAAAATGATAATGTGTCAATGACATAGAGAAGTTATAGTATAGATTTATTTCAGATTTTATTTTAGTATAGATTTATTTCAGATTTTGAAGTGCAAACATGATATCTGTGGGTTTTAAGAGAAGAAAAAGGTGTAGTTTTTCTACACAGTAGAAGAGCCTTTGCGAGTCTGGCTAATGAGGAGGAAGGGAAGTTTTTATGATTTTGTTGGGCTTTGGAAAGTATGAGTAGCCATAGACTGCATAAAGTAATCTTTGAGTTGGAGGATGTTAGTATGGTTGGTATGGTGAACCGTCCTCATGCCTGACCTTCTTTTGGGTTTCAAGTAGCTGAATTGCTTCTGTTACTTTGGGGGTTTGAAGAGTGGAAAGTTGTGAAAGGAAGAATGGAATCAAATAGTGGAGCTAATCTCATTGCTCATAGTGTCACCAATGATTGTCAGTTACATTTTTATATTGCGTCCAATCATTCATCTTGGTTAAACGGTGTGTTTGATAGTGAGAGAGTTTTATCCTCTTTTTCTTGATGTCTTCATTTTTTGGTTTGATCTTGTCGTGCCTTTTTGAGGGTCTTGATTAAAGTAGTATTGGGTGAACTTGTGTAGTCCCCGTTTCTTTTAGTTAGTATATCACAAGGCTTAAACTCTGGCTTTCCTCAATGTAATTATCTGTTTGGACTAGTCAATGGTATAACACTATAACTCCTATTGTGGAATTCGTAAGAGAATACTCAACGAAGAAACAGGAATTGCATCAAACCGAACCAAGATCAAACTAAACTAAACCGGTTTTGCATCAAACTAAACCGAATTGCTGATGTAAAAACAATAAATGATTTGGACCAAATTAAATAATTGACCTAAACTTGAACTTATCCACGTCTGACTATCAGCTGATTAGATTAATAGGTTTTAAAAGAGGTCAAAGACTATAAAAACAAGTCTGCGTGGAATCTTCCAGCCGTTTTCAGACACCAACCCCCAAAATCCGATCTTCTCTTCTTCAATTTCAAATTTTTCTCGACGATCATCTCTTTCTGCTCAAAACTGTTCTAAACAAGTGGATACCAGTCTTCTGACTCCTTGGATATTCGGACTATTCGTGTTTTTGGTTTGAAGAGGTAAGCTAATAAACTCTACTCCGATTCTGTTATTTCTGATATTTTTGATTTCTGGGTTTTGTTGTTCGAAATGTCTCGTTTGAAATCCCTAATCAATAAAAGTGTTTTGAGAAATTGATGAGTAATGAGTAACACGATCCTGTTATTTCTGATATTTTTTTATTTCTGGGTTTTGTTGTTCGACATTTCTCGTTTGAAATCCCTAATCAATAAAAGTGTTTCGAGAGATTGATGAGTGAAATGAGTAACACGATCCGGGATTTTTCTGTTTTTTTTTTTTTGCTTCTATGGAATGATTTGATTGGCTCTCGCAAAGTCTCTAGTTCTCTGCTGATGATAGATTTTTCTGGGTGGTTTAATCAAATCTGATTCCCTTTTGGTTAAATCTCATATTTAATTTTGACTATGAGCAGATTTATCAATTCGATATGGAGAATGCAGCTGCGATTAGGTATTGGTGTCACATGTGCTCTCGATCGGTGGTGAATCCAGTAATCGAAGCCGAGCTAATCAAATGCAATTTCTGCGAAAGCGGATTTGTTGAAGAAATGGCTCCAGATTCGGCCACCGATGATCATCATCGCCTGGCTGCGGAATCTCCGTTGGCTCCGATCTTGATCGGGATGATGAACGATCATCATGATCAGCAGTCTAATGTTGAAGACGAAGATGGAGAAGAAGCTGAATTGGATCGGCAGCTCGAGCGGATTATGAGGAGAAGGAGCAGTCACTCAGCTGCAATCCTGGATCTGCTCCGGGGGATCCGAGAAGGGTTATCGGTAGAATCCGTCACCACCAATGCGGATAATCCGGAGAATAGCGAGCTTTCGGTGATGATCAACTCGGTTAGCCGGAGGTTAAGGATTCAAAATCTTGTCGACTCTTTCTCTGCGCCGTCTGGAAATTTGGGTGACTATTTCATCGGACCGGGATTCGAGTTGTTGCTTCAGCATCTGGCGGAGAATGACCCGAACCGGTACGGGACGCCTCCGGCTACTAAAGAATCGGTCGAGGCGTTGGCGGTGGTGAAGATTGAAGAGAGTTTGCAGTGTGCGGTGTGTTTGGATGATTTTGAGATTGGAACGGAGGCGAGAGAGATGCCGTGTAAGCATAAGTTTCATGGTGAATGCTTGTTGCCGTGGCTTGAGCAGCATAGTTCGTGCCCTGTTTGTAGACATCTGCTTCCTACAGAAGATGATGAGGAGGAGGATGAGTATGAGCCAATGACTGATGATGCAGAGACTTCAAGAAACGATGATGATGATGATGATGATAATGATGGTGGTAGTGTTGCTTTTATGGAGATCGATGGATCATCTGGTAACTGAGACAGGTCACTGAACACAGTGGAGAATTTTGGTGAAGCGTTTGTGGTTTAGTTGATACTTAGTTGTTATTTGGCGGCTGCACATACTTTTTTTTCTCCGATTTGGTTGGATGTGGATTATTTGGAATTTTTATGGTTTTTTTTTGTTTGACTTTTTCTTTTTCTTTTTTTTTTTCATTCTGATTGTTTCAAATTTTTATCGGATCAGTTTGATACAACAAAGATCAGCATAAAAAAGAAAAGAAAAATGGGAAACAGTTAACTTATGCGTTTAGTCCAATCTTCTTTCTTTGAACATAAGACTTGATCTTGTCTGATGATTGCATCTCTATCATGATTTTGAAAAAGAGTGTAATACATGCTTTTAGAATGAGACTATTTTGTTGAGAAGCCTTTGACGACATCGATAAAAAAAGAAACCACTGAATTTGAAAGCTATCATATAATAATAACCTATAGTGAAACTGAAACTTCTAATCTTTATATGTTTGATTTGATATAAATATGCATGTGTATGGAGCTCTCTATGTAGCGTATAACACCAAGAGGAATTATAAAACAAAAATGAAGGGCAAGTTGTGGTTTATTGCTTCACTTTTGGTTCTCTCTTTGCTGTTTTCTTTTGAGACGATCTCAGCTCAGGCATATAAGTTTCGCAAAATCAGTGAGTATTATCTATTTTTACCATCTGATTTGCTTTATCCATCTCAACATATGCTAGATAGAGCCAAATAATTAACCCTATATTCGTTTTTAAACACCATAAATTAGAAGGATCTAGCAGTTATAGTTTTAAGATTGATGCTAAAACTATAGTAAACTACAAAAAATGAAGTTGGATAAGGTATTTACCACTTTTGAAGTTTTGATTTACTAAACTATATGTTTTGTACATTAAATTTGCAGAAGACGAAACAAGAGAAATAACTCATATTCACAAGATAAAGAGGATCCAAACACCACGTAGTGTGACGAAGCGTTCGGGCCAAGCCACACCATCTACTAAAGGAGGTTCCCCCGACACCGGTTAGACGGACCGGCCAGATTCGTATACCGCTTATATTTTAAAAAATATTGTATGATTTGTTATCTATGAAGTATGAACATGTCAAGGAAAAAAAGTTCTTTTTGTTTGACTTGTACATATTTTTGTTTCAAATTGATCACTTCGAAAGTATTAATTTAAAGTTAGCTAGAAGAAAAGTTGGTTATCAAGAAAATGATTAATTTGAAAAGTTGGTAGACTTACAAAAGTTTGGTGAAGACAAATTTAAAATATTTAAATTTCGCTCGAGTCAAATGAGCGTTTATATAGTGTACTTCCCCAGGAACATGCATAGATCTTGACATACATATATTACTTTGAAATCTTCTGACGCGTTACGTGAAACATTATTAATAAGTAATAACTTATGAGTTATGATAAGATTGGTATATATCCACACACACACGAGAGAAACGTATCACCAGAAAAATGAAGGGCAGCTTCTGTTTGATTGTTTCGGTTTTGATCATTCTCTCCTTGGCGATTTCGTCCTGCGTCGTTTTAACTCATTCTTACAAATCCAGCAGTAAGTATACATGCTAAATGAGAAATTCTTCGGTTACTAGTAGTACGACTAACTCTAACAAAAAAATGGAACTAATCTTTTGATACTTGAAACATTGTAGAAGAAGAAAATATAGTAGAAGGGATTCACATTCGAAAGATAAAGAAGATCTTGGCACCTCGTAGTAAGTCGCCACGAGATCGCCAATGGGGTGGGAGTGACTCGTCAGAAGCCGCTAGCCCAAACTCAGTCTAAGGCGATTGATATATATACGATTAGTAGCTTCATCATATAGTCTTATATAAATTTTCTCCTCTGATCATAGTTTAAGCAAAGCAAGAAAACAAGCATGAGAAAGTTAATGTACGGATCCTATTATGTTTTCATTATTTTTTAGAATTCGTAAGAAAATTCTTGTCCATACAGAAGAAGTTGTCAACGAAGCAAGTTGTCACTTAATTATATTAATTGAAATTTTATCCATGTAAGACTGACCTAGTCTTTTGTATAATTGGACGTGAAAACACATCTCTAGATAAGGATGTTCATGCTCGTGACACCAGCTGGTGACAATGTGGAGACGGATGAAGTATTATAGGGCCACTAGTTGTCCATTTTATAGTCGTTATATGGTTAGTTGACTTTAAATCATATGATAACATTATATTCAATTAACATTAGTTTAGTTTTCTGGTTAATTAGTACATTAATCTGTTTTTAATAGAAAGATGAGATTAAAAACGATAATGATCGGCATTGAAGAGTTAATTAGAAAACATTCTGCTTATATAATCTCATATGTTCTTTTTCATAGTCCTCTCATACGCTATTTGGAGCTCGATCACTAAGAAAAATAATTTATTCTCTGTTGCTTATTTACCAACTTTTTTTTTTTTTGAACAACTGCTTATTTACCAACTAAGAATTATAAGCAAACTATTTTTAAGAAAGACTTCTTCATTGTCGACGATTTTGAAGAAAAATATGGATCGGATGCTACCATCAGAAAACGTCTTATATTAGTTAGTATACACAATGAAACTTGCTCACACGTCTTGATTGCTACAAATATACATCAAATTTTATATCATGCTCAAAAAGGACTCAACGCAAGAATACAAGAAACCATGAAAGGAAAGCTGTGCTTGATTGCTTCTCTTTTGCTTCTCTCGTTGGTGTTTTCATCCGATGCAGTTTCAATTAAGCCATATGGATTCCGAAAACTCAGTGAGTAGTACTGATTTTTATAACCAGATGACATATTTTGCCATTTTTACATGACTGCCTTAGTATTAAGTTTCTACTTACTGTAATCTTCTTTTATATAGAAGAAGATATCGAAACACCGTGTAGTATGTCACCATCTGCGGGCCAAGGGAGTGTCACTCCGCAGATCAATCGCAAAGGCAAACCTTGTAAAAATCCGACCTTCATGGGCAATGGTAATTAGCTTTTTTAGGTGAATGTATAATCTACAATATACAGAAATCCTTTTCGGTTCGTATATGTTTGTTTCTTATTTTTTTGTCAACTATATGTTTGTTTCTTTTATGTTGTGATTGTGAATCCTATTGTTGACGAAAAAATAAAAATAAGTTTTGGCAAATGACAGCCTATATGGATTGTTTTTACCCAATATCTATGTATGCTCTCTATGTGGATAAACAGGTGAAAGAACATATATAGTTTTTCTACTCGTTGCGATCGGCTATAACCAAGCATGCACAATAAAAAAAAAAACTCCTTTGAAGAACGTCATCAACTATGAGTAATATTTTGTCTTTATCAATAATATTTTGTCTTTTTTTGCTAATTCGGGTGAATCCAACCATACTGAATCTACGAAACTTAAAATCCAGATTTTCTTGCCATTAAAATGTCTAGGGTACCTTTGGTCAAAAAAAAAAAATGTCTAGGGTAAACAAGAAACTGAATGAATCTGCACGCTGAGGATTTGCTTTCCTTAACCTAAGGCAAAACCAGTTTCTTTCCTTAACCTACAGTCAATCGATTAAGAATATTGGACAATCATAAGATTAAGACCTAGTCTTCTTTAGTCTCATCTCTGAAGTCTTGTTTATCTCAAAGTCCTCCAATCACGTTTTTGGTCAACAAAAAAAAAAAGTCCAATCACGCGCTATTAAAAAATTTAAACTCACTATAATATTTTAAGTAAAGAATGAAGTCATTCGAAAACCCCATCTAATTAATTATTTGATTTATGATCAAACTTGGTCACATCTTTGAGTGTTTTTTTTTGCCCTTAAAACTCCTTTTATTCATCTTCTTCCCCTCCAAAGGAGTACTATTTAGAATCACATATTTGAGTATATACACGTAAAACTAACCTACATACAAAAAAGAACATATATCAACACAAAAATAGATGAAATGAAAGGAAAATCGTGGTTGATTGCTTTACTTTTGGCTCTCTCATTGGTGTTTACGTCTTATGTGGTTACAGCTCAGCCATACAAGTTCCGCAAACTCAGTGAGTAATACATACCAAATGATATCATTTGACTCATCTATATTTTCCTCTTTATATGACTTATAATTAACATTAACTAATATAGCCGGAGGTATAGACACACGGCCTAGTATATCAGCACCTGCGGGCCAATGTTGCTAGCTGGAAAGCAAAAGGCGACGACAAAGGGGGCATCTCGTAGAAAACCACTGATCAAGAAAGAAGGTTTCAGAAGTTTTGAATGTTTGGGTGACCAGAAAAAAAATATTGTTATCATACAATTCAAACTTGATTATATCTATTGTTTCTGTCTAGCCGGAAACTTGAATAAGAATTAAACTTCTGCCAGCTCTCCAATTAGAATACCAATATACTCACAAGTTTGAAAAAGATTATCATGGCTGATTGTCTACGTTGAAGATTCTTCTTCAAATCAGTTTATATGATTTCCACACGCTGCCTCTCATTATATATAAGCCACGTTTTAACTTTGAATTGGTATAAATACACGCATACATACGTATAACTTTTTCACCTACAACTATAAATATAGAAGAAAAATGAAGAGAAATTTGTGGTTGATTGTTTTGGTTTTGGTTCTCTCTTTGGTGATTTCATCTTATGCAGCTTCATCTCAGCCATACCAAACCCGCAAACTTTGTAAGCAGTTCCAATATCTATCATCTGATTTGCACCATGTTTTTCTTTTTATTTGTATGACTAACATCAATTTCTTTAGCAGTGATTATAGAAGGACGGCCTAGTAAGTCAAGACCCGCTGGCCAATGTTGTTAGCAAGGCGAAGGCGAAAGGCAAAAAAAGAGAGTATGAGAATGAGAGCAGATGTTTATGGATTGTGGACAGTGGACCTTGTGGTGGTTAGATATGAATATGATGAACCGATTTAGAAAATTTGTATTAACTTATAGTTAAGAAAAAAAAGGGCAAGAAATCAATCTTAGGTTGTAGACTTTTACGTTACAAATAAAAAAATTCTTGGGAGCCACGATAACCTTTTCAGCCCCATCATCAGATACAAGCTTTTCCTGCTTCTCTAGCTTCTGTAGTCGACTCATTTAAGATTGCAATACCAGAAAGAGAAAAGAATGCAAGAAAATTTTCTTTGACCCTTTATTTGTTTGTTTCACTTTATACCACATCACGTTATAGCTAAATATGATTTTAATGATCTCTGTATTTAGCTATGTATCGGTTTCTACTAAGTTCCACCATGCACCCTCCGCGTTGTGTTTAGAATTTTGGCATTTCTTTGATGAATCACTGGCGATACCAAGATGTTCTTGTTTTGAGTCTTAAGAAGATAGTCGAAGACAACAATTCTCAGAAATTATAGATCTCTTTCTTTAGCGAAATGTTTGAGGTTACGGAATATGACACTTCGCATCCTGAAGATGATTCGAGGAGCTCGTTGAGTAACTGTTTCTCGTCATGTGGAGGGGTCACTGAGGTGGTTTTATTCCCCAATAAACATGGCCTAATATCCGCGAATATGCCCTCATATCTATTCATGGAGAAGGCGCTGAAGAGAAGGCCATGCAACTTAGTGGAAGTGATCACATGGTGTCCGTTTACTTGTGATGCAATGCAGCCTCCTCTTTCTTGTGTTTCTTTTTACTGAGCTCAATAATCTTCATATGCCTTTTTTTACTACCTAGGTATCATTATCTATTGTTTGTTCGATTGATTAGGTAGACAAAAGCATTAAGTCAATCATTTTGTGATGAAGAAAATGTCATTGTTTCCCATAGAAGAAAAAAAAAAAAAAAAGGATTGGATTTTACCTGTTGACCAAGAAAATAAACAGTATATGGACTTTACATTTAGTTAATCTTTTTTTTATTGCCGTTGAAAGGTCAGCTCTCAAAGTATAATACCAAGTTGCAAAAGATTAACCTGATTGTCTACGTCGAAGACTCTTCTTCAAATCAGACTATATATATGAACATCGTTTTAACTTTGAATTGGTATAAATAAATACATACATACATACATTGATACATACGTATACATACGTATAAAACGTTTTCACCTATAACTGAAACAGACATACAGTACAGAAGAAACATGAAGAGAAATTTGTGGTTGGTTGCTTTGTTTTTGGTTCTCACTCGGTTGATTTCATCTTATGCAGTTTCAACTCGGCCATACGTCAAACTGAGGGAACTGAACCATACTTGTATAAAACTGGCCTTATGTTAAGTTGATTCAACGGACTAAAGTTTCTTTCAAGAAATAGGTTTCTTTGTGGTAGATGATTATGCTTATTTTATAAATGCATGACACGTTGTAGTCTAATCTAATTGGACATCGTTAAATTAAACAACCTCACACAACTTCATTGATTAAACAAAAAGAAAAGCTTATGAAATTTTCTATATATTATAGTTAACGTTATATTTTTATACATTCGTTATCGTTGTAAATTTGTAATAAACAACTCTAGCCACCACATCAGTTTCTTCTCTCTATAAGACCACCCAATAAGTGTTGTTCAAAGTCGTAAATTAAGCTTCTCAGCAAAAAAAAAAAAAAAAAAAAAAAAAAAAAAAAGATGAACTGGAAATTGGTTTCGCTAATTGGTTTGATTTTCCTCTTGTCTATTACATTAAACCCAACTCTGGCTAGAGTAACTTACCCATCTCGCACGACAAGTAAGTTTCCAGCGCTTATCTCTTCTTGTATTTTGTTATTTTGATATTCTGTAGATTATATAGATGATACTATGATCACGAAATTTAGATTAGTTCGTAGATCTACGTATGTCACGTGAAATTTGCAGTTCTTTATCAACAACAACAAAAAATAAAAGAATTTCGTAGTTGTGAGGAAAAAATTGTGTATCTTTTTGATTTCGATGAATAAAGTGATGATAATAACTAATTTAGCTATACAGAAATTATACAGTCGTTACCATATACGTATATTCTTCAAAAAACTTAAGAAAATCATTTCATTATTTTGTTTCATGGTTTATCCGAATTATAAGTAGGAAAAGGGATTGAAAATATACACATCAGCAAAGGAATGAAGATTGGCGTTGGAGGCAGTATTTCTAGATCTGCTTCTGGGGGGAACAGTCCGCCTAAGATCATTCCTTAGTTATGATGTGAAGATGTTGTGATCTTTATCGTTCTAATCTAAATATCTGTTAAACTTGTGATTTTTTTGTTGTTGTTGTTGCTGTTTTATAATGTGTAGTGATCACTCTTAGACTTGAATATCGATAACTCTAAGAAGTTAATGCATATATTGACTGTTTAATAGATTATGTATGTTAAGTCAAATTGGGCATTGAGCGAACCACATTGACATATTTTTTGGAGTCCTTGTACAACTTTTTTTTTTTAAAACAACACGAAATTGAAAGTTGCAAGGTTGAAATTTGAAAACAAGCCTTCAAATTACAAACATTACACTTTAGCCCCATAACTTACAAAATAACTGAAAATTCCAATTTAACAGCGAGCCGTACATGCGTATATTGGGCCCGAAAGCCCCTAGAAATTAGCAATACACTCGGCCCATTATGCGCATGTACGGCTCGTTATAAAATTGGACTTTTCAGTTACTTTGTAAGTTCTCGGGCTCAAAAGTAATGTTTTAAAGTTTAAAGGAATGTTTTCAAATTTCAACCTTTCGTGTTGTTTTCTCTCCTGTCACACTCTTATTCCTCCGCCGTCGCCGTGAAAATCTTCGCTGAGATTGAAGAAAATTGAAGATTTCACAGACTACCCAAAACGGCGTGCCCGATTCTCACCGTAGTTTCAGCGTTCGACATTCGCCTGACCTTTCACCTTTTCGGTGATAGTCCTTAGTCTTCAGTGAGTAACTCTCGTCTTCTTCTTCTGTTGATCTATCTCATTTACTGGTTTCGCGAGTTCCTGTTTTAGGTAATCGATAATTAGGATTTATAATCAGAGAATCGGCGACGGCGAGTTTCAAAATTGAATGATTTTGCTTATACTGATAACACAAATCGATATGTCCAAGCTTAACAGAAACCTATATGGAATTGAAACTCCCAGAGGTCAGTTTATTAAAGGGTTTTTGGATAATCAAATCAATTCCTTGATAATTTCTCTTGATCGTTCTTCCATCTTTAAGCTTGTTTGTTTATTCTGAGATGTGAAGATCCATATTTTTTAGCAACTGTCTAAAGCTTGGGTTTTGAAAAATGAAACTTTGTCTACCGTAGGATCAATGTATTGTTTCTATACATGTTCTCAATTCATCAAAAGCCTTTTGATGAGATAATCAATCTGATTATAGGATCGATGTACATTCTTAAAGTTAATTGATGTTGTTTCTTGGTTTTCTGTTTTTGTAGCTGAGTCAACTGCGAGATGTCATCAAGAATTGCTGAAATCCGGCTCGTAAGTTCGCACCGTGAGGTCTACGAGCCATGTGATGATTCATTCGCTCTAGTCGACGCACTGCTCGCTGATCGAATCAACCTCATAGAGCACAAACCGAAGATTTGTATGGAGATCGGATGCGGAAGCGGCTACGTCATAACCTCGCTCATCCTTCTCCTCAAGAACGAACTCCCCGGCGTTCACTACCTAGCCACAGACACAAACCCTATCGCCGCAAGAGTGACGCAAGAAACGCTACAAGCGCACGGAGTCGAAGCTGATGTCATCTGCACGGATATAGCCTCTGTTCTTGAGAAGAGACTCGCTGGCTCCGTCGACGTGATGGTGGTGAATCCGCCTTACGTTCCGACGCCGGAAGATGAAGTTGGGATGGAAGGTATTGCCTCTGCTTGGGCCGGAGGTGAGAACGGCCGGAGAGTTATCGACAGAATGTTGCCTGTGGTTGATGTTTTGCTCTCTGAGAAAGGTTGGTTCTACTTGGTGACGTTGACTTCGAATTGTCCGTTGGAGATCTGTTTGGTTATGAGGAAGAAAGGCTACGCGTCGAGGATCGTTGTTCAGAGATCGACAGACGAAGAGAATCTCCTCATCCTCAAGTTCTGGAGAGTCAAAGATGAGGAGAGTTTGGACAAGGAGACGTCATCGGAATCGTTTGTGTCGCAGTTTTCGAGATATTTGTCATCGTTTATGGAGAAACGATGGCGATAGATTCTTGAAAAGATGGCTTCATTGCACAAACGATGGCGATAGATTCTTGAAAAGATGGCTTCATTGCACAAACATTCTTTGTTACTATAATCTTCAACATAGGCAGTCTTTTTGTAAACACTCCTTTTTAAGTGTTCAATTTCTATGGAAAACCCGGTTTTGTGTTGGTCTAGTCAAAACCGTACTTTGATTGTAAAATTCACTTGTAAATGTTTTCTTCCATAACCGAGCCGGCCCGGAATTAAACCGACAAAACGTATGTTAATGCCAATTTTCGAGTGCAGACGTGGCTGAATAAGAGTGGACGTTCACTTTAAAAAACCGAGCGAGACGCGTCATTCTAGACTTCTGTTGTGAATTTCCCAAAATACCCGTGGGGTTACGAAGAGGCTTAAGGGTAGATTCGGTATCTATATATACCCTATAAATACCAGAAGATACACAAGACAAAGCCAAAACGCAAATCGATAGACTTCCTCACAAGATCTAAAAAATCTCCTCTTCATAAGAGAGAAGCGAGAGAGAGAGAACCAATCCACTCCTCCCTTTATAAGCACCGATTTACAAATCTATTTCCCTCTCGAATTCTCAGATCTTGTATATAAAGCTTCTCCTTTTCGTTTTCTTTCTCCAAATCTCAACCGGGAATCTCGCCTAATCGTTTCCGACAACAAAACCCTAGATTTCGTGTGCGAATTGCTCTCAAAAGGTCTGACCTTTTTCTTCCTTCCTTCCATGGGTTTAATCGATGGGACATGATTGTAACTTTTCATTACCCGTCCGTTGGGTTTTTTCGATTGGATCGTATGAGTTTCAATAGCTTAGAGGAATCGTGTTGTTGTTTTGAAGGTGAAACTAAATCGGCTTTGTACCGGATCTTAAATAATCAATTACCCTTTTGATTAGACAATCTGATTATAGGATCAGTGTATTGCTCTGTTAAGCATAATCTATTGTGCTTTTCTCGTCAGCTTGGACTGTCTCTATTGTCTATCTATTATCTTGTCTTGAGTTGTGTTTAGTTAATGTTTGTGGATTTGGTTTTTGAAATGAAACTCTACCGTAGGATTAATCTTCTTTTAATGAGACTGCCTGATTATAGGATTGAGGAATCGTACTCTTAAGCCTATTCTCTTGTGGTTTATGGTCAGCTTGGACCGTCTCTAGTGTATATCCTATCTTCTCTGAGTCTTGCTTTAGTTGATGTGTGGGTTTTTGTTTTGATGACATAATCTGATTATAGTATCTGCGTATTGCTCTGTTAAGAATAATCCCTTGGTGCTTTCTCGTCTGCTTGGACTGTTTCTAGTGCCTATTACCTTGTCTTGAGTTTTGCTTAGTTAATGTTTGTGGATTTGGTTTTGGAAATGATAGGATTGATGGATTGTACTTTAAAGCATGCTCTCTCTTGTCTAATGTATTCTGAGACTTGCTTTGGTTGATGCGTCGGGTTTTGGTTTTGTGTGATTGTAGGCCTATGGCTGATCAAGGATTGGAAGGAAGCAATCCAGTGGACCTTGTCGAGCATCCTTCAGGGATTGTCCCAACTCTCCAGTGAGTTTTTTAAGCGAGTCTCTTCTGATTTAGTGTTTGACTCTTGTGGATAATAACCATTGTGGATGTTTTTGTTTCAGGAATATTGTGTCCACTGTGAACTTGGATTGCAAATTGGACCTCAAAGCTATAGCTCTCCAGGCGAGGAATGCAGAGTACAACCCCAAGGTACTGTAGTATCATGTCTTACCAATTGATAGAAATTTGTTTTGGAATTTATCTGTCAAATTGAATACTCTCTACTCTTGAAGAAGTGGTGGTCTACTGATTAATTAGAGTTATAATTTAGATATAATCTGGTCTTTGCAAAACTAGTTGGGCATAGCCAAGTTTTCTGTTTTTTAAGATGTTTTGTGTGTCATGGTTTCAGCGATTTGCCGCTGTTATCATGCGAATTAGAGAACCGAAGACAACCGCATTAATCTTTGCATCCGGTAAAATGGTAAGTAATATCTTGATTGGCCATATTTTCATATATCTTAAAATTCAAATTCCGTTTATTTTGGTGCTTCAAATCCTCTTCTGAATGTGGCTTCTAATCTCCAATGTAGGTTTGCACTGGAGCCAAGAGTGAATACTTTTCAAAGATGGCTGCAAGAAAGGTAGTTTTCGTTTCTCTAACCTCTTTTGTTAAGTTGCTTACAGAGATATTCAAAAGAATCTGAATTTCTTCTTAGTCTAGCCATAATTGCAATATGTTATATGCTCTGCATTATGTTACGCTAACAGGAGATGTTTCATTGTTCAGTATGCTAGGATTGTCCAAAAGCTTGGATTTCCGGCAAAATTTAAGGTACCTTTCGTTTCGTACCAACCTCTTATCCTAATCTGACAGAGTTTTGTTTGTACTAAATATATTGATGGTTAAATTGTCCTGCAGGATTTCAAGATACAGAATATTGTAGGTTCTTGTGATGTCAAGTTCCCTATAAGACTTGAAGGTCTTGCATACTCTCACGCCGCTTTCTCAAGTGTAAGTGATCTTAAACACTTCCGAACTTTGATTAGGCATAGCTTAAGTAGTTAAGGACCATGTTTTGGGGATAAAAATGCTGAGCTGATTGTGGTGTATTGATGTTGCCAGTACGAGCCTGAGCTGTTTCCAGGGCTGATCTACAGAATGAAAGTACCAAAGATTGTGCTACTAATATTTGTGTCTGGGAAGATAGTCATCACTGGAGCCAAGGTATAGTCTCATTCTCTTTAGGTTTTGTGATAAATCTCCCGAGAAATGCGTGCTATGTCTCTCTCTAGCTCTTCTGCCATCTGATAAAAATCGTGAGGTCACTTCACTATCAGATGAGAGAGGAGACCTACAAGGCCTTTGAGAATATATACCCGGTCCTCACAGAGTTCAGGAAGATTCAGCAATAGTATGTAAGATCTTACATATTTCTCAGTAACGGTTGGTGTTTTGGGTAGCTACTTTGCATGAACCTAACTGTCATGTTGATCTTTGACAGGGTTGCAGGTTTGGTCCTCGCAAAACTAGCTATGTGGTCTTTTAGCCCCTTGGAGTTGCTAAGCTTGCTGAGAATTGTCCTTGAACAAAGCCCTCTCGAACTCGAAGTAGTAGCCAGATGCCCACTTTTGTGATCCGGATTTAAGATTCTAATAGAACATTGTAAATACACAAAATGGAGATTCAATTCTTCTGTTGTTTTTTTGTTCCAAGATACTGTCTATTCTCACCTGTTAAAAAAAAATACGAACTTTACTCAATTTGCACATGCAGCATCAAAAGTCTTGTTTAGCTTACCCAATATTGTAAACAAAGATGGGACTTTCAAGATCATATATCAAATATAAGAAGTGATAATAACATAATTCAACACATGAATTGTTCCTAAAGATTTTGTCCTTTATTCATGCAACTAAACGAAGGTGTCTTGTTTGAAACGTGCAGAAGCATAGCCCAAAACACAAATTACTAATCGACAACTGGTGTCTTGTTTAAAAGGGGCATTAAAGAGTGACGAGGATGAAACAAAATAATAAAGTATAGAAAATGGAACTGATTAATCATTGCTTTCATCGCTTTTGCTCGGTTTCTTGATTTGCAGCTGCACTAAGCTTGGAGCATAGGAAGAGGAGCACACAAGTGGGCGACAGTATACTCCCGAAGTATATCCACATTTGTCACTTGTTCTGAGATTCGGAGCTACTCCGATATTCACAGCTCTCAAGTATCCATCTTGTTCAATGATGTAAGCTGTTTGGTAGCGACATGCGTCCTCGGTCTGTTTATGTCTGTCAAGTTCGAAAACCACAGCGACTTTCTTCTCCTCATCAATGAAGAAGCTCCCGGCTGTGTTGTTAATCTGACAGCCAGAGATGGGTCTCAAGAACTCGCTCCACGAGACCGTATAGGGATCAATCTTCTTCGTCACTTGAATCTCCAAGTCCTCCCAGTTTTGATATAACACAGCGAGCTGCTCTTCTCTCACACAAGACAGAGACACAAACTCTTCTACACAAAGAGAGAGAATAGGCAGAGGCAGACGCGGTCCGAATCTCTCTGTCGTGAAGTCGAAACAGAGTAAAAAAGCTTCAAACTGACTCTACTTCTTGTTTTCTCATGTGCCAAGAAAAACGCATTTCCCTTTAAAGACACGCCTCGTTGATGAGACTGAATATCCCAGTCGGGACTGACGTCAAAATCAAAAACCTTCCATGAATCAGAGCTCAGATCGTAGATTTCGTACCCAGAAACTTGGCTTCTGCTGCTTTCATACTCACCGAAAACCCTCAAGATCTTGTGGTTACGGTTCTCGTCATAACCAAGAGGATACCTGTCTAACCTGTGGAAACTGTTTCTCGGTTGGATCCATCTGATTTGCCCCAAATATGGATTCCATAAGACGAGCCTCGAGCTGTCCTTAAGGACGCATAGCAATAAGCCATCGCAGTGAAAGGCTCTAGATATCTCGACTTGCTCAAGTAGACTAACTTGCTTTATACATGGACCAACGAAGTCTTCTTCGTCGTTTCTTATTCCTTGGAGATCGAATTGTATCGAGCAAACCCTAGAATCCATCATCATGAACCCCAAAAACTGCTTCTTTGCTGATTTACCACCAAGGATACGTTTTTTAGATAAAGCATTCCACATTTGCAAGTAGATCTTACTGCCCTCAGAGATGTCAATGGAAGCCTAGAGAGTATATCATCTACTACATCCCCTGGAAAATCGGACATTGTCTCAAGTTTTGGACAAACGGCTGCAATGTAAACAGGAACAGCTGATAAGTTTGCAAAGACAAGATATCAACTAGAGCATACAACTTTTTGTTCCAGTCATAGAAAGAGAAAATCACAGATAGAAGAATGCAGAAACCTTTTGGCTCAAAAAAAACAAAGCAGACATCTTTTAGCTCAAAAGAAGGAAATTTAACGAAAACAGAGCACAAGGAGAGATATAGAGAACCCAGGAGGAGGAGCTTCCTGATTTTCGCATTGATCGTACCAAAAGCTAGCGAAGCTGAAGGGTATAAACGAGAAACGAAAAAGAGGGACAAGTAAGGAAGTGGTACCAGTATTACAGCAGATCGGCGAGGGTTGGATACGGCGGCAGATGAGGTGGTGTGGGTTCTTTCTCTCTTTTTTTGTGTTTATTTCCTTTTAATAATTGTCAAAATTAACCGATTGGAAACTGAAAAATCTGGCAACTGTACATATATACACTTAAACACTTAAAAGCAAAAAAAGAGGTTCTTAATCATTTAATCATAACATTTTAACATAATTTATTTATTTAACTAAGTTTTAGTTGTAAGAAATCAAATATTTACAATCAGTTTCTAAATAAGAAATTTTGGAGAAAAAAATTAGAACCACACTCTCCTCTCTTTCCTACCCAAGGCATATGATCAAGTATTATTTTTTATTTGTTGATGAAAAATAATAAATAATATATTTCCAATTTACAATGTATATTGGTTTCAATTATCAACACACTAAACTCTATATCATCTTCTTTTTCTTCCACCTAATAATTCAACATCCTATTAATTTTTATTGATAGTTTTATGAGTACAAATCAAATAAAAAACATTTATTTACAAAATATAAAAATAATGAATTTTCGTATATTTATAAAAATAAAAATGAATATAGTATGAAAATTTACCAAATAAGATGAAATATTAAACATTACCAAAAAAAAAGATAAATATTAAAATTCTCAGCAACCAATTATATTATGTAACATGTCATTATGTCCTTTGAAATGCTTTGCAATTTTTCAACACTACTTTTGCCACATCATTCAACACTTATTTTCAAATTCCAATTATGTCAATGTATATGATTCAACTGTTGAAAACTTTTTTCAATATCCTCATTGTAGATAGTTTAAGAAATACTTGTAAAAGTGGTCATCATAACTTTTTTAGTGATTTTTTTTTTCTTTCAAAATATTTTTGTTTCTTTATAAATGTTGCTCACGTTAGTGTTACTCCTGACTTGATTATATTCATTTCAGAAACATTAGAAAAGTACAACAGTAAAAAAAGAAGGATTTTTACTTCCAGATTCATACTCTATAAAATTATAATATCTCATCAAATATCAAGAAGAATAAGAACAATGAAATGAATTATATGATTATCTCAATAAGGTTGATGGAAAAAGTGCGACCAAAACTTTCACGTTACTGTTGAACCTAGAGTTTCAAAATTGCTAACTACTTTAACAAATATGCAGGCATTCTTACCCGATTTGGAATTGATGAAGGGAAATTCTTACCCGATTCGGAATTGATTAAGAGATGGCATTGATCAAGAATCTTGAGGATACATGTAAGTAATTTATACTTAGTTGTTTTGTAGGTTAACATGTGAACTTTTTTCAGTAAATGTATATTAAACATTTTATGCATGGTGACATATCAATAAGCAAATAATCGATTCACGATTTCATTCAGTTGCATCTTGCAAACATTTTTAGTTATTTAAAAAAAAAAAAATCATATTGGTGCTTGTTTGGTACATTTGGCAATAAGTAATCATCCATTAATTTAATATATGATGTTTGAATTATCACTAGACATAATAATAATCACCATTTGCATTTTTTTTCTTATATTTTGCATATGTTTTGCTTTTTTGTCATTTTTTTTCATTAACCCCCTCCAATTTCGACCATTGTGTTGAATAGCTTCAATGTGAATTCCTCTTTGGAATGTGTTGCACTTTCCCTCTTCCAAATGGCATTTATCCTGCTTCTCCAAGCTTTTCCCTGCTGAGTTGTTGAGAAAAGCAACAAGAGAATCCATTGTTTCTTCTTGATAATTTTTTTTGTTTAGTCGAAAGTTCTTGTGAGATATGGTGAGAGACTATGCTTCTTTTATAGACTATGACTCTTTGGAAGGTAATATCAATATGGTGAGAGACTACTGCTTTACTTTTTACTTTTGTAATTTTTTATGTTTCTCGTGTGGTAAATAGGTAAATAGGAGAATCTTGATCATATGCTATTGTGTCTTTCTTAAGTATATGTATATGGTTTTAAAATTTAAAAGACACAATGTGACAACGTGATTATGGATAGATTTTTAAAAAATGAAAAAAAAAATAATAATATCAAATCAATTTCTGATCTATGATCTGAAAACCTCACAATACATCGTTAATTACATTTTCTTCTTGCTCTATTTTTGTTTATCAACTACAACTTGTAATCTCGCGTGAGCCTCGAAAACTTGTAAGTTGTAACTAAAATTATACTTACGAAAAATTGCAAATATAACTCATTTTGGTCCGTGATAGACGACAATTCTCATCATAATAAATAATTAAATACCACTTTTTCTTCTCTTTTTTTTTTGTCAACAAACGGTTCTTCTATTGCTCAAAGTTGGAGTGGTCCGGAATAGAACAACCAATAAACGATAAGGGCCTATCAAAAGACCTAGCAAGCCTAGCCAAATGATCGGCTTTACAAACAAGATTCCGAGGCACATAAACGAGAGAGAAGGATTTGAACGAGCTCCTTAGCCTCTTGAACTCCAGTAGCTCCGTTGAGAATTTTGGCCAGTCTTCGGGCTTGTGAATCATCATGATCACATCTTGATCACATCTTACCACTTTTTCTTCTTAACTAAATGTTGGCATAAGAAAATGATTAAATGTTGGTGCGGTCGAATATTAGTGAACGGGCAGCTAAATAATCCAACAATAACCGCCATAGTAGACATCCTAATTGATTTTCTGAAATACCCTCAGTCTTACAAAGACGGTTAAGGGTAGCTTAGGTATCTATATATAGGGCTAATTTCTTGACAGAACGAAATCGCTCTCCTTTATAAGCACCCGATTACAAATCTCTTTCCCTCTCCAATCCTCAGATCCCCCACAGTAGAACAAAACCTTTAACCTTTTCGAATCTTTCGTTTTCCTTTCGAAGTTTCGTCAGATTCTACACCGGAATATCTCATAACCGATTTGGATTACCCTAGATTTTCGTGACTGCCGGAACCCTAGAAAGAGGTCTGACCTTTTTTCCCGTGTGTTTAATCTGTTTGGACATGATCGTGACTTTTCATGAATGGTTTTTTCGATTGGATCTTTATGAGTCTTACGTACGTTGCTTAAAGCAAAAGTGTCGTTGTTTCGAAGAATGAAACTAAACCCTTCTAATGATTGTTAAGCCTCTTTGTTTACTTGATGAGTGGGTTTTGTTTTTTTGTGTAAATAGAGGAGAATGGCTGATGATCAAGAATTCGATGGGAGTAATCCAGTGGACCTCAGCGAGCATCCTTCGGGAATCGTTCCAACTCTTCAGTGAGTTCTCTTGTGTCTTCTGTCTTTTGTTTCTGTCTCTTCTATTAGTGTTTGATCATTGTATGTTCTTGGAATGTTTCAGAAACATTGTCTCAACGGTTAACTTGGACTGCAAGCTAGATCTTAAAGCCATTGCTTTGCAGGCTCGGAATGCGGAATATAATCCCAAGGTTTTACTTTAATTACTGTGATATATGTCATGCTTTAGTAATAATTGATTTATTTATTTTGGAGATTGTAAACATCTTCTGTAACCTGTTTAATGTTTCCAGCGTTTTGCTGCTGTGGTTATGAGAATAAGAGAACCAAAGACCACAGCATTAATTTTCGCCTCTGGAAGAATGGTATGTTATATTTCTTGGTTTCCCATATTTTTTCCATAACTCTAAAACTTAATTTCATTTAGGATTTGTTTTTAGATTCTCTTCTGAATTTGGCGTCTAATCTCCAATTGTAGGTCTGTACTGGAGCTAAGAGTGAAGAAGGTTCTAAAATGGCTGCAAGAAAGGTAGATTTCTTCTTCTATACATAAGCTATAAGCTATTTGCTCTACATCAATTATATAATGATAATTAACTCAAAATGTTATATTTTTTAGTATGCTCGGATTGTTCAAAAGCTTGGTTTTCCTGCGAAGTTCAAGGTACCTTTTGTAAATATATATACCAATCTGACATGGTTTTGTCTTATTTTTGTTTGTATCATGCATGGTTATATGAACTTACATTGTCCTGCAGGATTTCAAGATTCAGAATATCGTAGGTTCCGTGGATGTCAAGTTTCCAATAAAACTTGAAGGTCTTGCAATGTGTCACCGCGATTTCTCAAGTGTAAATGATATAAACACTTTGCAACCCTTTTTTATTCTCCTTTGTATTGAACTCTTATAAGCGCATTACCCTCTCTCTCGTATTTTGGTGTTGACAGTACGAGCCTGAGATGTTTCCAGGGTTGATCTACAGGATGAAAGTGCCTAAGATTGTGCTACTTATTTTTGTGTCTGGCAAGATTGTAATCACTGGGGCCAAGGTAATGTCTCATTTTCTGTTTAGGTTTTTGTGATAATGTTCCGAGAAATGCATAAAAAATCATTAGGTCACTTCACTATCACAGATGAGAGAAGATACATACAAGGCCTTTGAGAATATATACCCGGTCCTCAAACAATTCCAAAGGATCACGAAGTAGTATGTAACCACACCCTTCAACTTTCTTATGGCTGATTTCTACTTGCATGGACCTAATATATTTGTTATCTTCATCTTTTTGACAGGGTCGTGTCGCGTGTTGTTCCTCGTAAAACTAGTTGTGCCGTCCTTGGATTTGCTAAGCTTGCTGAGAATTTAGTCCTTTGCTAAGTAGACAGACTCCAACATTTTTGTTCCGGTTTAAGATTCTCTAATAGAACATTGCAACACACACAAATGCCTATTCTCACACTTGTTAAAAAGTACTACAAACTCAGCCCAACTTGCAGCTGCAGCATCTTAAAAATCTACTGTTGGCCACAAAGATGAAAGTTAGTAGTTCACGGTTGACTTAATTGCATCCAGTATCTGCAACATATGTTTAACAATGGAAGCGTTAGAAAAAGAAGCGATTAGAGATGAAGTGAAGACAGAGACGAGATATCGACTCTTGCCTTGTTCTTGGTTGGCATGTAGAAAGGTTCGAACACTAGAGGGAAAGGAGTGTCTAGACCACATACTCTACTTACAGGTGCTTCTAACTGCAAAACCAAAAGACGGTCACAAAACAGAAGAACAAAAAACAGAGTTTGCTACACAAATGTACTACATTTGTTAGATATTGATTACCTTCAAGAAGCAACGTTCAACAATAGTAGCAGAGATCTCGGCGCCAAAGCCCCCTGTGACAGGAGCTTCATGGCTAATCTGTAACAGAGACATAAAAGTGGAAAACACATTTATTCTCTGTGAATTAGGACAATGCTGCTCACTCAGAAAATCTTCACTTACAAGAAGTCTTCCGGTCTTTCTGACAGAGGTCTCAACCTTTTCTTTATCCCATGGGATCAGAGTCTTGAGATCTATCAGTTCACATGATATTCCTTCCTGCAAAAACATTGTGTTTCAATCATCTGACTCACCTAATTAAGACTTATCAAATTAAGTGCAAAGCATAAGAGACTAACATTTTCTGCATCAAGACAAGCTTGTTCCATGATAGTGAGTTGTGCTCCCCATCCAACGAGTGTTATGTCACTACCTTCTCTTATAACCTGACCCAAAACTTTTCTTTTCTTAGTCTACAAATGTGGGATTCGTCGTCTCCTAAGAAAGAGACATTAGAGATGCAACTGAAGTACCTCTGCCTCAGATAAAGGTATCATATAGTCATCCTCAGGGACATCCTCCACCGCTTGACGATACAGCCACTGAAGAAGAAGAACTCAAGGACTCTTTCAACAAATTCTTGGAGATATACTCTCAAGAAGCTCTTGTGTATATATCTCAAGTACCTTTGGTTCGAAAAAGACAACGGGATTTGGATCACGGATTGATGACAACAAGAGTCCCTTGGCTTCCCGTGGACTTCGAGGGATAACAACCTGAATTCCCAAACCAGTCAATCGTTATACACAATTAATGCTTAACAACAGTTCGAAATGAAGCTATGAGTGAAAGAAGAAGATGTTACTTTGATACCAGGGACATGGCAGAAGAAAGCTTCAGGAGACTGCGAGTGGTAATGTCCACCGTGACCAACTGCTCCATACGGTGCCCTTATTGTAAGTCCTACAAATTCCATACAATTCCATAACGACTAATAAAATTGGTGTGTCAAACTAGAGAAAAGGAGACTAGAAGATATGATCTACCTCCACAGTTGAACTGGTTTCCACTTCGATATCTAAACTTTGCAGCCTCATTCACAATCTACGAAAATCACAAAACTCCATAAAGAAAAACTCTTGTGGTCAAAAGTCATATAACTTGATTGTTTTACATTTACCTGATCAAAAGCTGGGAATATATAATCTGCAAACTGAATTTCCGCAATAACTCTGTTTCCCTGTAAGAGAATCAGTTTATCAGTAAGAATATGCTATAGCTTGTTATAGATATAGATAAATAGAACAAGAAGAAGAAGTGACCATTGCAGCTAAACCAATGCCAAAGCCAACAATGCCTTGCTCGCAAAGAGGAGTGTTGAAGACTCTTGATTTCCCAAACCGTTCTGCTAAACCGGTTGTGCAACGGAACACGCCACCAAATCCGACATCTTCCCCAAACACATAAGACCTTCACTCAAAGTGACTCCAACCAAATTCATAAAAACAGAAATTCAAATGTGTACTAAATCTCAACAAGAAAGACGAGAAAGTCTGACCGAGTATCGGTTTCTAAGGCGATGTGAAGAGCTTGATTGATAGCAGAGTACAGATTCATCGATTTCCCACTTTGACATACGCTTTCAGTCGTCGATAACATCCTAAATCCATGACCAGAGACCGGGAAAGACGATCGCCGGCAGAATCTGCCTAAAAGAGCCGCCATTTTACGCAAAAAGTTACACTTTCCACGAAACCCAACCAACGAATCTATTTGAGAACTACAGGTTAACTTAAAGTTGGACTCTTTTTCTGGCAAAATTCACCCAACTACCCATGAAAATTGATGCTTTGGCTGATGTAAAAACAGGAATCTAGCAACCACTTTCACGGAGTTCCCGAGATAAAAGCGTTGGAGAAGCTATTATCTGGCCACGTCAGATCAGACAAGTATTTCATCATCTTTACTTGTTAATTACATTATCTCACCAGCAATAGATTTGGCATGCTGCTTGATAGATCAATTTCTTCTTATCAAAACTCACTTCTGATTAATTTATCCATCAAATTGGAAACCTAATTTGTTATTGGCACATACTTGTTTATGACAATTACGAGATCAACTCTGGACACTAAGAAGCAAGAAAGACGAAGAGAGGCTAATAAGACCTTCAAATCTCAGATTCTAAAGAACTCAAGTCTGAAACCAAACAAAGGAACCAAAAACGGAAAGATAAAAAAAATTCTGCCTAAAATCCAACAGAAATGAAAACCAAACCCCACCCTGCTTTTATCTCCATTTATCTATAACTTTCCCACGATTTAGCAGGTCCTATACGCATTTTTACAGGGTAGGAGGATCAACCAAAGAAAAAAAGAAAAACAGCAGAAAATTGTAAAAGACACTGCGATTAAAAGAAAAGGGAAAAATGAGATTCAAAAGAAAAAAAAATAGATGGGATTTTTAACTTCTACGGGCAAAGAAACGGATCGGTCTCGGGTACTAAAGAGCTCCTTCCATGCTTCAAAGCTCACGGCAGTCTTGTCCTCAAGAGAAACTGTCAACGGGATTCTTCATTTCTTCTTCCTCTCTCTTGTTACGCATTATGCTCGAGCCGTGAGCAAACTTCGTCTAATCTAGCAACCATTTGCCACCACACCAACTGGTTTGTTAGCAACAGACGCATTCTCAGCGACCTTGACATCACTAGTAGTTTCAACAGCTGGAGCAGATTCCTTGTTAGCCGAATCAGCAGTTGCGGATTCCTTCTTTTCTTCTGCTGTAGTCTTCTCCTCAGTTACCTGTTGAATTTAGTTCATTTAGGTGTTAGAAAAAACGAAACACTTTGAGCTATATGCTGATTACAAAGATTAAAAGAATTGTGTTCTTGTTCATGCCTGTTTCTGGGTCTGCTGTTGCTTGGCTTTCTTCTCCAAAATAGTCTTTTGGCGAACCTCATAGAAGGAAAAGTCATCCAAAATGCAAGTCTTGCTGCTGTGCTCCTTGAAAATCTTCACAATCTTCAAACCTTGCTCCAGCTTGACCTATAACATGATCCAACGATAGAAACTTCAATATAAGAAAACAAAATAGAGAACATGAGTTAAGGAGATGTAAAAGCTTTACAGGTCTGTTACCTCTTGTGTGTCTCTACTGTTGGTAACAGGTTTGTTCTCATTATTCTCAAGAGTGATATGTTTCAGCAAACTGTTTGGAACATCCTTCACAACATGCCACTTGAGAGGGAAAGAGCCAGTCCACTTGTCTTGCTGCCAGTACTCACAATTTGTGTTGAAATCAACAGGTCCTGTCATTTCAGCAAGCCCAACAAATTGTCCACTTGCATTGACCTGGAAGACAAAAAAAATTGGGAGTATATAGCTCAATATCATCAAACAGAGTAATAAAGAGCACTGCATTTGCTTTCAGGATTATAAACTTACCGAGAAAAAGAGAAAGATAGGACAGCCGCCAGGTTTCTGCTGAGCTTCCTGGTACGCTGCAGCAAGCTTCTTGTTTCCATTTGGTGTGCTAGCCCAAACATTATACTTGATGCTCTTGTGCACATCATCTTCGCTGTACGACTTGATGATAAAGAACATAGCATTTGCATATTCCACTGGGAAATCTTCTTTGTTGTACTGCTCTCTGTCAGGAACAACACATGCGTTCTCCGTCTCCACAGCCTCGGTTACGTTTGACTCGACAGTCTGCTCCTTCACCTCTACGCTGTCTTCTGAATTTCCCTTCTGGTTCTTTGTGCCCTTTGCTCTAGGTCCCCTGTTAAGTTCATTCAGACCATCCACGTTGTTCTCGTTTCCGTAAAAGTAATTGTTACCCCTTCCCCAGCTTCTGTATTTGCTGTCTGTTGTGTTCGACCATCCTCCTCTTCCATTTGTTCTTGAATCATACCCAGAAGAGCCATAACCCATTCCAGATCTCCCGGAGCTACCATACTGACCATATAACTTGCTTGGGTAGATTCTGTTGTAGAATCCCTGAGATGTACCGTAGCCAGTCATTGATGCAGGCTGGTGCATACCCTGCATAGAGAGATAAAAACTGATTTAGGGACAATAAAACAGGCAATGGCATTCGTCAGTACAAAGAACGATAGAAAAATATTTTACCGAGTAATGGGAATTTGAGCGGTAGTTTTGATTCCTCGATGAAGGTGCACTGTTTGCCTTGGAATAGGAGGGTGCAACTCCACTGCCAGATACAGGTCTCTGCACATCTGAAAACTTGGAGCCATCGTAACACGACACAGGACCATAATACCCATCATAGCTGTATCTCGGATCCTGATGGTAACCAGCAGCCGCGTAACCTCCTCCTGGAGCACCATTCCCATACAAGTTGCTTGAGGTGTTAAGTGTGCTCTGGTTAATTGGTTTCACGGGAGCAGATCCATTGCTTCCTTTCGCCATACCAGTAGCAGAAGCAACATTATTGCTTTCCGCAGGTATCGTCTTCACACCTCCAGCTTTGTTAGCAGAGAGATCACCCTGCGCAGCAACAGATGTTGCAAAGGGTCCACTGCTTGTCGTGGGCGGGAAATAGGCAGGATACTGGTACTGCTGAGCGCCATACAACTGCCCATCTCCTCCAACCTGTGGAGCTGGGCTTGTGGCTGGCGAGTAAGGATATGCTGCATACCCGTAACCCTGAGGATACACAAGAGATCCATTATCTCCATAGACTCCCTGAAATATATCAAAACAGTAAGCATACCAGACGAGAAGAGAATGAAAGGCAAATTGGAATATACTAAGCAAACACTTACCGAAGTCATGTCAACACCTTCAGGGTTTTGGTAGGCTGTGTATTCGCTCCAGTCACCACTCCCATATCCTGAAAGATAATAAAAAGAGAAACATGTTAAGCATTGGTGACAATCTTGTGAAGGTGATGTCTCTAGATCGTTGAGGATGAAGCTACTAACCATAATAATAGGGCTGGTAGGTGTTCGGAACATAGCAAACTGAAGGGTCGACGGCATCACTGGGAAGCATCGGTGTCAAGGATCGGTCATAGGAAGTAACTTGACCATGAACATCCATACCTCCATACTGGTAAACAGCAGTCTGCACAAACAATTACAAAAGACTCACGATTGTTAAAAAAGCTGGAAGTTGAAAGGTCGCAAACACAGGGCGAAATTTGAACGAGCTTCGTACCTTCTTGTTTGGCTCAGGAATCTCTGAAGCTTTGGCCTGTGAATCCAAGGAAAGTTTCTGCAACAGATCTGAAGCTTCTACAAACAAAGTGAGTCAAGGAAGCAAAGACCTTTAAGTACGAAGTTAGAATTACACCTAAAATCTACAGTTATAATAGTGCAAAGCAAACATCTTTAGTCCTGCAAGCTTTTCAAATTCGTTTACTCTGCTCGCAATATGAGGAGAAGCAGAGAAAACCTAATCAGCGAGAGTGAAATAGAGGAAAGCTAAGCTAAATCTAGGTGATATCAAACAAATCTGAGAATCCGACGAAAAACCGATTTACAAAAGTGAGAGGGAGCGAAACCCGATTTAAGATCCAATAACGCAAACAACAGAAATCAATCGAGAAACGAAGAGATCGAGAAACAGAAAACACAGATCGAGAAGCATAAACAAAGGATACGATCAGCAGGTGGAGCGACGGTAGCCATTAGAGCAGGATTCGACAGCAACGGTTGATAGATCCTTCTCGGATAGGGGATGCGACCAATAGAGAGAGAGAGAGAAGATGAAGGAGGGAAGAAGAGAAAAAAAAAGAAGATAAGAAACCCTAAACCGAAACAGAAAAACCCAGATCGAATCTAGGGTTTAAGAGATAAAAACGAGAAGGAGAAGGGGTAAAACTGGCCGCAGCCGCCAAGAGAAGGGTTTTTCTTCGGGGAGGAGGAAAAAAGGGTTTTGTCTCTGTACCTTGCGAGTGATTCAAATAGATCCACGAACGACCCTTTTTTTTTCTCTTCCTTTTTCTTTTTTCTATTATCTTTTTTATTTAAATTTCTTCCACCTTAAGATATTTCCTCTTTTGTCATCAAGACTAGACCGTCTGGATTTGGTAATTACCATGAAAATCTTGTCAATAGATTAAAAAAAAGGCAAACAAAAAAAGGTGCTAAAATACATTTAATACCGAGCAAATGTTGGTAAATGTTGGAAAGTGAAAAGGCATATTTTCTATTGAAGGGGTGTATCCCCCTATATTTGTCAAAAAAAAAAAATTATAAAAAGGTGCTTATCTTAACATTGATCTATCAAACCATTTAAAAGTTGTACATCTCTCAATGAAATCATTAAAGTTAAATTTCTGTCCAAGCGATTGTTGAAAAACCATTTAAAAGTTAAAACCTTAAAGTACTAGAGAAACTTACCCGAGACAGAACTTCTCTGTAAGAAAAGAACAACTACAGAAGAAATAAGACATGCCGTATTTACCTAAAGTAGAAGTTAATGGGCCAATTCTGAAGATTTTCAAGGCTATATAAAATGGGCCGTTTTTATCAACTAGTCATCTAAAGACCCCATCCCAAGTTCTAGAGTGTTCTTCTCTAATGACATAACCAAACAACAATACATCCAACGGTCAGGATTAGGTCGAAGTTTCAAGAGCAAAGGGATCAATTGCACTTGCGCCTTTATATGAAGAGGAAGAAAAAAATTGAAGAAGCAAGTAGCGAGTGACATTCTTCATTTCTGCGAAGAGAAACCAGCACAGACTAAACCTACTTCCTTATCCGGAACAAACTCTCCGGCAACATCTCCCACCACCGCTTCTCCGTCGTTCCACTATACGGTGAGTGTCTTTTCTCTATCTGTTGAGCTCAGCGTCTGCGTCAGTGTAATTGTGTGTGTCGATTGAATGTTTGGTTGTTGATATGAAAATTCAATTAAAATAGCTCGTTTTCGTGTTTCGAGATATCAATATATAGTTGAATTTTGGATTTGAGATATTTCGGAGTGTTTCTTAGTTGCTGTTAATGGTGGTGGTGTTGGTGAGCTCTGATTTTTGAAATTGCAATTTATGTGTGTATGTTTTTGTTGCAATTTTTAAATGGTTGATACTTCAATCTTCTCGAGTGTTGTCGTTATGAATGTTTTATCTGACTTTTTTCAGTGTGAGAAGTGACAATGGCATCGACTTTCATTGCCGCGTCTTCTCTTGGTGCATTGGTTGCTCCCAATGCTCACAAGTTGTCTTCTGCGAATTTTATCTCTTCGAGCTCATTTGGAAGGAGACAGAGTGTGTGCGTAAGAAGATCCCGTCCTGCGATAGTATGTGCAGCCAAAGAGTTGCATTTCAACAAAGATGGGACTACCATAAGGAAACTTCAAGTGAGCATTTGTACTCATCAAATTTCTTTCTCTGCGGCATTTATTAGCATTCGTTTAGTTTCTGGTTTCTGATTGACTCCGTTGTGTTATTAGAGTGGTGTTAACAAGCTTGCCGACCTTGTTGGTGTCACACTTGGACCAAAAGGGAGAAATGTTGTTCTTGAGAGCAAGTATGGATCCCCAAAAATTGTTAATGATGGTGTTACTGTTGCGAGGGAGGTATGACTATATTGTATGTTAGTTTAAGACACTTATGTTTTAATGACATCCGTTTGCTCAAGGCTTTCTTCTGGTTAGGTTGAGTTGGAGGACCCGGTTGAGAACATTGGTGCGAAGCTTGTAAGGCAAGCAGCTGCAAAGACCAATGACTTGGCTGGTGACGGTACAACAACTTCTGTTGTTCTTGCACAGGGCTTTATTGCTGAGGGTGTCAAGGTCCGTACATTCTTCTTTTCAGCTTTCTTTGATGAAGACTCAAAAGAAAAGTTTTCTGATCTCAAGTTTGGATCTTTAATTTCAGGTGGTGGCTGCAGGTGCAAACCCTGTGTTGATCACTAGAGGCATTGAGAAGACAGCAAAGGCTTTGGTTAACGAGCTGAAGCTAATGTCTAAGGAGGTTGAAGACAGTGAACTTGCAGATGTGGCGGCTGTTAGTGCAGGTAACAACCATGAAGTTGGAAGTATGATTGCTGAAGCAATGAGCAGAGTCGGCAGGAAAGGTGTGGTGACCCTTGAGGAGGGTAAAAGCGCTGAGAATAGCCTTTACGTTGTGGAAGGAATGCAATTTGACCGTGGTTATATCTCACCATACTTTGTGACTGACAGTGAGAAAATGTCTGTGGAGTACGACAATTGCAAGGTAAATGATTTTGGTAACTGAGTTACTGGAATGATATTGTGATGACGGATGACTTAACAATGCTTTCTACTGTGTAGTTGCTTCTTGTTGACAAGAAAATCACCAATGCAAGGGATCTTGTTGGTGTTCTAGAGGATGCGATTAGAGGCGGATACCCAATCCTTATAATTGCAGAAGATATTGAACAAGAGGCTTTAGCCACTCTTGTTGTTAACAAGCTTAGAGGCACTTTGAAGATTGCAGCTCTTAAAGCTCCTGGATTTGGAGAACGCAAGAGCCAATACCTTGACGATATTGCTATTCTGACTGGAGGTAACCGATGTGTATATGATGAAGCCATCTGTTAGGTACTAGTCAATCTACCTTCCTGTTTTGACATTAGTTTTTTTATGCTTTCTTGTATTTGCGTGAACAGCTACTGTGATTAGAGAAGAAGTTGGTCTTTCTCTTGAAAAAGCTGGAAATGAGGTTTTGGGTAACGCCTCTAAGGTTGTCCTGACCAAGGAGATGACAACCATTGTGGGTGACGGGACCACACAGGAAGCAGTAAACAAACGTGTTGTACAGATTAAGAATCTTATTGAGGTATATGAACCAATGAAGTCTGTGATCGCTACTTTTTTGAAATGTGGCTTGGTTATGCTAACAACGCAATGGTTGTGAGTGCAGCAAGCGGAGCAAGACTATGAGAAGGAGAAGTTGAATGAGAGAATTGCGAAGCTCTCTGGTGGAGTTGCTGTTATTCAGGTGAATAGTAATTTCATGGTCTCTCATCTGATTTATATGAAAATAATTTGTTTAATGGTCCTAACTAAAGCTAATACCTAATGGTTAAAGGTCGGAGCACAAACTGAGACAGAGCTCAAAGAAAAGAAGCTGAGAGTTGAAGATGCTCTTAATGCCACAAAGGTAATTTTCTTAAGCTAGCTGAAATCATTACTGTTGTGACTACGCATGGATAACATTATTAATCATGACTTCATTCATTGAATTGCAGGCTGCTGTTGAGGAAGGTATCGTTGTTGGTGGTGGTTGCACTTTGCTTCGACTTGCGTCCAAGGTTGATGCCATCAAGGAAACACTTGAAAATGATGAGGAAAAGGTAATCGGAAAAATCAAAGACTTTACAGGACCTTTGGGATTCTGTGCAACTTTGCTCTTCTCTGACTGTATTGTCAACTATTCTCTGACTATAGGTTGGAGCAGAAATCGTTAAAAGAGCACTGAGTTACCCTCTGAAATTGATAGCAAAGAACGCCGGTGTTAATGGAAGCGTGGTCAGCGAGAAGGTAACAACATAACAGAAAACCTTCATATACAAACAACTCTTGATCTAAGTGAGCTGCTTGAGAAAGCTGTCTTTATTCATTGCAGGTGCTAGCTAACGATAACGTGAAATTCGGATACAATGCTGCAACTGGCAAGTACGAAGATCTGATGGCTGCAGGAATCATTGACCCCACAAAGGTCAGTGTTTCGCAAACAAAACTTCTTTCTCTTTGCTGAACCATCTGAAGATAAAGTTCTCCAAGAACATGACTGGATCTCTGCAAATTTTCAGGTTGTGAGATGTTGCTTGGAACATGCGGCCTCGGTTGCAAAGACGTTCTTGATGTCTGACTGTGTAGTTGTTGAGATCAAGGAGCCAGAGCCAGTTCCTGCCGGCAACCCAATGGACAACTCAGGTTAGTGCAAACACTCTTGATTCACGGAAGCTTGGACAATGTTCCTTCATCACTGAATATTATTTGACTTTGTCCTTATTTCAGGATATGGATACTGAGATAGACCAACAGGGTTTGCTCTTAAAGAGGAGACATAGATGAACATTCCGAAACGAGCTAGACCTAGCTTTAGCTTGCAAACTAATTTATGTGCAAGTGTTAATGATTATTGAACCAGAGAATAATGTGTTCATTAGATATCAAATTTTGAAAAACGTGGAACGATTTTTGATTTGGTTATGTTTGGATATAAATCTAGAGAAGCTTATGGATCAAAGTAACTGCAGAAACTCAAAATATATAATGCACAGAGAGTATATAGAGATTAAAGCTTCTTGAAAGTGAGCAAAAAGGAACTTAGTCAACTGGTTAAAGAAAAAAGTGTTGTACATAGAAATTCTTTTCACATTCCTAAAACCATAACAAAATGCTGCCATGTTGAATCGAGAATCATCATATAACCTCTGGCTAGCAAATGATTTAGATTGGTAGATGAACAAAAGTGCAGATCCTACTTTATGTACCTCAATGCAGATGGATTCTAAAGCCAAAGCCACAAGATGAACAGAGCCAAGTCCTAAGCAAGACTCTTCACCTTCCACCATTGCCTTGTTTCCAGGTAAAACTAAGACGAATTGATCACAGAATAACACAAACGCAGCTTTTTTCGCCATCATATCTGATATTGTCTTCTTCACTGCAAATATAACAAAGGAATCAGATAAATGCCTATCAGCAAAATTCTCAAGAACAAGTTTGCAACTTTGAAGCTGGAATTGGTAAAAGATTCAATCTTCATATCAAATTGACACCAGATTCCCAAATTGAAAGACTAACCTACACTCAAATTCACGGATCTCAGCAAGATCTTTCCCCATCAAATCCACCCACTGTACCTTCTTCTTCTCCTTTGTCACACCATCTTCTGAATCTGAATCCACCTTTCTCAGACTGCTTTTCAGAATTTCCCCACTACAGTGACCTTCCTTTTCCTCCTCTGCAGCACAATCTTCTTCCTCATTCAACAAACCATCCACATGATCAACATCTTCTTCTACATGCGCATCAACATAATCATGATCATCATTGTCGTCATCATCATCATCAACAACCGTTGTAGTAGTGGAAGAAGACACTTCAGGAGTGTTCTCTGATTTCGGTGAACCTGATGCGTAGATGTGAGGAGAAGGCTTACTGAAGCAGATGAAAGAAGGGCACTGGATCTTACACAGCAAAACCCTCATCAAAACATATGTTGGGTCTTTGAAACACCCGATCATCAATCAAATCCGACACGCTCCTCGCTCTCTTTTTTGTCTTTTTTTTTATAAAGTTACAAACTTTCGCTTCCCATTGATGTAGAGAAACCCAAAAATCAAATCTTTGAAGCAGAGACAGTTTCTGATTTTTCTGGATTTCTGTGAAAAAAAAACAGCAGCAGCAAAGGGTTTTCGAGGAAGAGTTAATAACCACAATATATATATCTCGACTTCGATAGAATCCAAAGACCATAAATTAAGCGTTGATCAGATGAGGAAGCAGACAAAAGTACAGGGACCACGCAATGCTAATACTAATTGAAAAAAAAAAAGAAGAGATTCCAATTGATAACAATCAGTCAGCCATGGGAAAGCAAGAAATTGGTAAAAAAAAAAAGACGTTTACTTTTATGATTTGAGAGAGACAAAGATGGCGTAGTTTTGAGAATTTAAAACACTTTGTTTTCGCATCAGAAGAAGATAAAGTAATGTCTTCCTGGAATTTGCTTTTTCGAGTGCCTCCAAACTCCAAAGGTGAAGTCTTTTCTTTTTTTAACTTGTAGTGGGTAACTGTTTTCTCGGTTAATCTCTCTGATTCTCTGTATTAGATTCCCTTTATAGTTCAGATTCAGATGTTATTTGTTAGTTTATTCGTCATTATCTTTAATTTTTATTTTAACTTTCCTATTAGAAAGTCTTATATATTTTATTACTTTACTTAACATATTATAATTTATCCAAAAAAACTGATTAGATACTTCAAAACTTTATTTTGATAATAATTACGACAAACTCAAAACTCAAAAGATAAACAAATGTAAGAAAAAATATTTACTAAGATAATAATTAATTTAAGATTTAATAAAGGAAAAATACTAATGCCAGTTATAATACCATATACTCATTGATTATACAATTAATTAAATGTCTTGTATTTATAAATATCAGTGTGTGTGACTGTGTACAAGAAATACATATATCTGCATTATTTTGTAAATCTTAATATCTAATTGGATTACTCACGGAATCAAAATTATTAATGTTAATGGAATAGATCACACGAAGTTTCCACGTGAATGGAAGTATTTCTAAATATTTTGTATAGTTGACAAAATAAAGATGTGGACTAATTTAGTTACGTATGATGTATCCATTAGGTCTACCAGATTTCTCCAAATCACAAGTGCATATGAAGGTAAATTGCATATATGTAATGCGTGTGCCAAATGCCAATATAGTAGAATAATGATGCGTCGACATAGGATGCTTCCGAGTTCTGACATAAATTTCTAGATCAATCAAACTCAAAAAGCCATACAACTTGTCTCACACATGTGTGAGATTTGCTTATTATTGTGTAGGCATCAAACCATTGATAATTGGTTGGCTACATTCTACAATTAACCTCATCAAGATCTAAAGCTAAAACCCAAAAGCATTATTATCCCCACAAAACCAACTATAAATCCGTTGTGATAATAAAATCAACTGTAAATCCTTTGTATAATAATAATATCCATGTTCAAACTTTCTAAACTTTGGCGCGTTAGCTTGTCCTCGCATATAACTTACTTAAACAACATTCGTAGCAATTAAGGGCAAAGTAATGATTAAAGTTCTTTTTGTTGATAACTTGTCCCTAACCTATACAACAGAAAATCATGTTTTGTCGACACAGAATCATTTAGAAAATCAGCAAAAGCAAGAGAGAAGAGAGCGTGAAGCTTCTTATTTTACAAGAAAACTGAATCAGTGTTTCTTATGTGGCTACTACATAGTCCTATATCAATACAGTATGTTTGAAAACACTTTAGGTTTATACCTATAATATAATCATTTCTGGTAAATGCTCGGGTTATAGTCTTTCGTTACATAACTTTTTCGATAAAACTACAAAAACTCTTATCATGTGTACAAAAGCACAAAAGAGGATTGCACTGATTGGCAGACATCTAAAGTTTGATGTTCGCTGCATTTTGGTTACCGATCGATAGATTTTCTGTAGTTATAGCCGAAACTAACTACTTCTTTGTTGATTCATCTAGTTTTAGTAAATATCGCCGTTGAAATATTTAGCAAATTGTTTGGAGTTTTTTTGGTTGGACAATATATTTTCAAACATGTACTATTGAATAAGACTTGATATGATATAATTTTTAGTTATTGGCGCTCTATATGTTCATTGTAATACTTTCATTGGTTATTTTTGATGTTCCGAGTCTTTTCAAATAATATCAAAGAATTACCAAAAAGATACACAAGAATGCTAAAAGCTACAACACTTTGGGCATAAGTGTTACTGCTGAACTTTCAGAACAGGAAACGCAATGACATCTCTTATACTCGCAGAATTCGTCAACAGCATCACCAGCCTGTCAATTCCAAGCCCCTAAGAGAAACAAGAAACAACAAACAGCAAACCAATAAGTACTTGAGCATACATGTCCGGTCATGTCATAGACTTGAAAATAACTAACTTTTAATCTCAATTGTATAGAATAAAGAAAGTAAATATAAGTACCATTCCCGAAGCAGGAGGCATTCCGTATTCCAGGGCAGTGAGAAAGTCTTCGTCAAGGGTCACTTCATATGATTCATCATCATCATCGTCATCTTTCTTTGCGTTTTGTTCAGAAGCTTCTGCTGCAGCCGCTGCTCTCTTTCCGTTATGCTGCCTTACTTGCTCCTCCAACCTCCTCCTCTGCCATATTTTAACTCAACCATTAAGCTTTTATCATCCCAGAGTACACGAACGCAGATCATTTATTTGTGTGGAACGTTGTTGTTACTCAAGAAGACACAAAATTGAGGGATTGTGAAAGACTTCATTATTTCGTTACCTGGTCCATGGGATCAGTCAATTCAGAGAATGCGTTTGCCATTTCACGGCCACAGATGAACAGCTCAAATCTTTCAGTCAAACCTGCATTACTGTTGCGAAAAGGAAACAAAACGGCATTTACAATTGTATAGGTTTCTAAAATCGAGTCATTGCCAGAAAACAGAGCTTTAGAAACAACTTTACCTGCGATGTGGCTTGGCCAAGGGAGATATTTCGATTGGGTAGTCCAAGACAAATGTGGGTTGAACAAGCTTTGGCTCTACAACAACTTCAAAAACCTGGAAACACGAATTGATTTCAGCACACACATTTGCAGATTTGATAGTAAAGTGTGAAATGAAGAAGCTTCACCTCACTAAGAAGATGGCCCAGAGAAGAGCAAGCTCCAATTCCAGACTTGTCTTTGGGCTCAACCACGTCTTGGAGTGCCAGCAGAACCGTGTCTTTGGCATTTCCGAGATCTTCCCCGAGCTCACTAAAATCAATTCCTGTTATCTCTTTAACGAGATTATGCATGGTTTCTCTCCTCCAAGGCCGCTTGAGGCAGATCTCTGTTCCCTGCACAGAGCAATTACAAATTCAGTTTCTCAAAGATTCACAACCAACAAAGAATTCAGATGAGTTAATCTCCACAAACTAGCTGTTGTGCCAGAGCATATTCACCTGGTAATCAATTGTTAGCGTCCCATTAACTGCCATTGCACATTGAGTCACGATTAATTCTGCCATGTCCATCATGCTTTGGTAGTCCGAATAAGCTTCATACATCTAAAAAAGAGCAAACTGCTATGGGTCAGAGAGCCATTCAAGAGTTTGAAAGCCCAAGAGATCCAAATGATTGAGGAGAGGGCATATCTTGAACTACCTCGATGGTTGTGAATTCAGGATTGTGGCGTGTAGAAATGCCTTCGTTTCTAAATATACGCCCAATTTCATACACTTTCTCAAACCCTCCCACCTGTGATCACAATGAGAATTATATTCAGAGAACACATTTACCTTTCCTACATATCTAGGGGTCGAAGTAATTTTCCAGCCGAAAGCAGCAAGTTGATACAAATGAAAGAAAGGAAGAAAGAGAGAAATGCCAAGAGATAATGAAAACAGAAGATGTGTCTCACCAGCATTCTCTTCAAGTGAAGCTCAGTTGCAATCCTCAGGTAGAGATCCCTCCCAAGTGAGTTATGATACGTTACAAAAGGTCTTGCTTCAGCTCCACCAGCTGCTCCCTAGTTTTCACAAGTTCATGAAACTGACTCCCATGCAGAATATTAAGGGGACATTTGAGAATGAAGGTGAAGGTGAAGGTGGGCACAAACCTGAAGAACTGGAGTTTCAACCTCCAAATATCCAGAAGACTCAACCGTCTTGCGTATCTCTGAAACAATCTACTACAACAAAACAGTCGATGAGCACTGGCTGGAGGTTGCAGAAAGAGATATTGATACATTGTGAGCAAAGCATTTTGTATTAGGGATCATGCACAAAAGAAACTAGATGCTCGAATGAGAGTTTGAAGATTTTCATAACCTACTTTTGCTCGTTTCCGGAATACATTAGCCACTTCAGGATTAGCAATCATATCAACATACCTAGCACGAATGAGCACAGTAAGTGGAACCCAAATAAAAGTTTACAAGTGCAACCACAGAGACAGAAGACGGAGCTCACCTTTGGCGGTAACGTTTATCAATATCAGTGAGACCATGATATTTGTCTGGCAGTGGAAGGAGAGATTTTGTGAGAATTGAAAAAGAATTCACACAAATTGAAAGCTCCCCTGGAAAGTTCAGAGACCATACAGTTAGTAAATAAACCCCAAAAAAAATGCTTAGATTAATCATTTCATTCGATTTTCACCTTTTTCAGTTCTCTTCATTGAGCCACTAGCACCCAAAATATCACCAATATCTATGAATGCCTTCAACTGTTCGAACTGATCATCTGAAAGCCTTTCCTTCTCACAGTAAAGCTGCAAATATCAGGAGATGAAGGAAAATTAGAAGGAAAGCATAAACGAGAAGACGAATTGCTTCAATAGGAAATGTCATAGCCAAACCTGAATAGTTCCAGAGTCATCCCTCAGAGTCAAGAACGCAAGTTTCCCAAACGCTCTGCGAGCAACGACTCTACCTGCTATAGAAACACAATCACTCTCATTGTTCGATTCTTCACCGTTGGCTAAATGCTTATATATCTCTTGAAGCTGATTTGCACTGTGGCTTTTTTCCCACTTGTAAGCATACGGTTCAAGGCCTTGACCTCTCAGTTCTTCAACCTATGTATGAAACCAAAAGCCAAATGAAGAATACATTTTTCAATTCAACCTATTGTAGTTGAAGCTAAATTTGAATTTCTGGCAGAAGAATCACCTTCTTTAGGCGAATGGAGCGAATAGCCTCACGATCGGAGGTGGAATTGGAAGACGACGCAGCCCGTCTGTTTCGGCCGGATGGTTTGGAAGTTTCAGCTGTTGCGGCATTGGAAGGAGAAGAAGAAGCGGCGGCGGCACATCGGAGCGCCGGTGATGAGTGGTAAGACCTTCTTCCATAAATAGCAGTTGCGAGACGGGTGGAGGAAGAAGATAGACGGAGCAATTGCTTCAACGGAGTCGCTGTTACACTCCATACCTTGAGCGCCTCCATCTCTAGCTCTCCGGTGCTTTCTCTGCTCCACTGTGGATAGGCGGAAGAAGTACGCAATTGGGCTGGGCTTTAGATGTTGGGCTTCTAATTTATGAAATTTAGTTATAAAAGGATCCACTTCATACAGTCGGTTCCTTTTTCTACAAGTTGGTTCTGTTAGAGTGAACACGACTTTTTGGATCCACACATGGTTTTTCTTTATTTTTCGTAAAAAATCTGATTACTTAATGAATAATCTTCGAAATATAAAATAAATATATAGCTGGTTCCAAGTATGAAACTGTCGTTATTTGGACAGTTTTATATAAATAAGTACGTAGTATTAAAATATTTGTAATTTAGGATAACAAAACATTTGTAAAAGACTTGTGTAAATATTGCTGCGATCCACATTCAACAACTCAGCTCTAAATTGTCCAAAAAGCGTGGAAATTATAAAAGTAAACGATACCACAAGTTATCGTTTCACACGACTTAGAAAGTTAATTTAATTATATAACAAAGTCAACTACGAAAAGTCAGAAGTCGATACCTCGTCCTTAATTGACATGGAAGAACGAAAGAAGATGATTGTTGTAGTCTATTATGGTATTCAGCAGCGCGGCGATGATAGCGGTGGCTGACGTTTCAGCCGACACATGGCTGCGGATGAGAAGGGTTCCATCGTCGGAGATTTCGAATACTCAACAGCTTTGTTGCTTCCCGCTTGGTCATCTCGTTCTCTGTCTATGGGAGTTTCTGTGTTTCCCAATATCAGATTCATACGACGACGATTTCTCTTCTTCTTCTTCTTCTTCAGATGATGATGAGGCTGATGATGAAGATATGCTTGCTTTCGATCATAATAGGTATGCCAATGATTATCCTGATGATGATGGTGCTGAAAGTTAAGCTTGCTATTGATCATTTTAGTTATGGCGATTATGATGGTCATCATCATCTACCTTGGATTTTGATGGCTATTATTTCTCTTACTCCCACTAAGATTAATTAGATTAGCTCACTTCTGCCTTTTAGTTTTTGATTCTTTTGGTATTGCTCTAGCTTTTTTTTTTGGTAAAAGTATTGCTCTAGCTTTAGCTAATTATGTGTATTGTTCGAAAAAATACTAGTTGCCACTTATTTTCTTTCTTTTTTGGTTATTCAAAAGTAAATGATGGTTGTTGATCTTCAGCAAAAGAACATCTTCGTTGTCCAATTTGTCACTTTTCTTTTGTGTTTAGGCAAATGTTTATATAAGAGTAAGACCCTCGAGATGAATCAAGAAAATCAATATATTGATATACGGATTGAACTCTGAATAGTATTCATAAATATGCACCGGGTTTAACTAGACCAGATTCACCAGAAACGGTAGAGTATTTGGACTTTGGATGTCGCAAGCTAAGTGCCCTACTTGGTCCTCCCGCTTAGTTCCTATAAATTTCATTCCCTTTGGGTGGTTTCTCAATCTTCAATATGTCAAGTGGACCAAGTCTTACTTCATGTTGTATTTAAATCATGTAACTGGTTGAAGAGGTTTTCCGTCAAAAATAATTCTTTAATAGGCTGTTTTCTTGAACACAGATCACCATCAATATCAAGACTTTTTTTTTATGCTCATCACACTTTGAGTTTAAGGTCATGTTACATACAACAACTATATATTTCTTACAAATCTTTTAATCGTGTATCCACACCACTATCCACAAATCCACATACACGTTTTCATATTCTTCTTTTCGTTTCACCACATGAATTATTGGTTTATTGATTATTTGAAAAGATTCGCATTATATATGAACACGATAATGGGGTAAAAGAACGAACAAAAATAAATAAAGAGGATACGGCGAGAAATCTTTTAAGTCGTGGCTCCACCTCCTTTCGTATAGTCATGATTCATGAACGTCATATCACTGTTATCATTTCCCATCCATATATAATAAAGTCGATAACGCTCTCTAAAAATCAAAATCTTTTAGTTGCTTTTCTCCTCCATTCATCATATCCTCACAACGTTGTGGCTTTTTTAATGCCATTATAAGTTATGAATAGCCTTTCGCTTTACCGAGAATTCCGGACTAATTCATGCAAAGCACCACATCCATACCATACATTATAATAAGTCTGGTTATATACCAAAGTACCAAAACCCTTCTAGTTTCTACGTTCTAGCATACGGTACAAACTTAAAAGACAAATTAAATATAGAAAAAGAGATGTTTTGGATGGCTTCCCAATGGAGTTTTTTTCTCCAAATCCGACTGATTTGTCTACATTGTCCACTATTTGTTTAGTTGACTGTAAAAATCGAATTAGAAATTATTTAGTTGTCTACATTGTCCAATTTGGTTAAGCCACCAACCGAATTGGTATGGAAACAATCGAATTAGAAATTATATATTGGAAACTTCCTACAATCCACTAATCACGAAAATCAATCAGTTCTCAGTTTCCGACACACATCTTCTTCCTCCACAAATGTTTGGTAGAGAGAGAGAAGACAATTATTGGGTTCCAACTAACTTTCCCTTCATCGGATTCCACCATTTATAACGACAGTTAGTTTATTTTAAAATCATTTCCAATTTCACCCTCGACCGTTGTGATCCGTGCGTTGCTCTTGTTCATTGGTGGATAATAGTCAGTTAGTCACACGGATACTCTGCGATGCCACTATTACTAGTTACTAACTTACTACTACTGATATTTTACTATCGGAAGTAATTACAAAGAAAACAAACCAAAAGAAAGGCTAATGAGAAATGACATTAAATTTAAGGTTAATTAATTAATAGTGGGGATGGGACCAATGAAAAGAGAGCTTCCACTTTCTTCTTTTCTCGAAGCAGGGGAAGAGAGAGAAGAGAGTTTGGGAAAGTTTGGATTTTTATTTGTGTGGTTGGATTCTTCTGACAAGGAAAAATCAGACCCACCTCCAAACCTGTTCCCACGAACAACATTATCAACGTCCTTGTCCTGTTTGAACAACTTCTCGTTAGTTTCTTTTTACATAGTTCTTAGTGTGTGTGTGAGCTGTGTGAATCTCAGCCAAAGCAAAGTTCCTTCTTTTCTTTCTGGGTTATTGCGACAATGGGAGCTCTGCATTTTAGGCTGGTGAAGTTGAATAGAAGTTTCTTAGTGTGCTTATGGCTATTTGGGTTTATCTCGCTATCCTCCGCAGCGAGGTATGGCGATTCAAGGCAGAAGCTTGAAGTGAAGAAGCACTTAAATAGGCTTAACAAACCTGCTGTTAAGAGCATTCAGGTTTCCAAAATCTCTCTCTTCTTTACTAGTCTGTTGTTTCTCTGCTTTGAGTTTGATTGAATAATGATGGAATCTGAAGGATTTCCTGCTTAAAGTTTGGGTCTTTTTGCATAATCTCAAATGATTGTCGAAATTTACTGTGAAGTAGAGAGTTTTACTGTGAAATTGACTATCTTTAATGGAAGTTACGTTATTCTTTGAACAGAGCCCAGATGGAGATATAATCGACTGTGTTCCTATCTCAAAGCAGCCAGCTTTTGACCACCCATTCCTTAAAGACCACAAGATTCAGGTCCGGATAACAAAAACTAATGAAATAGATAAAGTTTCTTGTTACATGTTTTGTTCTAGTTCTGATTTTTTTTTCGGTTGTTGTGTGTCTTGTCATCAGATGAGGCCTAGTTACCACCCTGAAGGGCTCTTTGATGACAGTAATAAGGTATCTGCAAAACCAAAGGGGAAAGAAGCTCACATCCCTCAGCTGTGGCACCGTTATGGCAAATGCTCTGAAGGAACCATTCCTATGAGGAGGACAAAAGAGGATGATGTGCTGAGAGCAAGTTCTGTTAAAAGATACGGCAAGAAGAAACATAGAACTATTCCTCTTCCTAAATCTGCTGAACCTGACCTCATCAACCAAAATGGTCATCAGGTGAGTGATATCAGAAAATGTTTTTGACTGTTTTTTGTTTGTAGCTTTGTTTGGTCTGATGCATTTTTTTGTTTGGTTTCTTGAACTCTTGAATGAGACTAGCACGCCATAGCTTATGTGGAAGGAGACAAGTATTACGGAGCTAAGGCAACTTTAAATGTGTGGGAGCCAAAGATACAGCACACAAACGAATTCAGCTTGTCGCAGATATGGCTGTTGGGTGGTTCCTTTGGACAAGATCTTAACAGCATTGAAGCTGGTTGGCAGGTAAGACTTTTGTCATCATTTTGGAGATGGCAAATGATTACTTGTATGTGTGAATCCATTTTGTGATTTTGGTGTTTTGATTTGTTTTCGCAGGTGAGCCCGGATCTATATGGAGACAATAATACAAGGCTCTTCACTTACTGGACTGTAAGATTTTTCCAGAAACTCCCCACTAAATTTAACTATGTGTGGTCTGTGTATAAATGTTGCTCAAACGTTTTTTTTCTTGCAGAGTGATGCCTATCAAGCTACTGGTTGCTACAATCATCTTTGCTCAGGCTTCATTCAAATCAACAGTGACATTGCAATGGGAGCAAGCATCTCACCAGTCTCTGGTTATCGTAATTCCCAATACGATATCAGTATTCTAATCTGGAAGGTACACTTATAAGTTATGACTTATGCAATCCCTTGTAAGCTCTAATGAAAAACTTTGAGGCTGATTGTATATTATGTTTTGACTTGTGACAGGATCCAAAGGAGGGACATTGGTGGATGCAATTTGGGAATGGGTTAGTTATAGGGTATTGGCCATCGTTTCTCTTCTCTTACCTAACAGAGAGTGCATCGATGATCGAATGGGGAGGAGAGGTTGTGGACTCGCAGTCAGATGGGCACCACACTTGGACTCAGATGGGAAGTGGTCACTTCCCGGAAGAAGGTTTCAGCAAAGCAAGTTACTTTAGGAACATTCAAGTAGTTGATGAATCTAACAACCTCAAGGCACCAAAAAGACTTGGCACTTTCACCGAGAAGTCTAACTGTTATGATGTTCAAACGGGAAGCAATGATGATTGGGGACATTACTTTTATTACGGTGGTCCTGGTAAGAACAAGAACTGCCCATAATGTAAGCATGTGTTGTAGTGTACTAAGCTTTGTCTCTCTCTTTCAGTCTTGTGAATTTTCCTCTACTTCTTGGGTAGTATTAGGCTTGTAGTAAAAGAAATGAATTAGTGATGTTATGATGTAAGCTTTGTATTGAGGTTTGTCTGATTTTTAACTTTGTATTAAGTAAGGTGTTTGTAGAAGTACTCAGTAGATGAGGAAGACAAAGATGAGACAGAGGCTTAAGTTTCTTAAAGAAACTTTGGCCCTTAAGTGTAATTTCATTTGTGTATTTATGTTGACGGAAACTTGGCTTGGCTATTTCTTCAGTCTCTTTCTAATGCTTCTCAAAAAGTACCGTTTAGTTAAACTGGTTGATATTCCATTTGTAGAGCTTTGATCTTTCTTCAACTTCATATACAATCTAACTCTGTTTCTTCTTCGCATTGCAACACAAGATATTAGACTCTCTCTCTACGTAATACAGCATACAAGAAAAGATACATTCCGACTGAGAAATTTGCTGTAGAAATAAAAACGAAGATAGAAATATCACTTGGACTTGTGATTCTAAGTCATCATCATGATATTAACAACAACAAGTTAGTACTCTAAAGTCATTGATAGAAAGAGGACTCACATTCATTCACATAGCCCATAATAGGTTCCACACGTAACAGAATCCCTAAACAACATCACTGGCCCTCGGGTTAATGGGTTTTCTAATTTTTAGTGGTTTCATCAGAGTAATTTAGTTAATCATGTAGCCCAATATTCTTCTTCAAATTGTTGCTTCTAAACCTTTATTTCTGTCGGTAAATCTTCGTTATTTGTTTGTATTCAGGTTCCGTCGTTTTTTCCTTTTTGTAAACTTTAGTAAATGTTGAGAGACAGATTTACATCATTACATGCAAAATGCCAATATACACAAATAGACAAGGCAACATGTATTATTTATCTTTATATTATTAATTGAGAAGTACATTCTAATGTTTGGATACAAGAATTAGAGAAACATCTATTTGGATAGAAGAATAAATGGAAACAAAAGTTGTTTGGATATAAGAATAAGAGAAAAATCTATTTGGATAGAAGAATAAATGGAAAAAATTGTTTGGATACAAGAATAATAACTTAAAATAAACCGATGGTTTAGAAAACTTCCGTTTTCCATCTCTTAAAAATCTGCAAAAAAGAAAACTTAACATAATCTAACGATAATTCCAAATCAATAGAATATGCTTTTTGGATTTTCGGGTTTTTATAGACAAGTTCGGGTTTGGGTGAAAATCTGAGACATAATTTTATAGAGATATATATAGAGATATAGAAATTGTTCGGGTTTCTTTGAAAATTTATGTTCGGGTTAGGTTCAATTTTTTTTTTCAGTTTAGGGTTTTCCGGATTTTTTAGATTTCTGGTTTTCGGGTTTAGATATATTAAAAAAATTGAGTATTTTAAAATTTTGATTAGGTATTGGGGTCGGGTTCCAGGTGAAAAAGTTTCCAGATTTTTTTTTCAGTCAGGGTTTTCGGGATTTTTCCGGATGTTTTGATTAGGGTTTTTTGTCGGGTTCGGATTTAGATTTAAATTTTCTACACAAAACAACAACGTCACACCGCACAAACGTGCGGGTACTCTACTAGTCTTAAAATTATTAATTGAGAAGTACATTCTAATGTTTGGATACAAGAATTAGAGAAACATCTATTTGGATAGAAGAATAAATGGAAACAAAAGTTGTTTGGATATAAGAATAAGAGAAAAATCTATTTGGATAGAAGAATAAATGGAAAAAATTGTTTGGATACAAGAATAATAACTTAAAATAAACCGATGGTTTAGAAAACTTCCGTTTTCCATCTCTTAAAAATCTGCAAAAAAAAAACTTAACATAATCTAACGATAATTCCAAATCAATAGAATATGCTTTTTGGATTTTCGGGTTTTTATAGACAAGTTCGGGTTTGGGTGAAAATCTGAGACATAATTTTATAGAGATATATATAGAGATATAGAAATTGTTCGGGTTTCTTTGAAAATTTCTGTTCGGGTTAGGTTCAATTTTTTTTTTCAGTTTAGGGTTTTCCGGATTTTTTAGATTTCTGGTTTTCGGGTTTAGATATATTAAAAAAATTGAGTATTTTAAAATTTTGATTAGGTATTGGGGTCGGGTTCCGGGTGAAAAAGTTTCCAGATTTTTTTTGTTCAGTCAGGGTTTTCGGGATTTTTTTGATTTCGGATTTTCATGTTTAGACCTATTAAAAAAGTTTGGGTTTTTAAATTTTTTGATTAGGGTTTTTTGTCGGGTTCGGATTTAGGGTTTAAATTTTCTACACAAAACAACAACGTCACACCGCACAAACGTGCGGGTACTCTACTAGTATATATACAATTCATATGGTAGCAAAATCCGAGTTCGACACAAATAAGATTTTTTTTTTTTTTTTTTTTTTTTTTGTTAAGTCGACACGAATAAGATGGCCCAAGAACAAATTATTGGTTCAAATCACGTTCAATATTTCTAGAATAACTGAAATGAGATTGCTTTACAGCAAGTACTCGATATTCATTTTTTCTATAATAATATATTTTGAAATCTTTGGTAACTTAAAAATTTGTCTGATGAGCTAAGTGCTAATTATTGTATTATGTACACACGTTCATGCCTCCCAACGGTGGCATCCTAGTTTAAAATCTTCTAAAATGTAAAATAGACACACACACAAAAATTATATTCATGTAACAATTAAAGGTGTAACTGGAAAACGTTATATATAAAGACAGAATCGGAAAAAGGAAACTCAAAAATTTCACAAAAAAAGCAATTAGATTCAAACTCCACCAACGTTCCATTTTCAATTAAAAGTGAGCGAAAACGTTGTTAAACTTTGTAGTCGTCCAGCAGTGGTCGCTAAAGTTTTATATTTAGGTTATTTATATATTAAAAAAAAAAAAAAAAAAAAAAAACTCAATTTCTAGTGGAATTTTATCAAACAAATGTTTCGAGGTTACTTGCTCAAACTTCAAACTAAAAATACATATATGGAGGATTGTTTTTCTGAGATTTCCACAGTATTCAAAAGTATTTTCATAAAACTAAAAAAAAAAAAAATGAAACGGAGACTATATCTAGGGGATAATAATAATAAATAGAATATAGTATTAACCAATGATATAATTATAACCAAAAAATAATACAACTCATTTTGTTTTGGAACAGAGAAAAAACAACAATGAGTTCATTGGTCGGGGCCACATTATAGTGAGATTTCATGCTTATAATAATGCATGGTTCATGGTTGGCATTCAAGCTTTTCGGCTAGTTTCTTTATGATATAAGCAGTTTCAGTATTCAAAAATAAAAACCAACTAACAAATAATGGCCGACATATAAAACAGAAGAAATGAAACTGGTGTAAAAAAAAGGATTTTGGGAAAGGGGTGGTTGGTCACTTGACTCACTTTCATAGTTTGGTGATATTATGAAATTACGAACGTTGGGGAAAGCATTATCATTAGTTTCAACAAAACCCTAAAGGCTAAAACGGCTAGTTGATCCATTAGCTACGCAACCACCTTTAAAATTCTGTCATAAATTTCAAATCCAAAAGGAAAATACAAAAGCAACCATTACAATGAAGTCTCCTTGAACTCCTGAATTTCATCTCAATCTAGGTATTGATTTTTTTTTTAAGTGTTCATACGCTGTCTTTAGATTCACGAATCATGAGTCAATATAAGGACACATAATCTTAATTTAACCATTTTTTTGGCAGAAGAAAAAACCAATTTAAAAGTGGAGATCATACATCTCTAAATTAAAAAAATAATAAGCTAGATGCAATGAATTCGAAAGGTTATAAGTGATATTTATGTGGAAAAATGCATTAGACATTACTATCTAAATAGTTAACCATATTATAAGAAGAGTCTAATATGAATCTAGAATGTCACGGACATTTTTCTTTTTGGTATAAAGAGAATGTCACGGACAACATCTTCTAGAATCTAAAATCTCTGAATTACAAATCCCCACGAAGGGTATTATAGAAAATATATTACGTATATTCAAATTTCAGAGCAACAATTTGGTCCAATCTACCGTATGAATTAGTAGAACAAAATGTTTACTATAACCAAAATAATAATAGTAGAAAATTATAATAAGAAACTTTAGCAATGAATGAGTGGTGAGGTTGTAAAGAAGGAACAGAGTGGTTGAGAAAGACAACAATATAGTCTGGGCCAAGAGACACCCAATCTCTGCCAGCTGTTTCAACTATTTGGACAACCTGTTTTGTTTCTTTCTTATTCAAGAATAACACTCAGTTTACATTCACATTTACATATCAACAAATATTTGTTTTCTTCAAAATATTCATATGCTAATTAAGTGATTTTAAATTGGATATCTAAATAGTCAGGAGTATTTCGGAAACTGTATGTGTATATACTGAAAACATATCAACACAAATTGGTCTAGTCGTATCTATAAGACTGCAACCTCCTACTTAATATCAATAGCAATTCCATTACTTCCGTATTTTCTGGATTGATATAAGTCTAAATTTTAAGCTAATTCATTTTAACACCCATAATATACGTATTGTTTTCTCCAAATCTAATAGTCATATTTTTATTTCTGTAGTTGAGATGCCTTTTCCTTTACTAAAAAGTTGAGCAAAATATTAACTAAAATGTTTTTTTGTTCAATAGAGATGTCTCTAGAAAAAAACATTCCCAACATTCCTTTATAAATACCTTTCAAGGCCACCACAACTCATAACCGCACCGAAAACAAACCATCGCAATACTATTGACTAGGTTTATTCTAAGTGCAAAAAAGAGTAGACATGGAGTCAATGACGATGAAGCTTATGGTAGTGCTCATGGTTGCTATTGTGGCTTTCTCCGCCATAGGAAATGCGGCGGCGGCAGAGGCTCCAGCTCCAAGTCCTACTTCCGATGCTCCTATGTTCGTTCCGGCATTGGTTGCATCTGTTGCTGCTTTGGCATCTGGGTTTCTCTTCTGAACCAATCTCTACATTTCATAGGGTTAGGGTTCATTAGTTGTTTTACCTCTTTTTAATTTTTTTATCGCATGAGCTTTTTCGTTATTATTTATAATATTTGGATTACAAGTATTTTTTTATTTTAACCTTCAGATTATATTGTTATCGCATGAGTGTTTTTGTGTGTATATGTTTGATGTTTCATACTTAATACTATATATGTTTATGGATTCATAGTTTGTTTTCTTTCTTTCAATTCAACTATTGTCATTTCTTTTTAATGAATCTTGGTTAAGCTACAAGAACCACAAGAAAACATAACAGGCAAGTCCGCACAAATTATCAACTTCTAGTGCTATATATGACCAATGATCAATGATGCGATGAGCTGTGAAACGTTGGAAGGTTGTGGTATCGTTGAAATATGTGTCGTTGTTATCATCATTATTTTTTGTTATCATCATCACATCACGTACGGTGTTGGCCTCGAATTTATCCTATAAAATTCCAGTGGAATAACTTTACACAAAAATATAAAACAAACAGAAGTAAAAATGCGGGTACAATAATGCTCCGTAGCGAGGCATGGAAGTAGATGAAAATGTTGTTTGCAACAATCATGCACTTAAACTCAAAGGTGGAAATCATATATATTAAGCATTCCATTTTACATTGTAAAGGCTAGACATAGATGAATATATACTATAGGGTTGAAATCTTATCTGAATATCAGAATCAACGACCTATCAGATTAACTTTACACTAGCTAAGAATAAGATTCAGACCAACCAAACAAAACGAACCCACTAAAGAAGTAACAGAATAAACAAAAGGTTTATAAAAATTGGAGTATGGGTGGTATCAGACAATAACATGTTAAGCCATGTGAGATGCATAGAAGCAAAGTGGTCAGCAACAAGAATGGGACCATCCAAATTTTTTTTTTTAGTTCATGCTTTTGTCTTTGATGAGTTGTTTAATAGCTTTTGTAAGTGGTCGCCAATTTATTGGTTTGATTTGCAACATTGCTTTGTTTCCTCGTTTCTTTCCAGAAAGTTCTCCACACTCAAACATTTCTTTAGTATTTGCGGCCTTCAAATCAAAAGAATAATGGATGATGACACACATTGTTCATGGAAACCAATCCTCTTGAGCAAAAGCTAAAGATGTATACAACTTTTTTAAAAAATTGGCTGAATAACTTACCACATAAGAAATCTGGAGCAGCTATAGCCTCTAATTAATTTCACTTTATGTTTTTCGTTGTACAAATGGTATAGCAATATGTTTATCTTTAGATCAAACAAAAACTTGTCTAGGATCATCTTTAGATCAAACAAAAGTTTCGTTACAAACTGAATCATCCGAGACCGAACAAATATTTTTGAACCCACAGATTTATCATTTAATTAAAGTAACCGAAATCCATAAAAATCATATTTATTTGAATTGTTTTGAATCCGATATTGTAAATGTGACGTTTGGGTTTGGGTCGGGTTTCAGATTTATGGTGATTTCACAGAATTAATGGGCCAATACAAAAAGGCCCAAATCGAAGTTTAAACGACGTGGACACCTTAAGCGAGACCTATAAATATGCTCTTCCTCTGCAAACCCTAATTAAGAGCTGCTTTTTCTTCTTCTTCTTCCTTTGAATCGGTTTCTGTTTTTTTTCTTTTCAATGCGTTTTTTTGTTGGTTAAATTGAGGCATAATGGGTGCAGTGATGATGGGTTTATAAATCTCGTTAATCTGAAATTTAATTTGAGGAGAAATACTTCCCAACCATTCATTCAAAATCTGAGCACCTTCTCTTTTTTCTTTTGAAGTTACATTTTTTTTTCATGGATTTGTGTTTTGAACGATCGTGTTTATAAATTTAGGATTTATCCGTGTTTTTTAATATTGAGATCGCACATAGTTCTTCTTCGAAGCTTTTAGATTCATTCTAAAGTGTGGTTTCGAGGATTTTATTTGTGCGTAGAAAGAAGATCCTATCTGCTTGAGTAGTCTCTGTTATAATTGTGTTAACTATAGAGACACGCTCCAATGTTATAGGCTCACATTATGTTTTGCGAAACTCTATCTAAGTTTTAGCATCATTGCAGCTAAATTGTCACATAAATATGAAACCAAACAATTCACTTAAGCAAGACTCCGACAATGATGCTTGTTACAAAAGAAATGGAATTTATCTTGCAAGAGAAATGGAATTTTTACGGGACTGTAAGTAAGACTTACCACGAAGATAAATGCAGGAGCAATGGAACTTGTAATTGTGAAAACAATATCACAAGATAATGAAGTAGTAAAACTTTTCTCCATGATAATATTTGCATATCAAATATGGAGAAAAGTTGTACTTCTCCACTATCTTTTGATATTGGTGACATAACATACGATAATGTGCATTTAAATCCATTTGAGTCCGGAAATACACGATAATGTATGGTAAAAACCCTAAACTTCTGAGAATCCGGATATTAAAATGTCATGAAAATGAGATCCTTTGGAAAAACAGTAAGAAACTGATTATATTACAAAAAAACAAGTGAGTGGCATCTCTCGATGGGCTAAAAAAATACAAGAGACACACAACACAAGCCAACAATTACAAACACTAAAGTCTTAACATCCGCATCCATCTTCCGGTGAAGATTTTCTAAATAAAAAGTATGATATACACACTTTGGATGGTTTTTTCTTTGAAAATTGGGAGTAAAAATGAACTGTCTGAGGGGATAATTTTGGTTTTGGACACGAAACTCAGAAGACAGTGTTGATGTGAAGTGCTTTGAGGAGAGATGTTGCCATTTGCTTCACCAGAACTTGGCCTCCTGAACGTTGCCCATCACGTCGTTCTTCTATCAGATTCTGCAGCTTTTGTGGGAGATCGTTCTCCACTATCAGTTGCTTTGGCTTTGGATGTTGCTCGTATACTGCCTGCTCTCAGAGCAACAAAACCACACACTCAACACAAAGAAAAGGAATCAAAAGACAGCCAAGAACTTGGATGGCGATTCATTACCTTGATGAGTTTCAGGAGATTAAGCCGAGCAATCGCATCTTGGTGGTCTAACCTTGAAATAAGCAACGGAGTCAACCCATTCACCGCTAATGTCTTGTTGATCCGAATTGATTTCCTGGATTCAAGAATGATAAAGATTAGATCAGACTAAAGAAGTGGCAACTCCACTTTGTAATTCTAAGTCTTGCTTTATCTGTCTATAATAAAGAGGAGAGATACATACGTAATGATCTTCAAGAATGGCTCCAATATGTGCACAAAGTGTCTCTCTGGGCAGCTCTGGAAGAAGTTAACTAGTTTCTCAATTGCATCTTTCTTGAGCAACGCCTGCTCCACCTTGTGGTTGTTGTCATTGTCTTGCGCCAGGCAAACAGCAATTGAATCTAAGGCTATCACTGACCAATATTCATCATCGAGTAAACTCAGATAAACATCCAGACCGCCGTGGGCTCTTAGCTGCTCTCTTGAATTCCGAGATGCATGAGCCATATCACATAGAAGTGGCAATGCATATTGCTTTAGAGGAGAATCCGACATGATGAAAAGCATCAGGTGCGGTATGATTCCGTTTTCAGCCGCTTGTTCCTGCCTCCTCTTGTTTATCTTGCACAGGTTGAATAGGGCACTAAGCACCTGCATAAATTTAAAAAGATTTTATAAACCCTAACTTCAGTCTTTCAAATAGCACACACGACAACAAGTTGTAACCAACAGAGCTATGCAAGTTCAGGAGGTACCTCATGATGGATCTGATAAACAAGATTCCCATCCTTAAGCTCAAGGTTGGGGATCAAATGCTTAATTGCATCTGCACGCTGGAGATTCTCCAAGCAATTTGGATCAGTGGATAAATGATTGGTGCACTCCAGTATCTGCAAAATGTGAAAGGCCGTGTAAGCATGCGACCTGAAGATCCTCTAAAGTCTAAACCACATCTCCAAGCTTCTGTCAGAGAGAGAAAAAAAAAATGAAATTTCATAGTCTTTTGAAGTACCTTTAAGAGAATAGGAGGCTCTACACGGTTGAACATCTGAAAAAGACGACTAAGTAAGCTCTGGCTGCACATGTATGATTTTACTGTTGTATCAGCTCGGGCAAATTCAAGAAGCAGATCAGCCACTTTCTCCAAGTATTCCCTTGCGACATCTGCACTCAGTGTAGAGACCATGTGGGCAAGTAAACCAGATGATGTAGCACTTCCAGGTCTAGCATTTAGAACACCCGAACCTGACAGTACTCCAGATGCTGTCTGAGATGCAATCCCAGACGAAGAAGCGACTCCTTCAATAGCCACAACCTTTTTTGTCATTGTTTTATTGGGATATTTAGGCGTAGTATCAAGATTTCCATTTTCCTTTCCACGTCCAGAGACCTCTGAAGATACAATGTAATGATAGGAGCAACCAAAAAATCATATACGTGCCTACAATATGGACAGTCTTGCTAAATATAAACTTTGGAACTTACCAGCAAATTCGGCCATCAGAAAATCTAGGTCTCCGTTGGTTTTCTTTTCGTTTGATCCATGCAAAAGAGGAAGCCTACTTTCATGTCTCTCTATGCCAGTAATGTGCTTTACATAATCCAGTTGACCAGAATAATGTCTTGAAGGGGGTTCTTTCTCCAGCAAGCTAAGCAAAGGTCGAACTTGTTCTGGCTGAGTAACAGGAACACCATTTGAGGCACCCTCCGCCAGCTTCTGAAGCTTGTCTGTCGAGGTCCTATTGGCGGAGAGAGATAACCGATGCTGTTGTCTAACATCTTCTGTCCCTGACGTAGAGGCATCTGCTGCAACACTGCTTAATCTAGGCCTATCACCATCTGGGTGCAAGGGATCGGGTTGATGGATATCTGATCTTTGAGAATTTGAAGTTGAAGCATGAGAAGGCTCTTCACCACCCCCGTGACTAGTTTTCAACACACCAGGCTGATCAATCACACTGACAGAAGTCTCATGCTGACTAAAGATAGGATTGTTAGGGTCAAGTTGACCAGAGCGCGCTCTTGGAGCTTGACCATCCACACTTAGTGGGCCACCTGAGATAGAAGCCAGACGGGTTGCCTCATTCAAGCTATAGAGAGTGTTGATTAGCCTAAGAAGAATTCCATTCTTTGCAGCTATACGGCAGAAATCGTTTCTGGGGGTGGATTTCTTGAGTTTGAATACCTGCCACATCCCATCAATAGCTAAATGGACCATCTCCCTGGACAGAAAAGTTCAAATCAGTAAAAATTAGTAGCATATAAGGAAAAAGTTCCTTGTGATGAAATAATTTTATCGATTATTTCTGCACTTAATACGTTGAAAGGAGTCCAGACACCATAAGATGGTAGACAGTACCCACCTGTATTTGGCATAATCTGCTTCAAGAAATCCCACCAAAACTGGTATTCCACGGCAGGCTATGAACATTTGCAACGTTAAGGAGCTGCAACGAAGGAACCAAATCAACTCTGTGACTTAAAGAAAAACACGAAGAAGCAAAAGAATAAATTTATTGACTATAAACCTTGACTGACAAAGCTGCTGCAAGAAGTAAGCTGCTTCCTTACGAATTTCTCGAGAACGATCCCTCTCGGGACCAGCAAAACTCATTACCACGGGAATCTGCCATTTCACTTGGATAATCAATTTTCATGGGATTTTTGCCACATCAAAGAAAAACACAGATTTGACTATTTAAGAACACCATGAAAAACTTAAGTGATGGCCTGATGGGATGAGGACACCAAGGATAAACTATTTTCCAAAAACTCTAATAGTGTCCAAATCGGTGATTGACATTTAGATCGAAAATGGAGACACGAGCATTTGATAAACTATTTGGCCAAATCCACCTAAATTCTCCAAGTCAACCAAATGGAAGGTAAGACTTACGAGACCAACAAGACAAGCATTTTCCTGGAAGTCAGTGTTATCTTTAATAATCTCGTTTATCAGCTGCAGCACAGCACATGTTACCTGAAAACACCAGCAAAGATTCACAAACACAAGCCAGTCAAGTATTCACATCAAACTGATGACTACTGATGAAGAAGGACAACAACAAAAAAATCCTGCAGGATTACGAAATAAACATACTCGAGATTTAGGAATATCAAGTAGATCCATTAGAGGGAGGAAACCATGCTGCGTCACATATACTGCTTTCTGTTCAGGTCTCTGACGAAACATGACAACAAGTTTCTGACTGGAAGATACTATTGCATCTTCTGATTCATCTGGCCTTAAGGAGCTCACCAATCTGCTGAACTCGACTGCCTAGAAAAACTCAACCAATAATAACAGTAAGATTCTGAATCGCTAAATTATGGAAACAGCTAAAACGGAGTTGAGAGCAAAGTTTTTTTGTAAAATTTAATTTGCAAAATATCATTCTCAGAGGTCGGTCAAGCAGCATACCTGCAGAGGAAAAAGATTCTCTGCGGGCACTTTTTCATCAAATACCTGTGGAACAAGTTAGAAAATATGTTAACAGTATACTACTTGAATTATCAAACGTGCGTTCTAGAGACAGAACATACCAAGCCATCAATGTCAATAACATCGTCTTTCAAAACACCCATCATTAAGCGGAAAAGGTCACCACCATCATTTGATTGCCCTGTTTCACCCTCCATTTGCTTCTGAGCAATAGTAGCCCTCAATTTTGTTGCCAGATCATTCTTTCCACCATCTGCGACAGGAGAATCACCCTGGATGACACTTGATGTAGCCGTTGATGTCGAAGCTTCATTTGGTTTTCCCTCTGGTACTTTGTCCAAGGGATGAAACAAATCATGCAAAGAAGCATCCCCAGGAGGATCACTAAATCTAGTCAGTTCATTCCCACCAACATTAGATGGAGTCCTCGAAGCCTTTAAGATAGAAACAACAAGCAAAAAAATATAGTCAGTTTGCAAGTCTTCAACTTAAAACTGAGTATTTAGACTGGGCACATCATTCAACAAAGCAAGGGTAATTATTGCAGTATGACCAAAGTCTTCCAAGACGAAGGTCCAACAGCAAACAAAACTTGTCTCACTATAGAAGTATCTATGCATAGAAGTGTGGAATTTTCCAAAAAAAAAGTAAATAATACAGTAAGCCCAGCAAATTATTTTTTTGTTTTCATCAGTCAAGAACAAGGAACTTATCAATCGACTCAAAACACAATATACTCGTGATTAACCATATTATCTAAGAAATTGCTAGGACAAAAATGATGTAACAGCACAACTGACCTTTCGAAGCCTACGATCTTCACCTTTTTGGCCCAAACTATTTGATGGCTGGTCCACCTGGATGGAACCTTCTTTCCCAACCTGATTTTCTAAAGTATTCTTTCTAGTTTCAGAAGCTTCTGTTTCAAGATTTCCAGATATTTCACCATGATCAGATTTCCCCTGAAACTCTGATACATCTTCAGATGTCCCCTTTGCATCCGAAGTACTTTGAAGAGAAGATTTATCATGGATAGAAAATGTAGGAACTTGATCTGACACAAGATCATCTTCTGAATTATCCGTTCCTTCTTCACCATGATGACTGGGTGAAGAAGACTGACCTTTCTCAGACCTAAAACTCGCCACCCCTACCAATTTGCCTTTCGAATCCTGGACAAAACAAAGTAAATGCTATCAGCATCTTCAAAAGGTCGACTGATGGAAAATAGAGCTGAGAAATTTTACAGTTTTTGATATCCCAACTTTTTCTGCTGAAAGGGTTTCAGTTACATCTTGACTACCACTATCATCCCTCTCTGAACTTGAAGCGGCTTCCTTCATATATCTGCAAAGGATTTATACCCAAGGACAGCAATTATGGATTCAGTGGAAGCAATGAACACTAGTGCGCTCCCTAAAATGAGACAGAATTTTTTTTAAATATTCTTCCAAAATTTAAAGTTAATAACACAGGTTCTCACTTGATGGTTCCACTATGCCGAAGTGAGGACTGCAATGCTCGTCTAGAGTTCCGTATCCAAGGGTGAGAGAGCAATGTCTTTGCATCAGGCCTCTGCCTGGAATCCTGTATTATGCAAGATACAAATCAGATGCACATACTGGAAATTCAGTAAATCAGAGGTGCCGAGGTTCCGGTACAGAGAGTATGTGGAATGCTTAAACATTGTTGCATTAGACTATACCTTCTTAAAACACTGCCGTAGGAAGTCTGTAATATCTGGAGAAAGACTATCGGGAATAGGAGGGTTGTCATCCTGACAAAAAACAAGAAAAGGCAACAGTTTTTCACTTCTGGCTGGCATATTTTCAGGTGTTACAACAAGGACGAATAAGAAAAAAGAATAAGAAAAAAGAGTCAAGAAGAGAGACAAGAAGATTATTGACTCAATTAAAATAATTTGTCAACCTGAACAATACGGAAGAGGGCTGGCATGGGTTGAAGATCATAGTAAGGAGGTACACAAGTAAGAAGTTCGATAACAGTGCATCCAACGCTCCAAATGTCAGAAGCAGCACAAACTCCGGACATTTCAATAACCTGAAACAAAAGTCAGGTATCCGTGAGCACGCACATAATCATGTAAGAGTGTTGCAAAGTAATAAACAACATGCATGTGTCAAAACAGCAACAAAGTATATGTCCGAAAAACTGCATACTAAAGTTAACCTAGACAGAATATGGGGATGAAAAATAGATATCACCAAAGGTGTACCTCAGGAGCCATCCAGTAAGGAGTACCAACCACTGAATGAGTGTTAACATCAGCCTCGTTTAGTTTAGTGGCAACTCCAAAGTCAGCAAGCTTAACCAGACCCTGAAGTATGAGCCAGTCAAGTATCTATATAAGGAAGAATAGCCTAGAAGATTTTTCATCCATCCTAGAATACAAAAACACACCTCCTTTGTCGTCAAAATATTAGCACCCTTGATATCACGGTGGATAACACCCTGCTCATGCAGATATACTAAACCTTCCAAGACCTGTAATCACTAGTCAGTACACAATGCATAAAAACACATAACTCAACAAGAAAGATATATACAGACCTGAGCAATGTAAACAGCCACCAAAGATTCCGGGAAAGGTCCAAATTTATTTGGTTTAATAATGTTCGCAAGAGAGCCATTCTCAACGTACCTACAAACACACAATTGAAACTTGAGTTTCCAGACCAGTTAGTCTAGAGTGGAGTGAAAACAAACACAAAAAGCTACTTACTCTAAAATAATGTGAAGGTGAGTCTTTGTCTTCGACGACCCAAGATACTTCACAATGTTCTTATGGTTCAAGTTCTGCAATGAAATATCATCTTAGAAGACAAAGAAAAACACTCAATCTTTAACCAGCATAACCATTAATGAAACGAGGCCAAACTTTCAGAAGGTGGTTGATTTGATGTAAAATCACAGATACTTAACATTAGGATCCCAACTTTATAAAACGGAAAATGCATATGCATAAAGCTAAAGAATTTGCAATGGAGCAATGAAATGTGGGATATGGGAAGAAAGAAGCTACCTTCAAGAGATCAATTTCTTGCTGTTGTTTTTTAGCCAACGACCGGGTTTTAACCACATGTAAGACCAGCAAGATTGGAGTCAGTATGGAAGTGGGATGAATAATTCGATACTCAAAACGAAAAAAAAAAAACGAAGATGGATGAGAAATCACAAACCATAATGGTGTTAAGATCCTCCTGTACAATATTTTCCAGTGAGACTTGTTTAATGGCCACAAAGTCTCCATTCTCCAAGTCTAATCCTTTATAGACTCGGCCATAAGCTCCTTTACCAATTTCATCTCCCAGCATCTGAGCTCAACGAATAAAAAATCAACCTTGGAGTTCGTAAAATTACAGAGTCTAGGATGAATTGAGTATTCCAATTTCAAATTGCTAGAGCTAGAATCTGAAGTTGAGGCTTAAAACCCCCAAAATCCCAGGAATTATGGAAGAAGAAGAAGAAGCTTACGTATTTGTTGTCGAGAGTCTTTGATTTGTGGAACTGAGATGACGTCATTTGCCGCGCCATCTCTTCTGATTGCTTCCTCCTCCGTCAGCGAAACAATTTGATCCTCAGAGAAACCGATCAATTTACGAGGGAAAATCTCAGAGTGAAATAAGAATTAGGGTTTAAGTTATAAGAAATTGAAGGATTTGAGAGAGAAGAGGTTGAGAGATGAAGATATTCAGCTGCCAGCTCTAATCCAGTAGTGAAAATGAAAATATGGCAATTTAATTAAATAAATTAAAAATCCAAACAAGGAAAAAATAAAAAGGAAAGAACACATCTAAGGTTTTTGGGTGGAAACTGTTTGACTAAAATCTAAATTACCGAAAACGGCCATTTTTACTTTAGCAATAGGCCACGAATCCAGATTCGGACCTATCCTCATGAGTCACGACCATGGTCATATTAATATGAACAAATAGTTAGCTAAAGTGTCAATGCATGTCACTCATGGCCATATTAAGATTACAAACGGTTAACTAACATAATTAGGAGATGTCAACGTGTTTCATAAGATCCGGACCTATACTCACGAGTCACGACCATATGTTTTTATTCGGCTGACTAAATATATTTTTTTTTAACAGTTTTTGGTGATTTATGAGATATTTCACGGCCACGTTAACTAACAAAATTACTGTCAGCAATCAGCATATGTCACGAAATTCAGACCTATACTCACAATCATAGGGTGTTATTGGAGTAAACATTTACTTTTTAATAATAAGTCATGAGTCAGGAGTTACATTATCACCACATTAACATCACAAACGAATTTTGTTCAAAAAAAAAAAAAAACATCACAAACGAATCGGCTTAATGAGTATTCACGTATGTTTTGACCATTTTTTAAGAATGTGGGCATCAAATTTTTAAACTTGTTTTTTAGTTTAACACTTATTGAATTGAATACAGAAAGTTTTATCACATATGTGTATAGTGGACCTGAATCCACTGAATAAGAAATGCTAATTCCTCATGCGCCTTTATTACTCTTTCTTTACGATTTCACTCTCTTTGTTTCCCGATTTGTGACATAATATAGCATTTTGTCCAATTATCAAATTTTATCAATATCATAAGTCGGTCCAAATATTCAATGCTTCTTTTAAAAAATCTGTCAATTTGAATTTATTATTTAAAATCAAGGTGGTTAGTATTCATTAATGTAATGCCATGGTTCAAAGAATCGGCTTAATCAGTGAATTAATTTGGTTATTCGGTTCAAACGTTTAAAACTGGTTGATTTATATAGTGTCCAAATTTCTTTTTCGTTCCTTTAATACAACCCCGTCTTGAATAAATGATAAACCACTTTTCATATAAAAAAAAAGAGATACTTAAACATTTAAGTTATAGAGTATGACGGATTCAAGTTGGTGATATTTGTAGTATTTCATGTTTTAGAGATTTGTGTTTAATTACAAAAATTTAATATATTAGAGTACTAACTAAATAATTCATTAATACCTAAACAACTTTTAAAATACTTTAGGCGCTCGGCTATCTTATTATATAAAGCTGAATGTGCACGACGTGGTTGCGACATGTAGGATTTTTATAAAATTCAGGATCGCGACATGTGTCACTTTTAATTTTATGTCCGTTAAGATCGTGACACGTGTCTTAGAAAAAAAGGAGAACTTTAAAAAAAAAATCCAGAAAAATGTAAATTAAAAAAAAAACGAAATTTTATTTAATCTATTATATCAAAAAGGAAAAAATAATATTTGTCATATCCAAACTGAAAAAGGTTTCTCATTCATCAAATTTTTTATTATATAATAGGTTACTTGAACCGCTATAAAAGAGAGTCAAGGTTTCTCAATCATAAATTCATCAAATCCCTTTGATTATATTTCTCCAATTTAAAAATCATGTTTTTTAAAGTTTTGCGATACATAGGATTTTTATAACTGACAAAATTGCGACATGTGTTTTAGAAAACAAAAATTCTGGAAGTATGAAAATCGTAACATGTATCATGGAAGAAAAATAATAAAAAATTAATATGTATAAGACTAACTAAAAATTAGAAAAACATATAACAAATAATTAAAATGAAAAAATAATACATCCATTAAAAGTAATAAAAAACAGGAAACAAATAATTTATTTTTTTTTTTGTAAAAATACCAATATGTAGTATTTATAATGGTCCGAGGCAAAAACAAAATTGAGAAAGAAAAAATATAAATAGAAAACTAACAAAATAATTATCAAGCAATTAACTAATATTAAAAAATTATAATTGATATTTTAATTTAAATAGTTTGATTTTCAATTTTTGTTAGGTAAAAAAATTAAAATAAAGATTTCATTAATTAAAATCTCTTGAATGGAATAATAAAAGTATGATTAATTAATCAGTTGATCAGATTTAGACATGTGTAAGTCTTTCTGTATTGGATAAAAATAATAGTAAAACAAATTAATTCATTTTGTCATATCATAAATTGAAAAGAAAAATCAATTACAATAAAATTGTAAAAGTATTATCAATCTTATTTTATTTAAATATTTTTTATCGGGTTTTCAATATTATTTTGTTTACGTTTAAAAATGATCAAATTTTGTTTAATATTTTCATGTTTTTATTATAAAATCTTAAAATATACCCGCGCAGGCCTTAATCTAGTACTGAATACTTTTACAGCCTAATAAATTAATTGCTGAACATTGTGAGTTATGTCTTTTTTTTTTTTAACAAAGATGTGTTATGTCACTATTATCAACAGTTTTTAAAATATTGGAGAGCTGGTATAGTCGGATATATACGGCCAAATCAAATTATAATTTTCGAAAAAAAATCCTAATTAATACAAACACGTTAAAGAGAGCTAAATCCATGCAGAGAAAATAAAAACAAAATTAAGATTACAGGCGCGTAATCACCAAACGCCAAAACTTAGCGCATGAGCAAAAAGTCGGTAGGTTCATTGGCAACATCAGTAGACTAAGGAAGAGAGAGAACAATGAGAAAAAAGCTAAACTAATCGAGGAACTCAGAGAGATCACGAAACCCTAGTCGAAGAGAGAGAGAGAGAGATCTGTTCTGTACAAGACGGCGGAGATGACATCATCTAACGGGAAGAAAGCTGTGTCGAAGAAAATATCGACGACACCGTGCTGTACGAAGATGGGGATGAAGAGAGGACCATGGACGGTGGAGGAGGACGAGATTCTTGTGGACTTCATAAAGAAAGAAGGCGAAGGAAGGTGGCGATCGCTTCCCAAGAGAGCTGGTTTACTCCGATGCGGAAAGAGCTGCCGCCTACGGTGGATGAACTATCTCCGGCCGTCTGTAAAACGAGGCGGTATCACCTCCGATGAGGAAGATCTCATCCTCCGCCTTCACCGCCTCCTCGGCAACCGGTTCGTATATATACAACAATTATTCAAGAAATTAATAGTTTTCTTGTAACGACACATACATATAAAAGATCGTATTTTGCATATATATATGTAAGTGCGTGTATCTCTAATCGGTTTTTTGTTTTGTTGTTGTTTAAGCTAGGGCTTAACCTCTTCTACATAAACATCCTGATTCTTGATCACTTTGCTTTGTAAATTTATTTCAATATACATGTAGTTTATATGACACACACGTACAAGCCTCAGAATCAAATTTATTTTTTGTACTTTTGTATCAAAATACTAGTATATTTTTATTTTCTTTTATATTATAAATGTCATTAAGTTGAAGAATAAGTTCTACATCTTTTGTTATAAAGCTAGCTAGTAGTTCTAGGGATTTACTCTTTTTTCAAATTGTTTATGGTTATATATCCAAGTAACAAAATTAATATGCAAGCTTGTTTATAGCAACAATAGTACTAATAATGAGAACTATGTTGTGTGATGTAGCTGGTCACTGATCGCGGGAAGGATACCGGGAAGGACTGATAATGAGATCAAGAACTACTGGAACACTCACCTTCGCAAGAAACTTCTAAGACAAGGCATTGATCCTCAAACACACAAGCCTCTTGATGCAAACAATATCCTTAAACCAGGAGAAGAAGTTTCCGGTGGAAAAAAACCTCTAGAGCCTAATTCTAGTTCTCACACTGATGATACCACCGTTAATAGCGGAAATGGAGCTAGCAAGATAAGTGTCAGCGTCTTTGGTGATGAAGACAACGAAGAATTTGGTTTCTTTTACGACGACAAGTTCTCCTCGTTTCTGAATTCGCTTATCAATGATGATCCTTTTGATAGTAACATTCCAATATCAGAGTCGATGTTGCAAACGCACAGTTGTAAGGATGAGAATGTTGGAACGTCCTGCAGCTTAGGACATGACAAGAGACCAGAAGATATATAACTTATCGTTCGTGATGTCTTCTATATCTACCATGCTTCGAGACTTGGTTACTCATTTGAATGCAAATGCCGGTATATATGTGTGCTAATTAATTAAGGTGTGTTGAGGTGGTCTATGTGATTTCAAAGTATGTGTAATTGATAACACTATCCTTTATATAGATGTGGATATATTTTTTAGTTTTTTCCCGCAGATCATGTATCCATGAATTCTTGCCTAGCTAATTCGAAATATAAGTTAGTGTGTGTATATATATTGCTCTGAAAGCTAGATAAGATTCGTGTTTAATTGTTTTTTATCAACTTCAAATCTGTAAAAAAAATGTTCATATATCATCTTAAATTATGGTACGATATACTTTTACTTGCTAGTTTCTATATATCAAACCATTGCGGTCCGTTTTGTATATCGTACAGAGTTTACATGCTACTGGATAAACTCCCTTTTCGATTTAACACTAAATTTTAACCAATACTCAAACATTCTCTAGTATATTCTTAATCCTGTTTTACAATCACAAGTATCAGTACTATGCACATGTATGGATGAATTGATATGGGTTATACAGAATTTGAAGGGGAAACTCAAAGTTTGTCAAGTTTATTTCACACGTGTAGTTTAGACCAGTGTTGATTGACAATTATAATTATGTGGTACTAAAATGAATATATGTATTCGTTTTTCTCTCTATGCATATTTAATGTTTAACAAAACGTTATGCATACTTACTTCATCATCACAATCTTGTTGATGATTCGTCCGTCCGTTTCTCTGCAGAATTCGTTAAACCTAAAAGAGTACACTATTACACGTCTCCACATTTACGAAACAAAAACGCCAGGACACGTTCTTAAAGCAAAGATGGGACCGAACACAGTCAAGTGGTGGTTTCAACTCTCAAGTGGCGTTTAATTACTAACTATTAGAGTCTCCGAAATTAGATTATAGACGAAGCTTAATATAACACCGCTAAATCTAATCGTTCCAAATATATAGAAGCCGTTAGATTGATATAACCTTTACATTTATTTTAAACGTACACTACTTCGTATGCGAGTATTCTCGTCCGACCTAACCTTCTCTTTGACCTTCCGGTTCACATGATCACATCACAGCAGCAAAATTACATAACTGTATAACTGAAATTCTTTGGCGCAACCAAATTTATACCAAAACAATGATTTCTAATCGAAAATTCCTCAGGCTGTAATTTTATGATTTAGGAATTCATATCTTGATATCGTCATGATTTATAAAATGGGTACTGGATAAAACTCCCAAGATCTCTCAAAGTACCAAAGTAAGAACAAAAAACGTTATAAACGTGTGACTTGCGACTAAAAATGTCAAAAAGAAATCATATTTTAACGAAGGCTAACAATATAATCGATAGACATGCTTAAAACTTACACATTCATCTGCATAACACATAAAAATATACATGTGATTCTATATGTCGATAATCAACATAAATAAATAAAATGAAGAGTAAAACTACGTACGTACCGATATGAAAATTATATAATCGTCGCAGAGACTCACACCACATGCTCTTTTTGAAAATTATTGTTGAATGTTTGTTTTTGGTTACGGATTGTTCAATGTCCGTCCCCTCTCTATATGTATATACCGGTAGATATGTGTTGATGATTTATAATTAGTTAATTGTGTAAAGAAACGCAAGAATTGACCGGTAGATATTTGGTCTCTCGATTGTGTTTTCAACGGAAAGTTTGATCTTAACATTTGGAGATAATCAATCATAAAGGTTATAGAACCTGTTAGGTACCAACTAATACTCTTCAGTTTATTTTTTTCAAATCTTGTGAACGTCTCTCTCTTTCTCTATAGAAGTTATCGCCATTTTAGAAGGTAGGATGGTTATGTTTCATTCATTTTCTCTCTCTCTCTTTCTTGTTTAAAGATCTCATTTTTTTTGCTTCTAAAAGAAACAATTCATCGGTTAAGTATAAGACCATATATGGTGTTTGGTTCTCGAGTTGTCAAACGAAAAGTTTTGACACTAGATTGTATAAAACTTCAATAAATTGGATAGGTCCTACCGCACACATTGAACCCTATTCTTCTCTGAGATACACAATTTTCTTGGTCATCTAACATTGTATTTGTGGTTCCACTTTGGTAGATGCATTGATGAACGTTAATCAAAGAAACTAGGTGTACAATATTGTATATGTTATGTCTTTCCTCGTATTGAAGATCCAAATCTTGGTCACTTGGCGAATCGCAATGTCCATTCTTTTGCTACCTCATCATGCTTTTCTCTATCCGACAAGTAGAGCCGTGTAATCACTGGTAATGCTGGATTATCTGGCAGAGTAAGAAGAAGAATAAGTGGATATGAGGACATTTGTTCTGTTCTTAGGCCAAATCTGACTTGAAACTGTTTGATCTGATGGCTGAGAGAGCATAGAGTAGAGACTTACAAGGTTCAGGTTTTAAGAAGATGGATCTCATGGCTTGTAAGACTTTTGTGATTGTAAGAGCTGGACTCCAACTATCTCTTAGAATCTCCACGCTTAAATTCCCGGCAGTGTCGACATTGCAATGATAGATCCGAGTCTTGAACACCACCTACAAATCCTCACACTCTTAATCAAAAGACTCAACATAAAGAGAAGAAGAACAAGTGAATCTTCTTAAATGAAAGAGCGAGCTCAAGAGTAGAACTAATAGCCCAAACGTTCAAAGAATTTGCAACAAATGTATACTAAGAAAAAGTGTGACGCAGTCCAAGCCTTAATCAAAGACCTACAAAGATATTAAAACTGAAGAGTACTCATTGATATTCAAGTAAATAGTTCTTCATAAAACCAACTCACCTAGAAACTATCAAACTTCTAAAACCACCAATACATGGCTTGAAATTCTGAAAGATCCAATTGTTCGTATTGAAGAATTAACGAAAAAATAGCCAGAGAGTTGATGATCATACCTTAGGTGGTTTAAAGGGATAATCAGAAGGAAAAATTATATCCAGGAAGAAGATGCCTCCTTCATACGGAGTTCCTGCAAATTGTGAATTCAATCCAAATCATCTTTTTTTTGTTGAGACTGAGACCTAACAAATTTAACATCGGATCTTCTTAGAATAGTGACTAACCCAAGGGACCAATAATGGTAGCGATCCAGTGGTAGAGATTATCGCCTTTTGGACCAGCGGAGCAATCAGTAGGCGGATCCACGTTAAGCTCCGCCATCTCTCTCTGAATCCTCTTCCCGGACGCAGAGACAGAAGTCTTCGCTACCCAAGACGACGCCGTTCCTGAATATCCGGCGTACATCGCCGTCGGTAACGGCCTAAACCTCCCGCTTCCGCCAGGTGTCATCATCCCCCGTCGTCGTCGTCGTCGTCGTTGTCGTCCCTACTGTACTCTGCTTTATCCAATCCCATTTACTTCAGCGTTTCGCTCGCTCGCTTCCCCCCCCCATCCCGAAAAGTTTTCCAAACGCCGCGTTTTGGTCCGATCGATTAATCAAATAAAGTAATAATCGCTGACGTGGCGAATAAATTTGTAATATTATTTTTTTTGTTCCACTACTCTTCTACGCCAATAATTTTTGACAATTTGAAATTGGGATAAGTTTTCTTGTGTTTAGAATATTTAATTCACATAGTTTAGGCATTGGATCATGTTAGTATTGTAGTACCACGGTTCAGGAATCATCACAAGTAAAACAAGCACACCATTGTGGAAAGAAAAATAAGATTCTCTTCTCCAATGTCAAATTACCATATCATTGTTTACTGAATACAAACAAGACAATGATTCATATGAATATCAAATATAAATCACTCTATTTCAAAGAGTTTTTCAGTTCTGAGGATAAAGACAAAAAGAATGAGAACATGAGACCTCTCTCTAGCTACTACACTCATTTGAACATATTACATATTTCTGAATCCGCCCCTGGCTACACTTACACTACACCAATAAATAACGGTAACCGGACAAACCAAGCCGCCGGTTACAACAAAACCGCGTTTTAAACGTTCTACAAAAGGCGGTTAGGCTGGAGCAACAGTAGTAGCAGTAGTGTGAAAGCTAACGGTGCCGAGAAGGGAAGATGGTAAATAGAGATGATAAGCGCGTTTGCGTTCCCTCCCAATGGACTTACAGGTCCTAACGCTGGAGGAAAGTCCGTTGCGTTTGAACTAAAAGATAGATAACAAATCAAAGAGTCAAAACATATTCACGTTTTCAAAAGATTTAAAAACTTAAAATTCACAATCATTACCTTCCCGTATATGCGCATGTTCTATAACCTACAGAAAACCAACAAGCAATCGAAATATGAGATTTATGAAACAAACATAGAAAATATTGATTTAAAGAAGAAGAGGGAACTTAAACTTACTAGGATCTCTAGGCGTAGTGATGGCCGTACCATCAAAATCACAAGTCCCACCAGCACTCTTCATCTTCTGGTAATAATCATTGAAAGCAAACGAAGCATGGCTCTTGACATCATTAGGAAGATAACACGACTGTCCCGGTTGAATCGCTGCGCAGTTAGCTCGACCTTGACCACAAGCCCAATTCAAACCATCTTCAAGCTTATCATCATCAGCATCCGCTTTCGCCACGCAGAACAACAACGACGAAGCAGAACCATTCACACCCGCGGACTCACCGCCACCACCACCACCACCACCGGTCAAGCTCAGTGGATAAACCGACGTACCGTTCGGAAACAAAACCCCCCAGTTTCTCTCGCTAACCGGTCCTGACCGCTTGTCCTCGTTGTAAAGCTCGTAGATGTACGTGTTGATCGGCATGTCTGGCTTACTCGGAGGTCCAGAGCTGTTCAACACGCGGCTGATCAGATTACCGTTGAACGTCTCCGCGTTCTCCACCGTCGCAGCTGCTTCGTCGCTCCCACCGGAAGAAGGCCAGCCTGTCTCCGTCACGACGACGGGGATCTTCGAGAAATTCAGAGCTTCCATGGAGTAGTAAGCAGCGTCAACCATAGCGTCGAACATGCTGTTGTAATGCAGAAGCGTGTTTGGGTCAACAATCTGCTTCACAGGAGAGAGCTGCTTGAACAGCGCGTAATCTAGCGGGAAGATCCCGTTCGCGGTCGTGTAGCCGTAGTAAGGATACGCGTTTAGCATGAAGAAGGAGCCAGTGTTCTTGAGAAACTGGAGAAGCTGGTACACAGTCGTGTTCCAGGACGGGCTAAAGGTTGATGTTGATGGAGGGAAAGGTTTAGGCATTATGTCCATAGACATGGGGGACGAGACTTTGACCTGGAAGTTGAGGTTTGTAGCGACGAGTGCCTTGTGGATGTTGTTGAGAGCAGAGGCGAGAATGGGAGCCACGTGTGGTGTTGTGGTGAGGACTTCGCTGCCGACAGCGATGGCGGTTATGTTGGTTGATGGTATATAGGCAGCGACGTTCTTGTTGACCCATGAGGCTGCTGCTGAAGGGAACCGTCCGATTTTGAGGATCTCGTCGTTGGTGACACCGACCATTACTTCGATGGTTGTGTTGGCGAAGGCTTTGAGGAGGTGGCTGTTGGCGTCGTAGAGACGGACGTGTGTGATTTGTCGCGATTTGAGAAGGGTTACGATGTCTGGTGGTGATGGCATGTTGGTGAGATCTGTGCCGATGTTTACGCCGATGAATGCAGCTGTGGAAAAAGGGATTTCAGAGTCTTTTGGAAGAGAAATTTAGAGATGCAATGTGATTAGGTGATGTAATGTTTTACCGTTTGTAGTTGCAAGAATTGGAATTAGGAGCAAGATTGCTTCTGCAAACCATCTTGGAAGCAGCATTGGAACAGAGAGCTTGAAAACCCTAAACCTACAGGAAACTTTAAAATTGAGTCATATGGTAATGACGGTAACACCAATTTCAAGCCAAAACATGACATAGATTGTAGATTTCTCACTACTCTTAATTCAGCAAGCACTAGGTTTTCTTTTTCAGGAGAGTTTATAAGTGGGACTGGTCAAATATGGTAAGATCCGTAAAATCAAGTAAGCAACTTTAGGTGTTAGCCGAGGAATTTCCGACACAAGTATACTAATGAGTCTAGAGCTTTAAGAGCACAACGGGATAAACAGTAAACAATAACCTATTGAGCATTCGAAAAGCCATTACTCTTTTGTCGTTTCGTTCATTCAAACATGTTTTCTGGAAACAGGATTTGCAGAGTGAAGAAGAATGTGGAAGAGGCAAGAGAAAGCTGGTTCGGAGTACGGACACAATGCGATAAGCAATTATCAAAAACTCAGATGCAAAATCAAGAAATTTTTACCGAGTACTTAATTCGAGCTTGACCGCTTCCAGATTCACTCGGGGGGAATTCAAATCACAGAGAGGCAATTCTTCAGGGATAATTGAAAAGGAAAAAAAAAAACTCGAGGTTTTGCTGTTGAGACAGAACAGGGCAAAGCAAGTTCAGAGATGTTTGTAGTGTAGTGTAATGAACCCACCGAAGAGAAAAAAAGGTAAAGGCTTTTTCTTTTCTTTCGGCGAAATTAATTATCGAAATTGGAGAAAATAAGAAAAAATAAAGAAATTCAGAGATTGCTGTACTGAGTTAACTTGGTTTTTATCTCACTTTAATGCGTGGGAAACCAGAGAGGTGTGTGTGACTGTCTGTTGAACTTGAAGGTGAGGCTTCAAAGTTCAAAGATGTAAATAATAAACTAGTTAGTACTGTTTATTAATTAAGTATACAGTCTTGACACATATACGGCTACATTATCTCACCTTCTTGATACAACTAATATTTAAGTATGTAAAAACAAGAAAACAAGATTTTGAGTAGCTGCAGACTAGTTTCCACGCTCTTCTCATGTTCTTTCGGTTTTCCCATTTTTCATTTAAATATTAATTTGAATCAAAAGAAACATCCAAGCTAATTTCATGTGCATGACTTTCAAATGTTTCTTGGATGCTCTAATTACATTATTGATTCGGTGATTCCTTTCATCACCAGAAATTGAAAAGTTATACTATCAAATATCTTTCTTTTTTCACATTTTGTTTTTATATCACAGATACAACTTTGAATCACTACATATTGGTTTTCGTTACTAGTGGTCAGGTACAATATTTTGAAAATTGATATTTTTTTAGATTTTGTCCTTATTAGTATTTTGTTTTTCAAAATAAATAATTAAAGTTTCCAAATTTCTTCATGTACTGTTTATTAATTAAGTATACAGTCTTGACACATATACGGCTACATTATCTCACCTTCTTGATACAACTAATATTTAAGTATGTAAAAACAAGAAAACAAGATTTTGAGTAGCTGCAGACTAGTTTCCACGCTCTTCTCATGTTCTTTCGGTTTTCCCATTTTTCATTTAAATATTAATTTGAATCAAAAGAAACATCCAAGCTAATTTCATGTGCATGACTTGCTTTTGGTACTCCCGAAAAACAAATCTTGATCGAACCCATATTTGCCCAATGGATCCAATCGGCTCATGGGAAAACTTCATATGGATTTGATGTACTTTTATCTTCGACAAATGGCCCAGCGTTTAATGCGGGTCGAAGCATATGGTTGCCTGGCTGGTTAAATGCTATTAATGAAAATAGTAATTCATTATTCTTAACAATAGGTCCTGGAGATTTCTTGGTTCATCATGCTATTGCTTTAGGTTTACATACAACTACATTGATCTTAGTAAAAGGTGCTTTAGATGCACGTGGTTCCAAGTTGATGCCAGATAAAAAGGATTTCGGGTATAGTTTTCCTTGCGACGGTCCGGGACGAGGTGGTACTTGTGATATTTCGGCTTGGGACGCATTTTATTTGGCAGTTTTCTGGATGTTAAATACTATTGGATGGGTTACTTTTTATTGGCATTGGAAACACATCACATTATGGCAGGGTAACGTTTCACAGTTTAATGAATCTTCCACTTATTTGATGGGATGGTTAAGAGATTATCTATGGTTAAACTCTTCACAACTTATCAATGGATATAACCCCTTTGGTATGAATAGTTTATCAGTCTGGGCATGGATGTTCTTATTTGGGCATCTTGTTTGGGCTACTGGATTTATGTTCTTAATTTCCTGGCGTGGTTACTGGCAGGAATTAATTGAAACTTTAGCATGGGCTCATGAACGTACACCTTTGGCAAATTTGATTCGATGGAAAGATAAACCAGTAGCTCTTTCAATTGTTCAAGCAAGATTGGTTGGATTAGCTCACTTTTCGGTAGGTTATATATTCACTTATGCGGCTTTCTTGATTGCCTCCACATCGGGCAAATTCGGTTAATTATTTATGTATTCTATCCGCAAGAATCTCTTTTTTTTAATAAAAAAATAGGTATGCACTCTTCTATTTATTTCTACATCTAGGATCCGATTTGTATCATTATCATTGATAATAAGAGGAACTCAAGCATTATGGCAAAGAAAAGTTTGATTTATAGGGAGAAGAAGAGGCAAAAATTGGAACAAAAATATCATTTGATTCGTCGATCTTCAAAAAAGGAAATAAGTCAGATTTCGTCGCTAAGTGAGAAATGGAAAATTCATGGAAAATTACAATCCCCACCGCGTAATAGTGCACCTACACGTCTTCATCGACGTTGCTTTTCGACCGGAAGACCGAGAGCTAACTATCGAGACTTTGGATTATCTGGACACATCCTTCGGGAAATGGTTCATGCATGTTTGTTGCCAGGGGCAACAAGATCAAGCTGGTAAGGATTTAAGTATCCTTTAATTTTTTGATTTTTTCTATGATCGACGAGGCCCCTTTACCATTCTGTCTAAATAGGCTATTCTATTTGTACAGATATGGAATAGGGGCGCATTTAATTCTTCTTTGTTTATTAGAGTTTAGTCCAAGTTATTTTGTTTCATCGCGGGGTAGAGCAGTTTGGTAGCTCGCAAGGCTCATAACCTTGAGGTCACGGGTTCAAATCCTGTCTCCGCAACATTTTTTTTCAACAAATGTAAGTTTGATTCTATTAACTAGTCATTAATTAATACTTGTCTTTTGGTACGCGAGGAAAAAATTACTCTATTTTCCGGTCAACTATACCGAATCCTTTATCTTTTTGAATCTATTTATATTTGGGCGGATAGCGGGAATCGAACCCGCGTCTTCTCCTTGGCAAAGAGAAATTTTACCATTCGACTATATCCGCATTTTTCTGCCTTCTTGATAAGAAATTTATGGATAATATTTGTTCAAAGCTATATGAGATAGACTCTTTGGTTTGGGGTTCTTTCATAAAATTCTACCACCAAACCAATTGAATTACCAATTCTATTACATATATATAAATATATATTAATAATATAGATATTAATAATATAGTTATAAATAATCTATTTATTCTATATATTGAAATATTGAATTTCATCTTCAAGAATATATTATTCTCTATTTCCCTAAAATATTATATTCTATATTGATATCAGATATCAATTTTTGATTAGTTTTTTTTTAGTTATTTATTACTATTTCATATTTAGTAAATTGATATTTATTAATATTTTATTCATATTTCACTCAAGTTCCGGAAGTTTGACCCCCCCCTCTAATTTTTTTGTTTTCTTTATTTGCATTTTATGGATTTATACTTATATTGAATTTTAATGTGTAATTCATGGAATGGGAGGGGTCATCTCATTTTTGGATCTGCAACGAATTAATTCAAGAGATAAGAGAATTAAGGATACCCACCAAGAAGACTAATCCAATCCATAAAGATGTACCAGAAAATACAACATTTTTGTTACTCGACCAACCATCAGGAGACGCAAATACAACGGGTACACTAATCAGTAAGATTGATGAAGTAATAATTAATGCAAAAACAGCCAATTGGAAAGCAATAGTCATGTTTTTAATCCTCCAAGCTATTAACAAAATACACCATTTAATCCTCTTACCCACTAAAAAATTTTAATAAATAAAGGGATTTTATCATGAATCCGTTGATTCGAGATGACTTATTTCCAACTTCTTTTTACCTATCGGACATTAAGTTAAAGGTTCTTTTTGACTTCACAAATGGGTATACTGGATCATGGTATTTATATAGACAGATTTATAGACCTATAAAGTAAAGAAAGTCACACCCTATATCTTTCTCTACATAGTGATCATATTAACTCATAGGGCTATGTTCTATTTGGCAAAAAAAAAATAAAATAGAAATTATCTTTCGGAGAGATGGCCGAGTGGTTGATGGCTCCGGTCTTGAAAACCGGTATAGTTCATAAAAAATAACTATCGAGGGTTCGAATCCCTCTCTCTCCTTTTGTTGGATTAATATTTTTTTCTTTATTGGCTTTTTTACTTCTTAGGATCATAAAAAAAGGAGAATGGCTCGGCTGGATAGTATAGCCGAGCCAGAAAAAATTAGATTGAATTGAAAGAAACAAAGAAGACTTTTTAATATGAATCGATTTTTACTTTCCTATTTGAACTACCACTTTAGTTAAGAGGAGTCATAGAAAGAACAGGTTCAAAATCACGATCAATTCCTTTTTCAAATCCTGCTGCCGCTGCCCGAGCCCTTCCCGCGTGCCATAAATGACCCACAAATAGGAAGAATCCTAGAACAAAATGAGAGGTAGATAACCAACTTCTCGGAGAGACATAATTAACTGCATTGATCTCAGTAGCTACGCCCCCTACAGAATTTAAGGAACCTAAGGGAGCATGAGTCATATATTCTGCAGAACGTCGTTCTTGCCAAGGTTGTATGTCTTTTTTCAACCTACTCAAGTA